TGAGCAAGGCCCTTAACCCCAACTGCTCCAGGGGTGCCGTATAAATGGCTGACCCTGCGCTCTGACCCCCAGCTTCTCTCCCTGTCTGTGTGTCTCATGGAGAGCAAGTTGGGGTCTGCGAAAAGACAAATTCCTAACACAAGAAATTGTGTATGGCCAATAAAGATCTTATCTTATTCGAGCCTTTTGTGAAAAAGGTCCTAAGGGAGAAATAGCTGGTTTCAAAAATGAAACGGATAACATCCTCCCAAGGAGAGCTCTCATTCAAGACCATTTCTATTTTCTTGGGGGGGGGTTCCCCAATTTTGAACACCACGCCATCACCTGAAAACAATGATATTGATAAAAATCACAAATAATTTAAGGATGACAGATCTTAAATAAGAATTTAAATTGATATCTAAGCCAACTTGCAGTGGTTAGCATTGCTGCCTCGTAGCACTGGAGCGCTGGGTTCGATTCCTGGGGTGCTGTCTGCATGGAGTTTGTAGGTTCCCCCTGTGCTCATGATCCTCCAAGTGATCCCACAGACCAAAGACATGCTGGTAGGTTAATTTGCTTCTGGGAAAATTGGTCCTGGTGTGTGAATATGTGAGAGTGTGTATGTTCCCTACGATGGACTGGCCGTCATGCAGGGTGCTCCCTCTGCTTGCTGGGATAGGCTTAGGCTCCCCCGCAATCCAGTATTAGATAAAGGGGATAGAAAATAAATAGATGGATATAAGTCAACCTTAATTCTGTTTTCCAACCAGGACTTGTATATAAGCAAGTGCCACAACATGAGGTTTCATGCTATCCCAAGTTATCATGGGAGAGTTGTGTTTATCAAAAATTACCCAAAATTAGATATGAATAAATATGGTCATCTTTCAAGTATATCAGCTGTACAGATCAAGGGAACTGAAGTGACTAACAATTTTGGTGTACTTAAGGTATCATCAATCAAAGATGTAAACTCATCTTCTATTTTATGATGTACTTACATCATATCTAGGTTTCCTGTGCTTTGCTTCTGTCATATTGATTGCAAAGTCAGTGGAAAGAAGACAGATCTTCAGCACATTAGTGAGAGAACATTTCCATCTGCTGGAAGCCCTTTGTACTACAGATGTTGAGCTGGTCTACAATCCTTTGGTTTTTGTTTGGATAGAAGAATTACAAATCTCAACGTACCGCTAATACTGTGAAATTAATTAATAATTATTTTTTATGGAAAATGAGACATAGTGAAACATGAACTGTGTCATGCCCCAGAACCAAGGAAACTGAGAATGGAGAACAATACAGGTACAGATAATTTAGAATACCCATATGTACTTTTGGGATGAGATGGTTTCAATTTATTATCTAATGCTTTTTAAGTCTTTAATGATATTACTCTCAACAGGTCTGCTGCTATCACTTATCCTACTCAGAAAATTGTATGTGTGCTTTTTATTTTAGATTCAGGCAGGAGACTGTGAGCTCACCATTTCTTATCTTTTTGATTTACTGCAATGAACTAGCTTGATATCTAGGGTGCAGTCTATCTTTGAACCCTGTGCTTGCTAGATAATCTGTTGGCTTCCGTGACCTCTGTGACAATGGAAGGATGTTATTGTTGTGCATCTCGGATGAAATATCAAGAAAGTGTTGACATACCACTGATACGGCTTTAACAAGAAAAAAACATTAATTTGACATTCAAGTAGGTGTACAAGGCAGGATTCCGTGGATTACTCTTGTTATAGATTTTGTCCTTGAGGGGGTGGGAGCATAGATGAAGACGGTGTCAATGCATTATCATTGTGTATATCCTGAACCCCTCCTCTTGTGCCGTTTGCCTGATTTGTCGACACCTCCACACTTCTGGCATGCTGTTTTCAGCAGGAATTTAACTACAGCCCTGGGATTTGCCTGCTACAAGAGATAGGTTTAAAACCACTTGGCCTCGTTTATTTTGGAAACAGTAGCATCTGCTGCATATTAGAAACAACGTATTTTTTGTATTTTTTCATCTTTCAGCTACCGGACGCATCTTGGTTCCACCGTGTGACTGAACGTTTTACACGGCTTGAACTTTGTTTTTCAAAATGTTTATCCAGTGTCCAGAATTTAAGGAAAATAAATGATTTCATTCATTCGTTTGGTTGGACATCTCAGCTTGATATCCTGATATTCTGAAGCTTGGTAACAAAGCCATGGACTGGTGGCTCTGTGGCTCAGGCTCTGCGCCTGTGGCTGGAAGGTTGCCAGTTCAAATCCCACAGCTGGCAGAGGAATCCTACTCTGTTGTGCCCCTGAGCCCCAGCTGCTCCAGGTGTGCTGTACAATGGCTAACCCTGCATTCTGACCCCAAGCTTCTCTCCCTGCCAGTGTCTCATGGAGAGCAAGCTGGGGTATGCGAAAAAGATGAATTCCCACTGCAAGAAATTGTATGTGGCTAATAAAGTGATCTTATCTTACAGGGTATTTTTTGCTCTAAATGTTGCTGTCCTCAGGCCAGAAGGCAGGTAAACATGTAGGCAAATGCAGATGATCAAAGAGAAGTCCTAATACTTTATTCAGGTTAATCAACTTCACTATAAATCATTGACTGCCATGTTTAACAATAAATATTCAACAGTGACTGTGCCATTTCCTAGCAAGATCTTTAAACTAGGCTCCATAGGAACAGACCACAACATACAGTAAATACAGGAACAGACGTGCATGTGAAAACAGGGAAGCAAGAAGGTAGAAGAGGTAAGAAGGAACATCACCCATCATCCTTCTTTTGCTTTTTCATCCACAGCTTGTATTGTGAGAGAAATTATACTTAAATTTATACTTGAAACCAGATTCTGTCCAGGTAATCTGAATGCTGAGTTCCGCACATTGAGCTTTATAAAAGAGAACTTTGTCTTTTTTTATTTGGAAATTCCAATTTCCTTCATTGTGGAATTTGTATGCTAAAGACGTCTCTCACATTTCAGGAGGCCTTTGTGGAATTAGGAAATTGGTTCCAAATTTTTTATGAGGTATCTGTTAAGAGCTGGAGAACTAGTCCAGGTTAGGACACATTTTGTTTATTAGAGCACAGGTTCTCTCTTTATGGCCTGTTAAAGTTTTAAAGTAGTTCAGGTGAGTAGCCGTGTCAGCATGCATAGTCTGCAAAGGAACAATTAATAGGTTTATACCATGCTGAAAAGAGACAACACAATGTTTTCGGCTGTGATGTCTTCTTCAGGTGCCTCAGGTTACTTGTTCCTCTGTTAAAGTTTTGTTGTCTTCAGATACTCAGGAAAGAATTCAGGCTTCAGAATCTCACTGAATTGTGTATACAGTATCTGTGCATGGTGTATGTTGTGTGTTTATATGGGTGTATAATTTATTGTAGTTTTATACATGGATTTAGAAGTTTGAACATAACTCTTGATGTTCCCTTACTTCAGGGGATGAAAATTATTCACCTTTATTATTTGCTTACATAGCAAGCTGGTGTAGTTATCTCTATTAGGAATTTTAACACACCCCAATAATCCTGTAATAGAATCCTGTAAGATACAGGATGTCAGTGTTCTGAGTTCCATCTATGTCATATATATTGATTTTGATAGTATTCTACAGTACCTGCTGCTAACATTTTTAGGGTATAAAGTACCTTAACAAGTCATGTATTGGACTTATGTTGCAATCACCTGAGCTGTTTAGTACTTCACCATTTAAATTTGTTCAACTTTATATTATAGAATAACTCAAGACATGAGGAAATCATTTCACAGGCTTGTCTACTGTAGAGTGCAGTGGAGTTTAGTTTTAATGATGACACTTGATGCAGGAATGGAGTCTCTTAAGAAAATTTTGTATGATTGAACAATAGATGTTATACAGTGCTTTGCAAAAAAAAAAAAGATTCACCCCCATGATGTCCTACTTTGTTGAACTAAATTATGCATACACCTTTCTTTTAAAGTGAATGTTTTGAATAATTCAAATGCTGAAACTGAACTCTGAAAGTGGTGTTAAAAATAATTTAGCTGCTTTTGCAATTCCGTCACTGGTATGTAGGTTACTTCAGCTGAAAAGATTAGACGATACGGTATTTACCAGTAAAATATGTCTATATCCCCTGTAGGCAAAAGAGAAACTGACTTCTGCACAAAAATACGGAGCTGCAGTGTAGTCGCAGATTAACTTTCATAGCCTTAGGGTGGCCTGGGGTCCAGTCAATGTGATTCTGGAATTCATTATTGAAAAACATGTTGGACACTCCATCACGCACGTGTGACTAGAGTATCACTGTGCATTTTGACATTTGACAGGTTACACAATTTCTGCTGTTCCATGGGAATGTTTTCAGACATGCATAATTATGGTAAAATACAGGTATTGTTGAGTGCAGTCTGTCCTTGTTTTTGTAGAGGTGTGTTTGTACTTAAAATCTCCTTTTGTGCCATCAGCAGTAGATGTGAAATGATGTTGGGAATGTGTTTTCTATACATCTGGCTTTATTAATCCCAGGAGGCCAATATGTGAAGTAGTGCTGGCTGAATCATCATTTGGCACCGTCTGGCATCGTTAGAATATAGGATTCCCAAAACAATAACTACACATTTTAACTAATTACCAGCTTGATTGATGATCTAAACTGGTGGCTAAATGCTTTTGAAGTGGGGGCAGACAGTATACACTTCTGAACAGCTGTCACAACTACTGTAATCAAAATAAAATATTAAACTATCTGGAAAAAATGCTGCTGATCTCTCTTAAGTGTATTTCTACAGTCTCTGTTCCTTTACTTTTGTAAGTTCCTTTATGATTGCTTATATTTTCTGTAAAACACTATAAACTCGCGCAAGGTCCGGAAGATGAACAGTTATAATCCTTGCTTGAACAGTCAAGTTCTGCCTCCATATTTCACATATTGTTATTAATAATAGAAATATTGAAATAAATACTTGTTGCAAGATAAAGATGGTAAAAATTTCAGATATTTATGTCAAGTAAATTCCGAAGTTTTTGGAAAAAGAAAACAAAACTGAATTATAAACAGCTTTATTATATATCATAACTAAATATTTGCAAGTCATTGTAAAACATGTTTGTGTGCAGACGTATGTATTCCATTACAAACAAGATTTCTTCAACAGTTAGAAATATACATCTTCAGCTGACATAAAGTGAAACCAATAAATTCACTTCAACACCAAAATTTTAATTTAAAATGTCTTATTTAGTTTCGACACACTGATATTAACAATGTGAACTATAAAGAATAACATAATACTCTAAACAGAAAAGCACTAATTGTTTCTAATTTTTACTGTACTGGATTTGGATATGTGAAATTGGTCCAGAACACCCACTGATGCTTAAGGATGCTATACACCAAATAATGTGAAAATATTTGCAAATGCATATCCAAAAGAAAGAAATCCCTGAACATTAATAGACATGCAAAGCATAGTTGCAGTGCAAAAATGTTGGCATTCATAAAACAAAAAAGGCATATTGTAGGTTTCAATCTGTCAGGATCGAACTAATCAGCTTTGGCCACAACCAGTAAAAAAATGAATTCTCAATTTTAAAATGTTTAAAGTGCAATGGAAACACAATGCCTACTTTTCCAAAAACTATAAAATACATACCACGTCTGAAACCAATAATACTTTTAAAGACATCCTCCCCTTCTGTAGTAATAGTACCAAGCTGATTAGTCTAACAGATTAAATACCCTTCAAAAGTTTCCCTTTTGGCTGAATAGCTTCCTCAAGATGTTCCAAATAATCTAAGTTTAATTTTCTAGATAATGTAAAAAGCCTAGTGGTGTAATTGTTTTGTTCTTTATACAATACTGTATATTTAACTATTATATTAGTCAATCATAGCATAAGAATAAAAACTTAAGCATTTCAAATCCTAGCAATTTCACCAGTTTCTAAGTCCACACTAGAATGTATTGTAAATCTGTATAAATAATCATATATGGTTTTATTACTTATTCTAGTAAACATGCAAATAAAATAGCATAAAGTGTAATTTGTTATTTTTTTATGGCTCCAAATATCAACTGGGATATAAAATGTTTATTGATTAGCCCAGCCTTGATAATCAATGCCTTACTACAACTATGTGAAGTAGAATTTTTCCAATAGGTCTCAATTTTCTACAAAAGCATTATATGAGACTTACAGGTGGATCCTTCAACTTTAACAAAGCCAGGAAGGTCCACCACAATTCTGTTTACATAGTTATTCTATGAGGGTGCACAGTGGTCTTAGCAGTAAAGTGTTTTTAACTATGCCAAAAATAACACAAATGTGTAGTAGCAAATGGGTTACAAAAGGGAGAAGTAACAACCCAAATTAATCCTTATAAAAATGACTTATACATATATCAAAAGGTGTGACATTGTACATGTACTGTAAGTGGGTGAGAAATTACATTTTGCAGAGATTTTAATAGCAATGTTGTTTTGAGGTGCTTCTAGCAAAGTTGACAATCATGTTACTTTGAGTAAAGTATCTGAAATTTTAGTCCAGCATTACATTGTAGGGTTAGCAGGAATAAAACCAAAAAATGATCCTCTGTCGTTTTAAACAGAAAAACAATGTGTACAACCTTTAAGATTAATTTTCTGCAAGAAAGCACTACATTTCTCAAACTACAAATTCTCAAATTTTCAGTTTTCATTTTGCGGACTATGAAATATAACTGTACATGACTAAATAGCTCTAACAGAACTTACACATAAGAGAGCACAGTAAACATTTCTCATTCCACTGTCTGCTATAGTAGTCTGCTGCAGTCAGTAGGCTGTATCTGATGTTTCAGTCCTTTCCTTGGCATGTAATGAAATCTTAATTTCAAGTGCTTTAGTCTAATTTGCAATTGTGCTCTGCATTGAGTTTAACCCTTATCTTTTTTTGTGGAATTTTACATGCCATGTTCTAGAATAGAAAAAAATATATTTTTTAGAATTTGTATGCCAATGAACTACTAACAGATACAAAGTCTTTGTACATGTGTACAAACCTCGACAAATGCTTATTGAATATGTGCACTTCCGAATTGATGGTGAATTTTAAATGTCAAAATACAAAATGCTAGAATAATATAAAAATACTTTCTTTTTCCAGTTCGTGGTGTCAATATGTTGAATATTGTACATGGGTCACATTTCACTTCCATAAGTACCAAAAACATACAGTAATAAAATACTAGGTCTTTGAATCTTAAAGTGTACCAGAAAATAAGACTTGAAACTCTCAGGCACCAAACTTGTGAAAAGGCTAAACTCAGAGTTTCCTTGAAATACTGAGTTAATGAAAAAAATCTATTTACTTAACATGTTCTTTGGATTCATGTGCTTATGTACCTTGTGTTGTAAGCCACAGGTTTAGCTTAAAACTAAAATGGTTACAACTTCATGACATGATTTAGTGTTACTGAAATATGTTTTTTTCTATGATAACTAATAATTTGCTGAAATTTTAGCAAATTATTTAAAAGTAAAATAACAAAAACAAAAAAATACGGTGACAAAACAATCTGATCTTTTCTGGTATTCTTTAAGAGGAATTAAACTAACTTTCTGTGCAACCAAACGTTTTTTTTTAGTTACTCAAAAGTCAAAGTGCTGTGCCACACTTCACAACTTTATGCAGCAGTGGGAGATCTCTCTTCCTAACTAGTCAATAATTGATCATTAACGTCTTGTGTATGTTTTGTTTCCCAGCACTAAATAAATGTTTGTGTGAAAACATCTTGCGTTTACAGATGTTAATGGACATCAAAATAAAGGCCTTAGGAGTGCTGTTGAAATACGCAAAACTCCACAAGTGAGACGCTATGAGCTGAATGATCTCCCAGCGCTATCTACTGAAAGGAGACGCCTGTGACACATGTAGTGATGATGAGGTCAATAAGATTACGCACAAATGCTTAAAAGCTTATCAAAACTAAGATTATTCCAAGTAAGGCAGTGTTCCTGGCGTTCGTGTGACGTTAACTTCACGCCAGGAGAGAGCCAGAGTAATCCAGCCTGACATTCCCTTGTTTTAGCTTTGAGAGAAATACTCCAGAACGACGCGCAGGTGTCCCAGCCGGTCCCTGAGGGACGTCAGCGACAGCACCGTGGTCTGGTACATTGGGTCCAGCTGCATCACGGAGAGCAGCCACCAGCACCAGGACGGCCCGCTGGGGGAGGCCTGCAGGGCAAATGAAACGCGGATTGAGGCGCCGCAACGGAAAAGGCAGAGAAGTCGTTCTTTCCCTCGTTTTTTGGTCGTCTTCCGCCACCCAGTAGTTCAAATGAATATTTTACATCTAAAATCAAGGCTCACTGAAGGTAAGGAAAAATTTGAGCGCTTTGTTTTACATTTACCTGGTGGTCAGTGTACATCTTGTAAAATGTACACTCCCCCAGCCCATACCCCCACTGACCGCTCATGAAATAAACCCCAAAGAAACTGTCCTTCTATGACTCTCCAGTGACTGAGCCCATAAAGATGTGCAGTGGAACACGGAAGATGTCACTAGCCAGTTGGATCAGGGGTATCCCAAACCAGGACATTATGTTAGCTGCAGAGGTTGGGGTTAGCTGAATGAGGCTCCCTCTCAATCAGCGATACCTCAGCAGTTGGGTACAGTGGAACCTGCCAATGACGAACAACTTGGCGGGTGGGTAAGTGGAGAGAGTCTGCCTACATGTCGCATTCTGGCCCTACCAGTCGTGGGCGGAGAGGTGGCTTTGTGCCTGCGGCTGGAAGGTTGCCGGTTCAAATCCCATGGCAGGCAGAGGAATCCTACTCTGTTGGGAACCCTGAGCAAGGCCCTTAACCCTAACTGTTCCAGGTGTGCCATATAAATGGCTGACCCTGCGCTCTGATCCCAAGCTTCTCTCCCTGTCTGTGTGTCTGATAAAGAGCGAGCTGTGTAATGTGAAAAGACAAATTCTTAATACAAGAAATTGTATATGGCTAAAAAAGTGATTTTTTCTCGTCTTAAATGGGGGGGGGGAACAATTGCCGATTTAAAAAGGGATTGCTTATCGCAATTACAAAACCTGACTGTGTATCAATACAATACACTGCTGGAAGAACTTTACATTTTACAAGACTTGGACTGATCACCAGGAAAATGTAAACAAAGCGCTCTAATTAATATTTCCTTATCTTTAACGGACTTCAAAATTCAATGGACTTGTAATTTTAGATGTTGCACATAAACTATTAATTTGTTTACACATAACTGTAGACAAATAAAAATGAGATAAAAATTAGTGAAACATACTTTCTTTAAAGGATTCTTTAAAGTTTGAAATAAATAAATATATTTATTTCAAACTATCTTCTGAATCTAAGACCCATTTTACAGCATAAGATAAAAAGCCTGCTACATATTATTGTATGCAGTCAGGTGTCTGTAAACACTAAATTAAAGGAAACAAAAGTACAAAACGCTTTAATAAATAATTGGAAGTATTACTGACATTAGTGGAGAGTGAGGTCCCAACCATCAGACAGGGCCAAAAAGTTCAGCACTTCAGTTTATATCCTAGGGTGAAGTTCGAATTCAGTGTAGGAACTCTCTTATAGCTTAATAAGAGATTAAAAGAGCTGTTTTGTTTTCCCTTACCTTCAGTTTTTGTAACAAAATGCTTAAATTTTGAAGTTCCGCATACCCCTCTTTCTTTTAAATAAAACCTCGATTTTCAGGATTTCCGTGGGATATTTCTCTTCCTCATTGCTTTGCTCTCCACTCATGCCTTACATACTCATCTTCATCCAGAATGAACGGGAGATTAACCTGAATGTTGTCCTCCCTCTCGGGCATGTGGCCATACTGCTTGTTGATCTGATCCCGGATTCTCGGATTCAGCCGACGGTACCAGTCACAGGCCTGCTGATAAATGCTATCGTGCAAGCGCTGCACGAGCTCCAGCTCTGCACCTTCTACCTGTACAAGAACACACACACAAACCTTAGAGCCTATGGGCAACACAATCCAAAAGTAGAGTATGCTTTTTTTAGTGTCTAAGTGTGCCAAAAGCTGAATCATGTAGTACAGTACAGAGTTACAAAAGTCAAAGCTGGTGAGGGGATTCACAAAGTGAATCACATTTCACAGTTACTAAGTTAGTTATTAAAAGAGTCTTTCGGTGCAAAAGAATTAATGTTAGAACTTGGTGAGGACTGGATGAAGGTCAGATATGTCTTAATATTTAAAACCATAACATAACGCATAAGGGAGTGTACTTTCTTTTTCACATCACTGTATATGCTGAACCATATACAGAATATAGTGTACATATAGTACCATATACAGAACCATAAAAACCTTATGTCAATATTAAATACAATGAAAAATATTAGTGTGGCAGGTATCTAGCCCCTTCTTGTATATAACGGGGTCAAACACAGGCTACACAGAACTAAACTATCTACCAGTTTTGTAATGATATTCTGTAAGAGAGCCAACGTTTGACAAGGGCGTACTTTTTGGTCCTCCAAATATTCTATGTCTGCTGTGTGGTAGCCATCTCTTTGACCTCTCTTTGTAACCCGGAAGCGGTTCCTTCCTATGGTGTCCACATAAGACCTGCCATCAGGAAGGAGATCCAGACCCAGAATCTCTAAAATGCAACCATAGTCTGCAAACCTTGAAAGCAGAAAAAAAAGTTCAGTTTTCACTACATGAAATGCCACAATTTTCACACCGTGCACATGTAACTTAAAATGTTTGATAACACAGGATCTTTCCTTTTCATGAATTTTGCACAATGCAAAAGTGTTTGGTGAGTGTGATTTTCTATATGTAAAGAATTATGAATTGTGTGTAGCGTATGATTCTGAATAGTTTTTTGTGTTAAAAGTAACACAAGGTACCAAAAAGAACTACTTAGCAAATGTAGTTCAGGTGGGTAGCTGTATCAGCTTAAGGCTGCTAAGCTGAAACATTGTGTTTTCTTTCTTCTCTTTCCAGAATGGAATAAACCTATTACTTGTTCCTACTTAGCAAATGATTGCAATAATGGTTTTATTATGTGAATAATTAAAATCCTTTGAAGTTTCCAATCATGCCTAACTCAGGGGGATCGCTAACATGGTTTGCTGTTCAATTTCCAGTACCCTTTTCCATGTTCGTAAGTACACATTCCAAACTTCTTTGTGCCCGTTTCCATACACCTGCGCATCATCAACCGGTAACGAGGCTCAAATATGTGCAGAGGACAAGGAACTCCAGGGAAAGCCACTGTGCACACGAAGATCGGAATGTCCTTTGTTAAGCTGAAAGACAAAGCACATGTGATCTTAAGGGACTGAACAGGAAAGGTAAGGCCCATTGGAAATGATCCTGCAGAATTTGTATTTTTAAATGTCTGTTAAGACTAACTTCACTAAGCATTATAGTAAAGCAGTGAAGGTAGCCAAAGTTTAGCAATCATTCTCATGAGCAACAGATCAACAAAAGAGTACTTACTTTGAGAGCTCTGCTATTTCAGCATCATGTATCTGCTTCCTCTCCGCAAGTTCACAAGGGAACAGTCTGGACATAATGTCCTCCAGCAAAATTGTACGGTTATACTTTCTGTTTTTGAGATACTGCAAAGGGGGAAAAATGCTTATCAGAGTGTGTAATGTAAAAAACTGCTTCTCTTTTCATAATTAATCATCTAAATTGGACAAAGGAAAACCTGCACACGTCTGCAGTCTTTGGAGCTTCACTCACTGTATAATGATTTTTTTATGGGCTTCTTATAAAAACTATACTTAGAAAATATTAACCAAAACTTTTAAACTGTAGTTTGATAGTAATGCCAATAGATTGCTTTTTTTTTCCAATTTCAGATCAGACTGACAGTGTGATGTGTTCTGTGATAGTCATTGGTAACACTAGAGTTAGTTATTAAGCAAACAAAAGGGTAAATTGTCAAAGTAAGTGAAAATGAAAACTTTCATTAAAAATATATGTAAAATATTGAAAATATTTAAGAAAACCCACAGAGATGTATGTTCATGTAGTAATTAATATTTAATAATTTGTAATTAATAACCGTACCCTCACATTATTACTTTTTGTAATTTTTCACACACAGTACAGATATGTTGGTGGACATTTGCGAGTCACCTTTTACCAATCTCCAACCATTCATGCATTTTCAAACAGCCTCCTCCTGTTTAGGGTTCCAGAGGAGCTGGAGCTTATCCCAGCAAGCAATGGGCCCAAGGAAAGGTACACTTTAGATGGGACACCAGTCCATCTCGGGACAGACACAGACACCAGGGCCAATTTTCCCAGAAGGCAATTAATCTACCACTATGTCTTTGGGCTGTGGCAGGAAACTGGAGCACTGGAGCACATGCGAACACAGAGAGAACATACAAACTCCATACAAGCCGCTCATCTTTTGCTCATTAAAAAAATCACAGAGGAGAAATGTGGAAACCTGCAGCCATTATCATGAAAAACACACCTCCTGGAGGGGCTGCTTGCACAGAGGGCACCTCAGATTGTGGTCAAGGCTTCGTTCGATACAGCTTTTGCAGAAGGTGTGTCCACAGGGAGTCGTGACTGGTTCGAAGAATAACCTAGAAAAGTAAAGAATTTGAGTATTATTTGTATCATTATATCAACAGCATTTACAGTACCTTAGAATATGATTTTGAAAAGTTACCAATGTAAAGTACATGTACCTCAACATTACTTCAGGTTAATGGTGAAGCTCACATCAGAAAACATGGTCCTATGGATCATTTTTGTACAAATTCCAAGAACTCTTAACTTAAAACATGGATGTTTGCTTACCTTATGCACAGTGGGCATTCAAAGTCCGATGGACTGAGCATATTGAGAGGAAACTCTTGGACGTCGCTACAAATCTCTGTACTCGCTCCTAGGTTTTTGAGAGAGACATTAAATATGTTGGAATACAATTTTACTCAAATTAACTAGGAACTGTCTTTGATCAAGAAACAGCGCATCATGGATGTTCGGTCAGTACTGGGGTTTACCAGGGTGTAAATACAGGGAGGGCAATCTGTTGTAGGGCTTCAAACTGAAACTGCAGGTGTCTGGGAGGGCAGAGGGAGCTGAAGCATCCAGTGAGCACCCACTTGAACAGGCTGAAAACATGCAGAGTTCACACAGACCGTGAGGCTAGTATAAATGCTAACTACCATGCCACCATGCTGAGGTAACCTTTACTGGGCCAGAACAAAGATAAATAAAATAATATACATATACTTCTGAAGAAATAGATGTTCTGCCCCAAACATTAGACTGTTTCCATCTTAATGCCTTAAAGGTGTCAATTGTGTGACATTTCACTTGCTTTAACTCCCAAGTGTCTTGTACTGTATTTGTGCTTTCTGCAAAAGGAATTATAACGGTTACAAATGAAAACCAACCTGTCCATTTTGCTTATCTGGTAGCTAGTGGGTTCCTTTACATGTATATTTCTAAAATTGGTTGCTTGAGCACTCTCTCAGCACTCTACCTTTTAAAGCGTTGTTTAATGCATCTGATATTCTCTTGGTATTTTGGCATAAAAAGATAATTAACTGGTGCTTTAACATTGTGATTTTCCCTTGGGTTCTCTTTTTGACCCCCTTGGACTTTTCCTTTGAATTCTCCCCATTTTCGTATTAGTTTACATGTTTTTCCCTGTAAATCCTTATCCCAATTCTGATGTAATTTGTCACATCTGTACAGAAGCGGTTTGCTTCCTGTGGCCTAAAAAAAAACAGCCTCTTCCGTCACCCCGTGTCCTCAGCCACTCTTTTTGTGTTTAAGGATTCACATTTCAGTTTGTTCACATTTGTACAGTAAAGCCAAGAAGCCGGAGAAAAACACTGATTTGGTCCCAGTCATCAGTCAGTTTCCAGTGAAGTCAGCCTTCTTTGTGGAGATGAGTGTGACAGATGTTGCTTATACTGTATGCGTTTGGCCCTCCTGCTTAGATTTTAATTCTTATTCAAGCTGCCTTATCAGCTCTGCATGTGTACTTTAGCTCACAATAACATGAAATGAGTCACAGGACTCTCTTGCTCTGCGAAGTGAATCAGGAAATGGTCTCAACAGGTACCACTGCACAAAAATGCAAACAAGTACAGCTCCAGTTATTTGCTTCCTGAGAATGATATTCGGGGACATCTTCTTTGCTATATGACAAATAATTTCTTCTTACCTGTCTTGGAGCTTCTCCCTCTTCATTTTTCTAAGCTATCGTAAAATATGACACTTAATCCAACACTTACCGCTTCTTTGGTGCTCAGTGTCCCTGTTCATCAGTTCCTCTTCATTTTTTCTGGCTGGGAGAAGAGAGACAGAGTGGCTCAGGCTGACGCAGCTGTCGGCCTTTTTGGCTTTGTTTGTTTCTCCCGAGGCCTGGAGAGAGGAAAGGAGTGGAGAACTGCGTCAGAATATCTTCATGTCAATACGTTAACATCTGCCCTCCCTCCTGTCTTTACTCTGATGTGCAGAGATCATTCCTGAAAAGGGGACTGACTTGCACTCTCTCCTCCTCCAAGGGCTGGGAAAGTGGGGCGTCTTCACTCAGCACAGGGTCTGCTGCTGGGCAGGCGTTCCTCAGATACATCGAGGTGACCTTCAGCAGGTCTTCTACTTCTTCTGGCACAGACTCACCATTTGAATGCAGTATCTGAATATTTCCAACCAAAAAGAAACAGATATAAAACATGTTTTTACAGTTTTAGAGAAAATCAATTTGGATACTTCCATTCAGGTGTCTATGACAGTACATCTTCATTTTAATTTTTCTTCCCAAAACCATGATTTGTCCAATTTGGTGTACTTGTATCATAATATTAGTGCTATGTGGTAACGCTCTCATGTCTTTTATCACATAGCCCACCCGGACCTGACCCACACTGCTTTTGCCCATTAATCTACACTGTCATAGATATATAAGACATCATCAGGAGTTTGTTATAATGTATGCATGTTACAAGCATGAACAATTTTCCTAAAGCACCCACTAGTGTTTTAAACTGCTACAGCAGCTTTGACTTATTAGCACATGTTAATCTGGGCGAGAAGAAACCAAGCTTGTTATTTAGCAATATTTAATCAGATTATCAAATCCGTGATCAAAGCAACTCGGGATAAACTATATTTAAGCAGCCAGCATTTATTGTGCAGGGTCTAATCCATCATATTTGCCCGATCAAATGTCATTGATTCACTGTAAGGTGTTCCTACATATTATTTTGTTACCTAAATTAATTATAATTGCTGTCCTTAAAAAACATAAATAGGAAACAACAAGACTTTCCTTTTTTCTCTTTCTGTGTAGATCTGTTTAAACTAAGTTTTAAGTACCACTAACCATAAGATCTGAAATAACTTAGTTGTATTTGTCTTTTTTTAAAAAAACACTAGATAATCCTTGCAACTCCTGCTATAATTCACAATAAGAAATACAAATGCTGAATAAAATAAATAGATACTAGTTAACATCCTGTGCTTTAATATACATGTATTTATGTTTCTTGACTTAACATATAAATTATTCTACAGCTTTCAACAACAGTTTGAGAAGTTTTAAAGTAACAATACACAGTTACAACACAAAATTCACAGGATCAAAGGCCTGGAATTTACCTTTTGTATTTCATGCTTGGCAGGAGCAAATTCATGCTGAAGTCTGAGACAGTGATGATATTGAATCAGAGCTTCTATTTTTCTTCCCATTTCCAGGAATATGTTCCCTTTTCGAAAAAAAACCTAAGCAGAAAAAAAGATCAAAACTAACAACTGACTTTCATAGAGGAGGAGAGAAGTGATTCTCTAATAATCATCTGCACATCAAAATGTAGGCATTATTCATTCAACAACAGAAAGCATGTTATCATACTGTCTATACTTTCTAGAACACACAAAGCCACTTCTTTTTGTGTCTTTATAAGAGGGTAAGATTAAGGTTTTGCTGTTCTATTGTACTGTATGTAATACAGTGGGAGAACACTTCCTGGGCTTCTGAAATTTTGAGGAAATACTCTAATGAATAGTCAGATGACGGACAGAATTCACATGAAGGATTATTTCTGTACTGTAACGTCTTGGCTTGAAAACAAGACTCCCACAGAGTAAACTATGTTGCGTTATAGTACAGGACATGTGTATTTTCACAGATGTTCAGTATAAATTTCATCTCACATGTCTAATACTATTCCTTTCAGCTTATGGTAACATTATCAACCTGAAGTAGAAATGACAACTTCACGTACATTAACCAGTATGACAACTCTATCATGTCTGCCCCAGGCAAAGTAAACATAGCTCCATAAATCCATCACCCATGAATGGTTACAAATATCCCTTGTACTTCTTCACCAACTAAGAAAAACAGGAACGTAAACTAACCACTCCCCAAGAATGTTTTTAATCATTTAAGGAAACAGTTTATGAAATAATGGTTCTTTCTTTTTCTTATTCTCCCAATGGCAGGTAAATCAATGGATTTGGGTGTTTACTGTACTTCCCTCTTAGATACTTAACACTAGAATACTTTGGATTATTAAAGACCATCTTTTATATTATTTAACATTATGTACAAACTTATAGGGAGTGCATACTGTACAAACACCATTAGTTAAGAACACTACTGTATAAGCAGGCCTGTGTCATTTGGAAGATGATTTTGTTTCTGGATTCACTGCAGTATGCAGCATTCCATCACTAGCTTTGTTTTTCACAAAACAAAATGACTCAACCCTGTGGAATATGAAATTATACTACAGTAAACCAGGAATATAGAACCTGGATGGTGATTAATAAACAAGCTTTAAGTATTTTTAGCAGTTTGAAAAGTTTTAGCTTTAAAGAGAAATGTAAGAAGGAAAATTAAAGAGTTCCCTCTGAGCCGTATTTTTTCATTGTTTTATTGAAAAAAAATCAGATGCCAAGGGCTTAATCAAGTCACTGAAACACTCCATTCCACAGTAAGTTCTACTGCAGAGGAGTGTGGCTTACATTTTTCTGTTAGTATGACACACGAAATGAGGAGGTTTTTTTGAACTGTTATGAAAAAACATGTCACCTCAGTCCATGTGGGCCGCATTTCACATAACAAATCCAGATCCTTCAGTGCGTCACTATAGCGCTGTAGTCCCAGTTTGGCCTCTGCCCGTGAAATTTGCAGGCTGACATCATTAGGTGCTGTAGGAGGAAGGAGAAATAGTCAAAAGCTTCCCTTGGCACAACAGACAAGAAGAAAACCGATTTGCTTTTTGGTGTACCACACACACCACAACACTACAACCCAAGTGGACAAGTAAGAGCTATTATCAGAATCTGAAAAGGAATGTTCCTCCTTTGGAAATTCCAAATTTAAGAAATGGCATATTGCACTTGTTGCATGATTCTCACATGACATTTGCTCACTGTTTCAGAGAAATGTTTGGGGCCTTGAAGAAACAGATTTTTAATAAATGGACTCAGTCTTGAATAAGTCATAGTGTGATACTTAAGAGTTAGAAACAACACAAAATAGTTCCTTGCTCATACAGTAACGGTCATTTTCCTATTTGGAAGGAAGTACTGGTAGTTATACAAACTCTCTTGTCGAATAATCAATTTCTTTAAAAGCATGAAGGACTAAAGCAGATTATCAGGAGCATAACTTATGTTGATATAATGTTTTGCATATTCTGCCATGTTGACAGCCTTATTACTAGTCGGAACAAGAACCAATACAACAACAGCCTCCTGTTTTCTTCTTCATTCATTCTTTGCATATTGTAACATGAGAGTATGTTACATAAGAGAAGGCATGCGCACTCCTTATTACTATCGGTACACAGGTACACAATAGTACTGAAGTACTGAAGAGACTGACTGAACGGCTTTTGATTAGCTTATGAACTTCTCTCTATTGTAACCTTCTATGCAGTAGTTTCTTATTCTTCAAGGGAAAGTACATTTCTATATTAAGAAAATACCTCATCTTCAAGTACCGCATCTGAATCAAAATGTAGTAACTAGTGTGCTCTCAGGGTCAGCGCTTCTGTATTAAGAACCCCTACTGACAACCACATCCTACTGCACTAAATGATGCACAGATGAGAGCAGATTCAGAGACACATCTGATAATGGGGAAACAGGTGTTTGAAGATGAGATGTTTAAGGTTATATTATAGAGAATAATAAATAACCCTATATTAAATTATATCCAGCTACTAAGCATTTAACATAATTAAAAATCATTTTTATCCATTTCCTTCTCTGAAGGTATGCATGTTCTTAGCAGTGTTTGCACACTGTCTTTTAAAGAAAATATCCTGGTGCCTTTCAGCAAGCCAAAGCACCTGACAGAATTCAGTGATATTAAAGCAGATACTGAGGATAAATCCTTCAAAACAAGAAGTGTCATCCAATTGTTTAGTATGTTAACTCAAAAGTAACAGACTTAGGTTTAAATCCTTTTTTTTAATTTACTGAGACTGAAAACTGTATTTTAGCAATGAAAAATTATGTACTGATATAAACAGCAAAAGATTCAAAGAAAACAACTTGCAATATATTCTTCTCCAGCGAGGCATGGCAAGCTGGGTTGGATTCAGTCCTCAGCCATCTATCTGGCTATGCGCTACGTGTTTTCCCAGTATTCATGAGCATTTTATCTTGGCAGTCTGGATTCCTGCTGTCCCCCAGACACACCGACGGGGTTTAACTGACTATTGTAAAATTGTCCCTTTCTCTGTGGTCCTGCAATGGACTGGCATTCAGCCCCAGAGACAGAAGCTGTGTGCTGTTAGTCCCACTGAGCACTGTATACTTCCAGAATAGGCCCAAGCTTCCTGTGAGCACTGCCAGGACATGTAGCTTTCTGAAAGTGCACACATAAAAATCTGCTTTAAAGTGCAACATCAGTCTAGTTTATATTTAGAACACATACTGTTCTAGTTCTGTACATAGTTTAAATATAGAGTAAACCAATAACCTAAAGCACAGTGCACTGTCATCTAAAAGCTATTTAGGTAAAGGCTCCAGCAAAATAATCCTACAAATCATGTAAATGGGGTAAAAATAACCTAAGAGTAAAATTAGATGTTCTTTTATATGAATTTTAGTTCCCACTTCAAGTTTTAAAATATAGATTACAAAGCAAAGCTGGCTGAATTACTCCTGTTACACTTGGAAATGGACTGATATTGTGTATCTGTCTCTGTGATTAATACATCCCACAGAGTAAACTATGTTGCGTTATAGTACAGGACATTATTTAAAAATCCTAGAACATACTGACAGTTAACCCTGAGAACTGCTTCATTATCAACACAGCATTTAGGACAGAAATCAATATGAATTTCTTCACAGCGAAGCTTGTGGAGTCTTAAAACATATTGCCAAGCAATTCTGTTCAGGCAGATTCGCTGGGGACCTTCAAAAATCTGCTCTAGAAGGGGACCATCAAAAATCTGTATTAATAATAAAAATTAATATGTTGCTAGCTGCCAAATAAGTGATATGGGCTTCCTCTACTTTCTTGTGTTCATATAGAGGGGATGCCAGTCATACATTTACAAATCTCTTTGACTTCTGTACAAAGAATATATCCTGCTAAAAAATATGCATATCTACCCTTGTGTACCTCTTGGTTAACCCATGTCTATGCAAGTTTTATGGGGATTGTTACGAAATGAATTAACACATTTTATCTATACTTGCTCTTGCTCTATAAGAAAAACTGACCAAGCTTAATGATGTGATTTTATACCACCATTTATGTGTTGCCATAATTATTTTTTGTAGGATTTAATATGACACCATTTTAAAGCACATCAGCTTTTCTTGTCATGTGTAGCCTAATGCTAGTGCACAGACCTTTAACAGAATCAGAAAACTGCACAGGACCACATCAACTTCATAAAGCAGCTGAACTATGCTGTACGAACGGTAACTTTCTGGGGATTCTCATCATAACATTTTAAGCCATGGTGTTTTAAAAACAGGACCTTTGAAGTACTAAGAGAAAAACATTTATTTTAATTTTCAATATTTACCTGGGAATGAGAAAAGATGTAACATTTAATAGGATAAAATACGATTTAGGAAAAGGGTCTCATCATGAAGGCCTAAGCCTAAAATAAATTAATTTGAGGGTGGTTGCTTTACTGAGTTATTCAGGAGATCCTAAGCAATGCATCACTGAGATCCATTGTGAGGTACTGATTCACTTGCTCGGATGTCTTGTAGCAAGTCTGGTAAGAGCAAAACAGTAGCTAGCCAACGTCATCCACAGACACAAATAAAATAATTGCTGCAACATGAACACTTAATCTCTTAATGACACTGACTGATGCGTAATGGAGAATGAAAAACCGGAGCTGATTTTGGAAAGCAGAACACCTATACTCCCATGCCCTGCGAACCATCTCTGAGTTTTCAGTTCCCATTTATTCTGCAATGTTAAAAGGCCAACAGTTATAATTCACACACCAAAAGTAGTCTAATACTTATAACTGCAGCAAATTCACAAAGACTGTCTTTTTGAACAGACATGACCGTGGGAAATCCATTATGCTAGTATTTGGCTATTGTGAAAATAGATGTTTTTTCCGAAGTTAAGAAATGTGCTTGCTATTGGATGAACATACTTAATATATAAAAGACATTTAGGTTTTTTCTGGAAAAACATATGTGGAGACAAGACAGTTTTCCAGATAGCAACCCCCCAAATTGCAAAATTCAATTTGCAGATTGCTGCTGACGTTTTATCTACATATTTTAACACTGCACTTGCTTTATGAGTGTGTATGTCATAACCAGTATTTTTTTTTCTTTTCTTCAGAAGTCAGGAACCTATTTCAACAACAACTGCAATGGGGATTTTTTCCCCTGGGAGAGGTTGGCAAACCTCACTGAAGTTCCTCGAATTCTCCACTAGGTGTCAGTGAAGTTTTAATGTTGCACTTAAAAAATATTACACTAGGAAATCAGCATGCGTGCGTTATTAGTAATATTTCAATCACAAACCACGTTTCACGTTTTGTTAAATTGGGTATATAACAAAATGTTTGATTAGGTGCCCTGCAGTACCATGAGAACAGCAGACTGAGCACCACACAAGCAAATTGCGTAATTGGGTGTTAGGGGCGAAGTACTCCATGTTGAAGTTATACAATTTTTTACAATACATACCTTACGGGTTACATAAGTCTTTTTTTTTTTCGCAAAAGATATTCGATAAAAACCTTACCCAGCCGCATTCCTTCATCTATAATCCGCAGGGCTTCAGTAAACTCGCAGTTTTTAAGACGATCCTGCAAATTGCACTTCAGTTTTGTGTCTTCTGGGTAGCATTTTTCCATCACGCTGAACAGCAGGACGTTGGTTTTTATGTTTTTCACGTCTCTCAGCTTCAACCTCTCTCTGCAGATTTGGCACCTCGAAGGTAAAATCGTTCCCAAGCAGCTTTTGCAGAAAGAATGTCCGCAGGACACTGTCACGGGCTCGGACATAAGACAATGGCAAGTTGGGCAGAGTAAGAGATCCATTTTCGTCAATAAACTTTGTCAGGTTGGTTTCACTTTTAAGAGATGTCGTTGTAAGAGTCGGGAATACGCCTTTTTTAAAAGGGCAAAGAGAAAAGTTAATTGCGTGTAGTCCCAGATTGCATTCAAATGTATACTTTAAACGTACCCTAAGCACCAGTCTAGCGAGGTTTATCTGCACTTTGAGGTACTGTAGTAGTAGCCTAGATATCCTTTTAATCTGACAGCAGCGATCTCTTAGCAGCCAAGACATTAACGAACTGTCCGTCCATCCTGGTTTCCCCAGAGTAAGAAATCCTTTCAGTGTTGACCTTCGGATTATGATCGCCGGTCCTTGATCATTTATCCGAAATTTCGGTCAAGCGCATTGAAGAAAAGTATGTTGTATCCTCTCCTCTTCCATTGATAACCACAAAGAGAAAATTCACCTCTTCGTTACGGAGCTACTGTACTTCTTTTGTGTGTGTTAAAACAGAGCACCACAGAGAAACCACAGAGCCGAGAAAGACATTTCCTACACTTTTGCGTTATTAAATTTCCAGTGTACCTTGCTAGGCTTCACCTGAGCATCACAAACAGTATCACAAGGATAGACTACTGTATGCATACCCCATGGGATTATATAAATAGAGACCATGTGATTCGTAAGAGGCTGTGCCGATTGGCTTGAAACAGCCGGTCCCACCCTGTTGTGAAACAGTCTCCCAACGTGTTTCATAATCCAATATCAAAGGCGGAATCGGTGAAAATGTTTCTTTCATGGGATATTTAAATTATAATGTCGAAGTGTCTGTGCAGTTTTGTTGAACGATTTTTATCCGTAGGCTAACTGAAGAAAGCGGTCTAATTTATAATATAATATTATTACTTACGATATTATTCACAAGCGGTGCTTGTGAAATACCCCAGTAACCTAGTTAATTTAATTGTTAAAACGTCATTCTAAGAATGTTCGTATTTTAAATCTACGGTTAAAAATCTCAAATGAAGGAGACACCCGCATAGAAAACGTTTATTGCTACCAAAAGAAAAACATTTTAAGGAGATTGCAACTGTGTACCAATGGGAAACTCCTAAAATCTCTTCGTTGTTGAAACAAGCTGTTGACTTGTAGGTTAATTTGTAACTGATTAAATTTTACTGAAATACATGTTTATAAACCGAGTTCTTAGACGTATATATGTATAAATTATAAACATTGAAGTACACAAAACATACCTCTTTTTTGCCTTAGTCCTTGCTTTGGTCTAATTATGGAGTGTCGTATTAAGTAAAGCTTTGCACAATGATTGTTATTACTAAACATATACCTTGACTTATCCATCACCAAGAGTCGTGTTTACAAAGCAATAATTTACTCCTCAAGTACTTCGTGTTGCTGAAAGTATGCATTAATTTACTCCTTACTTTTCCTCCCAAGATACAGTATGCAGTGATTGCAGATTTAGAAAATGAGGAACTGGAAACAGTCATAAATATGGGCCTTTGGCTCAGCCAAGCCAAAAACAATAAAGTGTAATAAACTGAACAGAAAACCAATAACAAAAAAATAAATGTATAAAGTGTTGTATACAAAATACAATACAGTATATAAAGGAGCAAAATGTACAGTAACATGGTAATCTATACAAAACACTATCTGTGTCAAGATCCTAATGCTTACGTAATGTTATATCATTAAATTAACTTTTATTGGCAGAGGTATTTCCTATGTCTTAATAGTACTTAACATAACGTACTTTAATTGTTTACATGTAAAGATCTTTGTAGTTGTGTAGAAGTGGGTGGTTTTTGCCCCAGCCAAGTATTTAATCACATGCTGATTTTAGTTTCCAGCCTGCGACCTTTTTTAATTTGCTTTCACCTCTTAAAATCACATTTTAAATCGAGAAGCTGAATGAGGTTTAGAATTGACAAATTGAGAGTCTGCAGTTCTGCGTGCCAAAATGGTCAGAAATTATGTACTTTAACACTTTCAGGGTATTTTTGAAACCAAGAAGACTAAACCAGAAAGCAGGTCGGTTACAGATGCCAATTAGTACTGGTGAATAAGGGCCCATATGGCACAGAAGCATTGCTGTGGCCCTGGGTTCAATTCAAGACTTGGGGTGCTGTCTGCAAGGAGTTTGTATGGTGTCCCCATGTTGATGTGGGTTTCCTCCAGGTGATCCAGTTTCTTCCCACTGTCCAGAGATATGCTGGCAGGTGAATAGGCTTCTGGGAGAATTGGCCCTGGTGTGAGTGAGATCATGTTAGTTTGTCTATGTGCACACTACAGTGGACTGGAGCCCGTTATTGGCATTACCTGTTACAGTGGACTGGCATCCCATTGACTTGTGCCTGTTACGTGCTTGGATAGGTTTTAACTCCCATGCAACCCTATAATGGATAAAGCCTTTAGAAAATGGATGAATAAGAGCCCTTTTAGAACAGTAACCTGCAGACACAAGTGGTCTTCAGGTCCAAGACTGAGAACCATCAACATAACCAATCCCACAGTTTAGAAATGATTTTTTTATGATTTCTGGTATTGTACTTTGAATCATCTTCCTTCTGAAACATCCTGCTGTGTCTGTGAGCCTAATGTAATCTTTCTGGAATCTTTCTGGCGAGCAGGCATACATTTTAGTTGATATAAAATGTGCTTGAAATGCCCCGTAGTGTGTTTATCAAAAGGCAAGCTACCAGTTACAGATTAAATTTGGCATTACATTCTCAAAGCTCAAGAGTGAATGTGTACGAAACCTTTTGCCATCCACTGGTGTTTAATGCTTATCTAACAAACAGCCATTTTGTAATATCATATAAGAACACATCTGAATCATTTTCATGTTTACCTTAAGACATGGTTATAGAAAGCTAGCCTGTTGATACTACCAAGATGCTTGTTTATTGTAGTTGTTTTCAGAATATAGTTATTATGGCCCTTGGCAAAACTGAGCCCAAGTAGAAACTGAAAGTGATTATTTTTGTTTTTGTATAAAGGTGAGGATATATTGCATTAACAAACTAACCTAATACTGTTTAGTTCCTAATTCTATGACATAATACTATTGAAGTTATCACTAAAGGACTGGGAACTTTCATAAGATTATAAACTAGTAAACAACATTAAATCTCAAAGAATCTGGTAAATATTTTGCATTCAGCACACCAGGAAATGCCTCACCTGGATAATATTCTTATGTCATAAAACTAAAGTGCACTTGTATAACAGAATACATCAGCCCAGCCCATATTGTATAATATTTTCAGTTTCTTAAAATGAGTTCTTCTGATCCATGACAGCAATGGCATAGCTTTGTAATTTCTCTTTTTAAGTGGCTCAATTAGCTAAGGCTGTAATTGTTTTAAATGGGATTTTACGGACATATTTTTTAACGAGATAAAATCACGCAAGGCATGCGACTTTTGTTAACCCTTTGATTACAGTACATCCATGCATTTTCTAACCACTTCTTCTAATTTCAGGGTTCCAGGGGAGCTCAGCAAGCAATGGGCACAACGTGGGGGTACACCCAGACACACAGCAGGCCCAGTTTTCCCAGAATCCACTAAACCTACCAAAATGTTTTTGTCTGTGGCATGAAACCCACACAGACATGAGGGAACATACACCATCTATGCAGATACTGTAGTATCGCAGGAATTGAAAACCCAGGGCCCCAGCACTGAAAGGTAGCAATTTATACCAGTGTACCACTGATCCCCTCACTTTGATTACAGCATATTCAAATTCAAATCCTAAATAAATGCAGTGTTTGGTGAAAATCATCATCATAACTTCCCCACACTAAGAACACACTTGATCTTATCCATAACTAATGTCAATCACACAACAGCAGTACGTTCTGTGAAGATTCACACTGGCCTCCTTGGGTCCTTTCATGCTCCAGCAGAAGTTTTCATATGAGTCCTTGAAGAGAGCAGCTACTGTATCTACTTTGTTGAAACAGCAACAGTTTCTGAATGGATCCTGTGATCAGAGGAAATACAACAGGTTCAATAAAGTAAGGTAGGCCTGGTATCTGGAGAACCATATTCAAACTATCGGTGACACTGACCCACTGCCTTTAAGACATGAAAATTCTAGCTACATTGTGTGCAAAAACCTAAAGGACGTGTAACCTGCAAGAAATTAAGGATGAGTAAGCAATTTTAAGTCACATCTGAAATAGACAGCTTATTTTAGACAGGTATTTTTACAGTGTGAGCCAACATGTTGCTCTCTTCCCATAGTAACAGTAGTCTGCAGAGGCTTCACAAAGGTGGTCAGTTATTCCAACAGCATTGGAGGTTCTGTGTAATCATCTACCAAAAGTAATTTCATCGACAGATACTGTGCGGAAAGATCAGCATATTCGCAAAGGGACAGCCATCTACACTAACAGATTCTTGAAATTAGAAAATTATTAGACCCCTCTTTTCCTTTTTGTTTTGAAATGTTACTGGCAGAGCTCCGAAGAGTAGGGGTCGTATTTCCACTTTCTACTCCTAATGTACAAGGAATGTGTCGATTATTCTTTGATCGAAAGTAACAGGCATCAATCTGTGTGAAACAACGACCGAGTCTGTCATGCGTTTAACGAAGAATCTCGGAAATCTCCGAAATCTCGGAATCTCGGAAAGGTAGCAGAAAATGTCACAGTTCTTTAGACTTCATTTAAAATAACATTTGCATTCTCCCTTTTTAGTATACGTATGTAACGCATCATCTATGTATTTACCATAAAGCACCTTAACTCAGATACAAATATTTCAATTTTTCATTTAAAATGAAAAAATATTCGTGCCTTGAAACATGCGGCATAAACTACGCGGAACACGGATTCGTCGACTCAACTAGTTTAGCTGCTTTACCTGCAGTTCTGCCTTGGCCGGGTTAAAATAATGTTCTGGTATTTGCTAGTACTATGCATTTGTTTTTTAACTGATAAACTGGTGAAATCGTTACTAACCGATTGAAACATTTTAGGTACTTTTAGTGTCCATGAACCGTAATGCAGTCTGTAAAAGAGATATTCCTGTCCTTTAAAGCGGCGCGCTGTGATGGCCGAGTGGTTAAGGCGTTGGACTTGAAATCCAATGGGGTCTCCCCGCGCAGGTTCGAACCCTGCTCGCAGCGATAAACTTCTTTTTAAAAAAATGCATCCAGCTATTTATAGTTACGTATTTACAGTACGGAACATAAGAATTTGTTTTATAAAACATCTCAATAATTTAAAGATTATTTTCTAACGTCGGAAACGTGGAAATCGGTTGCCGGTTTTAAAAGGCGCCGCTAGATGACACTAATTCTACATTCATTTTTAATTTGTAATCGACTGCTGCAGAACGTGGCTTGCTTGGTTGTTAAAACAACACCGGAAAATACGTTAAAAAAAGAAAAGGTTACGAAGGCGCTGTATGTGTACTTCCAAAAATGTATGGAGTTTGGAGACTTTTTTTATTTTAAGAATCAAATATTCTAAAAAAGTAACGCAAGACTTCAACAAGAAAATAATGAGTTTGTGATGGGTGTCATTAGTCTGCGTTAATGATCTGTTGATCAGTCTAATTGATTTGCGTTAATGAACCACTAACAACGTTCAATTGCAACCTTTTGAAAAGATTAAAGTCTCAGTTTCTACAGTAAGTTACTAGGTCAAGAAATACTCAGTTTTCCTGATGATATGATTGATACGTTATTTATATTCAATTAGATATTAGTTTACAGATCGTTTTAATTTTTAATTTTGACTCCTTAAAAACGTATTCTATTCCAGAAGAGCTGGTGCCAAAATCTCCAAAACACGATTCGTGTAAAACTTGCCGTGTTGTTCATTATATACACACAAATACGTTTTTCGAAACATACTGTGTTTAATTACTTTTTCTGAAAAGAAATCTTTGTGTTCAATAGATTTATACAATACACTTTCAAACAAATTGTTGCAACCTTTAAATCGGTTAAAAATTTATATAGTTTAACAGACACATTAAGAACTATTGAGGATGTGTACTTAGAGAGCCAAAGTGTTATTTTATATATGATATATACTTGTGAATAAATACATTAAAATAGTGGACACTTTCAGTTTTTGGCTACTTTTGGGAAAATGTGAAACTGTAATAAGTGGACAATACCAGTTCATTGTTCCCAGTTTCAATATCTACAATATTCACTTGCTACAAAAATAGGACATAGGAACTAGAATAATAGTGAGACATCAATTCTAATACTTCAAAAGCCCTATAATTTTTTGTGGTAACTAAAATGCTTTATTATCTTAGACCTTTCAAATGTGTTACAAAATGTAATAATTTGAAGTATTTTTTTTAGAAAATTCGATGGGGAAAAAAAAAAAACAATTAATAACTGTAGCTCCACTGACTGAATCAGTCTGAGACCACACTACATCTAATCCTGCAAAACTGAAATAAAATTGGTGCTAGAACAGGTGCTAAAGCATAAGTTTAAAATGAGAATCTAAAAAAAATGGAATAAAAAGGCTGCGATATTAAAAGCAAACTGCAACACTATTTTTATATTTCGTGGTTACAAAGAATAAGCACAGAAGAGTGCATTTCAAACCTTAATAAAAGTAAGATATACAAAGTAACATGTGATACCTCTAATTTACATCTCAAAATAGGCAAAATTTCCAGGTATGTGCAGCACTATATTCGGCGATTCAGAACAAGACAACAAAACGTCCAGTGATGTGAAGCTGCCTTATCACATTGTAAACAAGCAGACTTGTGAAAACATCTCTTGTAATCCCATAGAAATATTACTGTCGACTTCAAGATGGTTTTCCTTTCAAATACTACTTACTAACTCTGCTTGCAGATCACGTTGGAACGTTTCTGGGGTGAAACGTCTGCTGCACAACCTGCACTTATTCGCTCGGAAATCACATCACATTACATACAGTACTGTACAGTCATGACAGGGACTAGTGACCAGGAAGGGCCACCCCACGTCACAATTCACGCAGTTCTCGAGAACTCTCACCCGTGACGAGACCAAGGGTTTGTGACAACAATGGAGATTACACAGTCATTTCACAAAGTTCATGGTTCTGTGCTTGATTTGGAATTTGTCAACTATTTCTGTGCCAGCAATTATTTTGTTACAGAGATCTAATAACCGGTCTGGGAAGTTGGAACTGCAGTTCCCCCTTAAGCTTGCTTTGGTCAACTGGATACCAAACCTTTCTTAAGCTTGCAGCGCAATGAAAAGAGAAATGTCCACTCAAAAGTGTGACTTTTATTTCCGAAAGGTTCCTGAGATATTTTCCTGCTTGAACAACAGCATAGCCTCAGATAACACAATACTCAAACTGTTCATCCCCTAGACACTTGTGACTTCTGCTTATTTTTGCTCTCAACATGCAGCCAAAGAGGACATCAACATTTTAGCATACAGTACACAGCCCCTTTAGCCACACAATATCATATCTTTATTCTCACAACTCCTGATGTTGCAGCTTCAATGCGGTGTCGCATTGCTTTGAGAAAAAACACCCACGTGGTATTTGAAAGTACAAGGAAAAGTCAGTTTATGTCATTTCGTCAATGATGCTGCACATGGCCGCATCCTTGTCCCACGTTTTGTCCCTTTTGTCCTTTTCTTTGTCCGCCTGTCCCACCATGCAGCCGCCACCGGCCTCGTCCACGTCCATGGGCTCCGATTTCAGCCGGGGGTGCCCCCCGGTGCCCGCCTCGGGCTGGGGCAGGTCGTCGGGGAGGGAGGCCAGGCAGCCCTGGATCACCTCCACCACCCGGTCCAGGTGCTTCTGGAAGCGCTCGGCCGTCTCCAGCCGCTGGCGCTTCTGCACCTCCATCATCACGCGCAGGGTCTCGCGGGCCTGGTGCGGCCGGTACTCGTTGATCAGGTGGTGCATGTGCACGAAGAGCAGCTTGAGGTCCTCCAGCTTCTCCTCGCGCTTGATGCTGCCGGGGCTCTTGATCAGGATGTCCAGGAGGTCCAGGAAGTTCACCAGGATGGACATGTTGAGCTTCTTCAGCTCCTTCTTGTGGTCAAACTGAACAGGGTGGAGGCGCTCGATGCCCTGGCTTTCCAGGGGGCGGATGATGAGGTCGTCGCACTGGAACTGGTTACCGAACATCATGTAGGTGTCCTTGATGGGCGGCGGGGGCTTGGGGGCGAGGGCCTTCCGGACATTTTCGTCCGTATACTCCTTTATGTACTGCATGGGCGGCGGGGGGAGGGCACTGACCTGCTGTGGCTCGCCCATGGTGAAACCTGTGGAGACAGCAGCTTTTTTTTTAAAACTCTGCTATGCAACTACATAACTCATTCTTCTGTCGCTAAACAGCACTAGTTTACCACGTTGTAATGCAGATCGGTTCTGAAATAACTTGCTTTAAGGCAAAATACAGTGTAAAAAGCTGTTTTGGAATAAAAAACACACAATGCTCATGGAAAATGCAACTAAACATAAACATATGTGCAAAGTTGTTGCACAAACCTAATAAAGATGGAGAAAAATTAACACTTTCTGATCAACAGTTGCCAACAGCATAAATGTACTCCATAACATTAAACCCAAACGTATGGTAAAGTAAAACTCCAATGTATGAGTATTGGGCGTGTGATTATTTTAACGAATAATCAGTTCATATTGACAATAAAATGATGAGAAAAATGTTTCAGCAATCGGCTCTGACCATCTATCTACAACAAATTTTTTTTTAGGTTATATTTTGTCCCCACTAACTAGCTTAGTTATTAGTCCCGGACGATCTAAAAAAACCCGCAGAATGTAGCATTTACTTTTGTTTATACTACGTTGAAACTATTTAAAGTTACAACACTTGCCAAATAAGACATGCCTGCATCAAAATATTAATCTTCGAGACCAATCCAAAAGCATCTTGCAGGATAAGGACACACTGTACACCACATTCGTTGTGTAGCGCTCACGAAAACAAGGGGCTTACAACATCGCATATTTTTGTTAAATGTACCTTATAAACATTACAACTAGCCGTATGGACCACGAAGACACCAATGTGCCAAATTTAAAAATGAAATGTATTTACAGCGAACAGTTTACAAAAGTAAAACAGGGACTGTGCTGGTGCTGTTGATATGACTGCTATTCAGTGGGAAACGCTCCATTCACTCACACTACCTGTACATATGTCACTTTTTACAAAAACGCAGGGTAAACTCCTACCTACCGTTCGTCGACTTTATAATTTTCTATTTCTGAAGCATTCACAAATGGGTATTGAATCCCTTGAATATTTTAGATGAAGACATCTAGCATTCTCTCAACAACGCTCGGTTCTCTTCCTGCACAACAGGGGAAGCCCAGGCGCCATTGGCTGGAAGCCGTCTCGATCCTCTTTGGATCTCATTGGCTTTTCCAGTCTCTCCAGATTCATCAGCAAAGTCTATTGGACGTAACGCGTTTAATAACGTAAAATCCGATTGGCTACGAGCGTACCTCCCTCTCGCGGGCATAGGCAGAGAAGTAATAGTAGGGTAATAGTTTGCAATACTTTACTAATAGTTTGCGATCGGAAGGGAATGTATTTAAATTGACAACTAATTATATGAAATGTCTAAAAAAATTGATAAAATAAAAATGGAAGTTTATTCTACTGTTTTTCAGCCTGGCCCAAGCGTGGGTTTCAGTTTAGAAGTGCTGTCTTTACTAATTAAATTATAAATTGATATCACCCTCCACCCCGAGAAAAATACACAGTGCAGGGTTTCATAGGAGAAGCGGTCCTATGAAGGAACTGAATAACTGAGTTTAACCACCCTTGGAAAGAACCTGGTTATTCCGACACTGGTTTCCGAAAAAAAAAAAAACTATTCGAAATTGTCTTCTGTGTAGACTAGTGCCACGATCTGACAAACCCTACATGAAAAGAAAAATCAAACCCACTTCTTCGGACAAATGTGCTGGACCATATCACTGAGTCTTGCTTGTTTAAGCTCTCTCGACCACAACTGGGTCAAGGTCTGTGTCAGTTCTGCATGTTGCTGTTTGAACTATGTAATTCAGGGTTCCATTTATGATTTTCTTATAGGAGCTGCACATCCCAGTGGATCTGGTGTTTGGGGGGCTACCAAAACGTGGACATTCAACTTTGAGAGTTTGTGAACTTGTCTCAGGACTGGGTGAAACAGAAACAGTATAATTTATTTATTGTCTGGACATGCTTTCACTGCTTATTATTTACTGTTTTGTAATGTACTGTCCACATTGTGTGGTGTTGTCGGTTGCACTGTGCATGTCCTAAGAGAACTGAAGTAAGAATCCCAAAGTACACGTACATATGGCAAAGAAACTCCTCTATCTATCTAATCATGGGGGCCAGAACTCTACTCTTTGTGAGCAGGTCTAGGTGTACTGCTTCACAGGAAGCAGGAAGGAGGGGCAATAGCCCGTGTTTGTGGCATTCTGGGAGGGACCCACACTGAACAGCTGTCCAGTGTGGTTTATGGAGAGTTCTGGGATGTGTTGCCTTATGAGTTGTGGGGTTCTTGGGGTCTCCGCCCTAGCCGCTCCTGACCTGCCAGTTGGTCCCTCACTGCCTGGGCGCGAACCCGTGTCTCTGGTGTCACACTAAAGGGAACTTGCCAGCTGAGCTAAAGGAGACTTCCCCCCAACCTGGGCAGCTAAGATCCCTGTTATATGGACATTGGCTCCTCCACCAAGAGCAGGGGTCAACAGCTGGACTCCAGCTTATAGGACTTCTAGGTCCAGCAGACCACGTGCAACACCTGCCACCAACCACTTCTGGATCCTGGTTGTAGCAGTTATGCACCAAGACCTCTAATCCAACTGATTGCCAGCAGGGGGATGGCTATCTCAACAGCGGGACTAATGAAGCAGGGAACCTGCAAACTGGGAAAAACCTGGCTTGGATCTAGAGAGATGATATAACTAAGTACCTACAGGAAGATTCCATGGACTGATTCTTGTTCAGTAACTTTTAATGCATTTATGTCGACTTGATCAGTTCTGTATGCATCTCAATGTGTTTTATAAGACCGTGTGTGAGTCTGGAAGAGGGAATCCAATTGGAGGAGAGACCATCAAGGTTGAGACTGGGTAAGTGAGAGCTGTTGCTCTGCTGCAGACTTCTTCTTGGTAGAGAAGCTATCTTATACTTACAGTATGCCAATAAGAGAGCTAAAGAGTAAGTCCCTCGCCTCTTTTTTTTCTGAGCCTAAATGGGAACATGCCAGAATTACAATATTAAAGAGTTAAGCCCAACGCTGATATACTTATTTAAAACAAGCCCAATGCACTTTGGCAAGAGAGCCACATCTTCAAGACATGGTTATAGATTCAGATAACTGATTTGATGCTTTTGAGTCTGACGAACCAGGAGTACAAATGTTGACTTTCACATTACCTGGGAAGTGGTTAATTTGTAGATTTTTTTTTTCATTTTGTCTGTGTAAACTCTTTAGTGTTCATTAAATTAAAAAAAAAATGCTAACCTTTTCTTAATTTGTGAAATATAAGAAACAAAACACGTCTTCAGTTCATTTTTGGGAAGACAAAAAGTATACGCGAGGAGATTTCATTTTAAAAACATAATTTATTATCCCCGTTTTATTTATTTTTTTACCTATTTATATCATTAAATGTGTTTAAATATTCGTGGGATACATAATTGTGTGATGCAAATCAGTGGGTGGACAGATGACTCATAATCCAAGGGATTATTTATAATTTAAGATGTCTGTACTGTCACTACTGTACGTAGCACGGATATAATTTAAAGTGACAAATGTATTCATATGTTACAGCTTTCAGTTCCACTCCCAAAAATTGTATAAACTCTAGTTCTGTACGTGTATATTTGGATTTGTAAATGTATATATACATTTAAAAACTCGGTTTATTTCTGGAAAGATTTTAATTTACGAACAGAATTCAGAAGGAAGTGGTTTTGCCTGCTGCCTTGCCGGAAACTAAGTACCTCATATACTTCTTGATTGTTGTGAAGATAGTGCATTGCATTTTTTTTATTGTGTAAGCACCATACCAAACTAACAGTACACTGTCTCGGTTCTTCTCTTTCGACTCTAGTAAAAGGTTTCTCCATGAAGGATCATTTTCTTTAGGATGAATAGACAAATCATTTTAGAAGAGTTTCTTTTCAAGAAATCCCAGCAGAAACGAAGAACCTCACCTTGCAATTACAAACAAAGATATTTCGTTTTAAGTAAAGATGAACTGGCTTACTTCGAACATCGCCCTGGGGTACGTAACGCCATTTCACTCTTACTTTCAATGATAAAAGTAGAATTACTGTAATACAAGTGTATTTTATACAAGAACCTAATGCTTCCAAGAGAGGCACCTGAAACGAGCACGATATGTCTTCAGCACTGTTTAGCGCGATGTAGTTCCACAACCGCGGTTATCTTGGAAAAAATAAATAAAACAGCAATTAGAGTTACGCCAAACTTCATAGTCTTCTGATTTAATTTATCCTGAAACTATCGCCTGTGGCATACAGTAATGCAAGTTAAATCATTGATATAGCGGCGTGAGTTAAAACGGGTTTCTTTTGGTTCTGTGTTATTGCAGCGTATAATGCACAAACTTTTCAAAATGTCAAAAGGATTTTATTTTTTGGTAAAGCATAAAATTAATAACTTGCCATTTCAGGCACTGTGAGTTTCAAGGATTAATATCTTATGGATGTCAACATGTAGTAAACAGCTATGATGGTCTACGTAAATGTATTACTACATACAGTTCAATTTTTAAAATTACGTTTGATATATGCGTTACATCCACCCCCAAAAATTAAATAAAAAGATGCACATCTACTAATAAAAATGAAAGGCTAGTTTCAGAACTAAAATAATTGGATAAGCATATGTAAGACTATGTTAAAACAGCATCAAATTAAATAACTTAAAACAAAGTTTTTACAGTATACAGTACAGTATATTCCCAAACAATTCCATCGTGGTAAATATCTAATACAGACACAACATTCATAATTTACAATTATTCCTCCGCCTGTGAGTTTGATGTCATTTTTATGTAGTATTTTGTGTTTAAATTTATTGAATCAACATGTCTGTTTTCTGTTCGTTTGAGGCAATTCTTATGGGGAGTTAGTTGTATTGTACTTGCCTTGGACCTCAGTTGCTCCTTTTTATGTGTATTTTAAGAGCAATATTACAAGATTTGTAAGCCTGAAATACATTTTTGGTTTTACACAATGTTGGGAGTTTTAGCATATATTTAATTCAGTTGTTTTGTTAAATATGGGAATTGTTGTTGGCCAACATGGAAACCTTCAGATAAAAACATAGCCCTCCCTGCCTTTAATCTTCAAAGTTACAGCTGAACAGGCTACATGTTGAAGTTCTTGTTTATTTGTCTTTGTACATTGATTAGTGTTTTGTGTAGTAGCAATATCATGATCCACACCCCAGGTGGAATCAAATTAGTCTGTCTTATTTGTCGACTCATGTTTAACTGATTTTTACAAAACAAGCTATAGCTTTGCTTTTATCCATTTAAAAGTAATAAACAAGTGAACTCTAACATCATTGCTAGAGAATGGTTGTTTCAGACATCGATAAACTGTATTAATCTTCTTGCCTTATTTTGCAGGTCTAATTCATACGAGGTTGTTAAATTTATATTTCAAAGTTGAATGTCCTTTTCCCAATATATATATATATTTGTGTAAATTCCACAGTTCAACTTTTAAAATAGATTTGAGAGTGCATTTTTTATATGTATTGTAATATGGATATAAGGTCATAATGTTATAGTCATACTAATATAATCATATAATAAAGAGTAAGCAATTGCACGTGAACAGCAGATATTTTTCTGTATTTTTTTCTATTAACCAGTGTCACAATTAGCAATACAATATGTGTAGATACTTTATAAAGCCTGTAGAATAAGGTGTTTCTGATTAGTCTGTTAACAGTTACTTATCTTTGGCAAACAAAGTATTGAAGTGATGGAGAAGTCTTCTGCCCATGGTGAAAAATCTCTTAATCCCAAATGCCTCCATGTGTAATCTGCAAAACTTTTTTTTTTGTTTGAGGTAGTCTTTTTAAAGTAAAGAAAAAAAATTGTGAGCTAAAATGTTATTAGAATGTAATAGAATTTGTAAAACAGCTTTTGAATAGTATTTAATCTATATTCATTACCTGCTGTATATACATTAGTTCAGTTCAGTTTATTGTCATATGCACTGAAATGTGTATTTGCATGTGTGCTCCAATACAAAGAATACACAGATATTAACAGCGCACAGAACAGCAGCACCACCAACAACAAGTTAAATAACATACATATTAGAATAAGTTACATGTAGTTGATTAAAAGTTTTTCTTTAAAAATAACTTTGTCTTTCCCCTTAAAGATCATGTCTCCTGGTACAGAAGATGCCAAGTAAATTTGTCAGATGATTTAGAAGCATGATAAATCTGTGTAGACATCACAAATGTAGAAGGTCCACCCGGTCTTTTATGTTATAATAACTTGAAAATAATCCATCCATCAGTTGTTAAAGATTTTTTATTTGAAATTCCATATCTGTTCATATTTCTATGAAAACTGTTCAGGGAATGCCACATAATGAGCAACAATTATGTTCAGGCACAAGTATGTAGAGTATTTAACTGAATTTAACAAAGACTGCTCTTAAAAAACATTTCAACCATATTTAAAGTTTTTTTTTGTCCGCAACAGTTTTTCACAGAAGCACCTTTGAACTGGGAACTTCAGAGATTCACAGAAAATCCATAACATTTTACAAACTGTAACCTCGTAGAAATTAGAAGGAGATATATACATAAATACATACTACTACTATACATATATACATATTATTGGGATTTTCGATTAAACAGGAGCTTCGGAGCTTGAGGAACACTCCATGCACTTTCATGAAGCAGTGATGTTTTGTTGTCTATGTGCTGTATAAGGATTATCGTATAATCCGTACAGTGCAACAGGCTATGCTATCATTTCATAAATAGAATTTTATATTCAAAATGTATAATTAATTGCCTAAACATTTCAAAGGCAAAGGGTGATGACATCATATGTCATGGATGGCCCTCTCTTTATCATCAATGCTGTTTCCCAGGCATGGGTTAATTAATGTCAATTCTAAGATCTTGTAAGACTTTCTTGTCCTCTTGTCGCCTGTATTCACTTTTAACTATTTTTAAAAACAGTACAAAAATACTCAAAGGAAAGTCATCATTCCTGGAAAGGGAGAATGAGGGATATCGGGACCAGATGGTTATCCCCTCAGGGATATTGGGAATCTGTGTCTCCTGATTAATGCTGGAACATTATACATTATTTTAATGTACTTATTCTGTGTATTTGAAGCCCAAATATCTTTTTAGCAACACTGTTGCTAAGTGGGTTCCATTTTCAATGCACTACACATGTGCATTGGGGTCCAACATAGCCTACAAACTGCAAAAACCTTCTTCACTAAGTCTTTTCAAAGGATGAAAAAGATATTTGATAGGACCGATGCAGGAGGGAATGTGTGTTTATCTAAACTTACTTTTTCATGTCTGTATGAAATTCTGTTTATCTGTTCATCTGTACTGCTTAGAATCAGAATCTACATTCTACATGAGGAAAAAAATATCACACAGATAATGGTTTAAATTGCACAAGTGGCTAGACATGCTTTTGGGTATTGCAGAGTGCGAAGTAGAAGGTGAAGAGTTGTGTTTCTTATGTTTCTCAGAAAAAGCCGACACTGAAAGGCTCCATTGAGCTCTCAAGAATCAAGTGTGTCGAGATTGTTCGAAGTGGCTGCTCAATACCATGCAGTTTTAAATATCCTTTTCAGGTGAGTGTAACTCTTCCCATTGGATACTGTATGTTATGTATGGGTTTTGATGCTCAGGTAAACAATACCATAGCATGTGCAATTAGTGCCTACTTGTGCAAGAAATGTTCTTACATATTTTTCAATACGTAATCTTTAATACCTTCTTAAGGTTCAAGAAATGCTTAAGTTGGGATATTTCTCTTACGAAAAAGCAATATCTAGCAATAATTTAGTTTAATTGCATGCCCCTGACAATTATGAGATCAAATAATTATGTCCAATGAAAGCATTCAAGAATTGTCTTAGATACCACTGACTTAGATGTTTGATCATTGCACAGTCACATGGGCACAGAGCATGACCTTTCCTACTGCACTGAGCTGGGCACCATCAGCTGTTACCTTTATCTCCTCTCTGTGCAAATAACTGCAATATCAGTCAGATAGGGTTGAAAGGAGCTCTTGGATTTCTTCATTAAGGGAAATAGCAGGTGCATTAAAGCTTATCTCTCTTACAAGTTTTCAGGATTTCAAGAGATAATAAAGTAATACAGTTGTGTTATCTCTAGGTTGTTCATGACAACTACTGCTTGTATGTTTTTGCACCCGATAAAGAAAGCCGTCATAGATGGGTATCTGCATTGAAAGAGGGTAAGTGAAGTGTTTTTTTCCAAATATTTAAATGAATGGGCATAATACGTTAACAAATTCACGTATTAATAATTATATTAATATCCTTTGTGTTTCTTAGTTTCTCTTGATCATGCTGATGATGATTGAGGATTATTGGAAGGCAGTGACATTAATATTTTCACTCCATATTAAGTTGTTGTATTTAAAATCTATTATATATATTTTTTTTCTTTTCAAGAAACAAAAAATAATGTTTTAGCTCACAAATACCATCCCAACTTTTGGGTGGATGGAAAGTGGATCTGCTGCTCTCAGGCTGACAAGCTGGCTACAGGCTGTGTTGAATACGACCCCACCACACCGAGTAAGTATTAACAGGTTTCCTCTCTGGGGTTCTGGAGAAAATGCTCTGTATTGTGTTCAGTTAATAACTTTTAGAACAGTTTTTGAATTGGAATGGAATGTTTGCATTCTGTAACGGCATTGGGAAGCTTCTTCTGTTATTCGTTGATTTGGCATTTATAGATTTTATTATAGAGTATTTGCCACTTTAAGAGAGTACTAGAATAGTGTCTACTACTCTCATTAAGAGAGTACATTCTACATTCTACATTCTACATTCTACATTTTACTTAATAAAAGCCTTCCTTCTAAAGAAGAAAAACGCACAGAGGCAAGTGAAGATGGGAAAGAAATCTTCAACATCACTGTCAAATTCTATATATCACTTAATGTTATCAAGCTCCTGAACACTTTGCCTGACCTCACCCAGTATGGGGAGCCAGAGTCTATCCCAGCAAGCAACGGGTGCAAGGTGAGGTCCACCCTGTTTTCCCAGAAGCCAATTTACCCACCAGTATGTTTTGCTCCACCCAGAATAAACCCACGCAAACATGGGCAGAGCATACAAGCTCCACACAGATACTGTAACACTCCAGGTCTGGAATTGAATCTAGACCCCAGCAATGCAAGACAGCAGTGCTGAGCATCCGTGCCTTCCAGTGAAATATAGGTAGCCCCGCTTTTCTATGGGAACACCTACAGACTACACACTTGATGAGTTCAGTGAAAACTGAAAACACGATTAGCCATAACTTCAACTGGCAGTGGTCCAAGTAAACAATATGCATTGCACACAGATCTATCGGTAGTTGATTTTAAGTAGGACATCCACCCATATGGATGATGTGAGTTCCCAAAACATTCCCATTTTTTTAACAAAAGAAGGTATTTTTGCCATTTTTTCACCATATACTTAATGCATCCTCACATTCATATAGTATTTTCCACACCCAAAGGATCCTGAAGTATTTCACATATAGAAGGGAACCTACTTCATTTGATAAATTGATCTTTCACCCACAGCTGACCAGGTGACCAGGTGGGAGACATTATTTCACCAGTTGAAAGAAAGGGGTGATTCTAGCAGCTTCGTCCAGTTCAAGGTTGCAGGGGATCAAGAGCCTATCCTGGCAAGGCCTAGACGCAGGGCAGGATACATCCTGGACAGGACACCAGTCCATTTCAGGGCACACAGAGACACAGACCCAGACAGAGACTCACACCAGGGCCTGTTTTCCCAGAAACCAATTACTCTACCAGCCTGTTTTTGGACTGGGGGGGCGGGGGGGGGGGGGGGGGACTGGAGCACCTAGAGGAAACCTACACGAACATGGGGGGAGAACATATAAACTCCACACAGACAGCACCCCAGGAACTGAACCATGGGCCCTAGCTTTGCAAGGTAGCAATGCTGATCAATGTGATGCCCTTTCTCAAAACGTAATGAAACCAAAATAAAACGAAAGCAGATTCTTAATCAGTTGAGATAACCTTCACTAGCATATACAGAGTTTGAGATCCAGCTCTCAGAAATGACTTTCAGTAATATTTTGTTTTATTTTGCAGCTCCCAAGCCACTACCTCCAACACCAGAGCTACAAGTGAGTTTTTTTTGTTTTTTTTTTCCCCCAAAGAGGACATATAAGTACATATACTCTCCCCCCCTTGAATTTTAAGAAATGGTTGAAATACATTAGTAGTAACAGAAATGCAGTAAATGACTGCATCTGCAGAGAAAGTGAATGCACCGTGTTTTTAGAAGATATGTAATGTTAGCTGCTTTTTGCTGAAAACCAGGCGGTTCATTTTTATCAATATGAAGAACAACATACAGAGAGTGTGATTTTTTGAAGCCATAAATAAAAGGTATTTAAATTCCGATTATATTGCAGTCTAGCAGGCTAACATTTGAAATCTTTATTGTGGTACAGTATACTGTCTTTTATAATAATAATAAACTTTATTTTATATAGCGCCTTGCAACTCTTACTCTCATGCCTTTAGCTAGAAGCTGTAATATGACAACATTGCACTTTGCCTCTGGACTTTCGTGTCTTTCAACATCTTCTTAAAAAGTTCTGAGACACATTTTCAAACACACATTTTCAAAGTTAGTTGAAGTTGGTCTGAATGATTTTTTCAGTGAAGACTTTTGAGTCTAACTGTGAACTGTGTGTGGTGAGAGTCACCGTGAGAGAGATTACTGCTGTAATCGTATGACCGCAGTATAAGTGGCACTAAGGTGTTAGTGAGAACTATAAAAACTATATAAAACCAAAGAACTCTTGACCACTGCTTCTGTTAGAGACCTGTTTTATCTTCAGGATGCGTGCATTATATATATTTACTTTAAGAAGCCAGACAATGACTAGACAAGACTTATGGGTAGATTATCCTCTTATCCTTATTATCCTCTTGGTAGAGAATTTTTCTGTTTTTGTATATATTTATTTTTATAGACACGATTTAAAATAATGCAGTCTGCAGTCTTTGTAGCCGAAACCTTCCTTCACTGTGAGTGACGTGATTCCAATATATAAGATCAGATCACTTTATTGGCCATATACAATTTCTTGCATTAGGAATTTGTCTTTTCGCATACCCCAGCTTGCTCTCCATGAGACACACAGACAGGGGGAGAGAAGCTTTATTGGCAGAGCGCAGGGTCAGCCATTTATTTGAAATGGCAACCTTCCAGCCACAGGTGCAGATCCTTAGCCACAGTGCCACTGCTCCACCCTTATATGGAAGAGATTCCCTTATATAATTTCCTCTCTCTTTTTCCCCAGAGGTGCTTCTCTGATCCTGGGGAGCTTGTCGTGGTCGCCGTCCACGACTTCTCACCAGCAAGAGAGCAAGATCTTCCCCTGTACAGGAATGAGGAATATATTGTCATAGACCAGTCAGACCCATACTGGTGGATTGTTCAAGACACAAAAGGGTAAATGACACATCACACCCTTGAAAGTAGGTCATTGCTGAAAGCTGATTTATTCAGTGACTTAGGTGTTTGCCATGCTAGCCAGCCACTGGTATTGTATGATCAATGTTAAATTCTCTCAAAATATTTCATTTTGTGTTTTGAGGGCTCTGATAACTATAATATTGAAAGCCTAAAACTTCATATCTCAAAAGGATTTTGTATCATTCTTGGCCCCTGAGTTTAGCTGATCATGAATATTTCAAACGCCTGTTGAACTTTGTCACTTTAATGGTAAGGTAATTTTTTTTTTCACTTCCCCAGTGACCAAGGTTATATTCCAAGCAGCTACGTCATTGTGAAGTCACCGGAAGGCATAGAACATCATGAGTAAGTTCAGCATTCTATTCATTCTACAATTTTAATTAATTTTAAAGTACTTTGTTAGAATTTTTTCCCTTGACAAAATTTCCCATCTCATAAAAAGTATTATTGCATGCAAATATGGTTATCACAAAAAACTCAAAATATACCAGGTTGTGAGTTTTGTATGTGTCACTCCTTTTCATTGATTTATATACAGTGAATACAATATATGCGTGTTTGTGAATGGAGTTTCATGTTTGTGCCCGTTTGGTTTTAGAATAACCCTAAACCAAGGCTTGGTTTTCTGTTATAGATGGTACAACAAGGATATAACCAGAACAAGAGCTGAGCAACTGCTCTTCAAAGAGGTACAGCCATTCGAATAGAAAAAAATGTTTCTCTGAGATTTGCTTTAATTCTTAGATGTATGAACGGGACCATTTCTGCCTGCTGCACAATAAACTCCAACTCTTACATGCGCTGCAATCTTGCTTCTTGACATTACGATACCACAGATCCAACAGGTCTTGTAAGCTTTCAAGCAGATGCACATTAAACCAGGACAGCACTTCATTCTGCAGAGGTGAAAGCCACATTTGCAGGATGTGCAGTTGCAAGAAACTTAGTTTTCTACATTCAGGCTTTCAAGCCACACTTCTGGTTGGGGATTTCCTGTCTGCAGCCTGTAGTGTTTTTTCTTCATAACCTGCACGGCAAAGGTCTATAACATTGCGAACATTTCATAAATGAGATACAGTACATCTCCCTTGTTCCCCAAATCCAAAAATACAAATTGCTCTTCCACTCTGAAGATAGATTTAGTTTGCTGTTGCAGTGGTACTCCAAGTAACACACAGTGGCCAAATACAAAGAGCATTGGGTTTATTTGACTAATAAGGTGAAACTGCAGTGCCTTTTGATTTAAAGCCGTTTTACATGTTATTAGAATCAAATAAAACTGAAAACATGAGTACGTTTGTAGCATGTACTTTCCTTTTCCCACCCGAATCAGTTTAATTTCCACCAACACAGTGCCGATGAATAAAAGTGATGTTTTCTGTCTATACATCGGTTTTCGCTAAGGTATTATTCTGCTTAGTCCGTGTTGTGACTTATGTATATTGAGAGGCCTTGAACATAAACAGGAGTTTAGCATTAGAATTGACTAAAAAACAAAAAAACAAAACACAGATTCATTTATTTCTTAGGCAGAAACAATACACATATGAACATATTGTCAGGACATGCTGCATGTACATTGTCACATAAATGTGATATTGTCAGCTGGTGCGTATCTCCAGGTGACCCTGGACAATGAGTTTCCGCCCTCAGCTTTACAATGACCACTTCCCTTCTGCTTTGTGGCATTTTTCAGCGCTCATTACCCCCAGCTTTTTCATACCCACACTCATTAGGAGTGGTAACATGAATATGTTACATGCCACACTCCCATCCGCATTTGCGCATCTGCAGACCACAATTCCTTACATGCAGGGTAACAAATCTGGAAGTAAATGAGATGAGATCTTCATGTTTGGTTAATTGATTGTTTGGAAATGAAGTGAGTGAAATGATTTCTGGCAATAATTTGTGGCTAATTGCATTTGTATTTTTAATGCCTCTCAAAATATGTCAAATATTATAACAGGTTGTATTGTATGCACTGTGTTATTTAAATTAAATGCTGTATTTTGAGGCACAAATATTGAAATATTTACAGGACAAGGAAGGAGCTTTCATGGTGAGAGACTCACGGCACGCTGGAGTGTACACAGTGTCTGTGTTAACAAAAGCTCTTGGGTAATTATTACTGAGACTCGAGACATACTGTACAGTATCTGTTCAGTCAGGTTTTCAATCATTGTCTACCTTTTCTGCCCTTTGCACTTTTGCATCTCTATTTTTATGTCTTTATTTCTCCTTCATGTTATTTTGACTTTTTTCTCTTTTTCGTGTGGTTTTGTTTTTACCCTGTGAAGTGCTCCAGACACTGTTGGTGTACATAGGCACTGAAATAAATCCTTCCAGTTGTTGTTTTATCATTTTGTAGTTAGCATGGGTTTTTAATGCTCCACCTTCCGTGGTTTCGAAATGTCCAGTTCTTTATTTGGTGTATTTTAAATGAATCCTTTTTCAATTTACACTCTGCTCCATTGTGAATTATTTAAATTTCAGATCTAATGGCGAAAATAATCCAAGGGTAAAACATTACCAGATCAGAGAGACCACAACAGGAGAAACAAAATATTACCTGGCAGAAAAATACCTCTTCAGCTCCATTCCAGAACTCATATATTACCACCAGCACAACGCTGCAGGTATGTAACACTATATTTATCTCTTGAATACATGATCTAACAACAAGAGCTCCTAAACATCCTCATTGCTTTCCTGGAAATGTTTTGAGAAAATGTATTTCTTTGTGCCTTTGATCTTAAAAGCATACTTTGTAGCTTCGTCTTTTTCCTGTTGTTAAACTTATTTCACACCTTGTACTTACAGTGTGTACTTTGTAACTCACTTTGCTGCTGCTGGTGGTCCAGCTTCCTAAAACAACCCCTGAAAAAAATAAGATTTTAAGTAAAAAGAAAACTGCACCTGTTGAAAATGATCGTGGTAGTATTTATTTTATTGCAAGGCATGTCACAAAAATAAAATGAGATATTATACTTGACAAAACATTTACTTCCAGTTGATTTTACCTAGTATATATTCATCATATTCTAAAGGCTAATACACAAATAGATCATAAAATTAATATTAATTCCCTTGTTACCAGCGTAGCAAGTGTGTCAGGTGTGTTCTCCCTCTTAAGAGTGACCAATGTAGCAGACAGGGAGAATTGATCTACAGTATTTAATATTTTATCATCTGTATAAACAGCTTTCATTGAAAATGAAGGAGAAAGGAGTTTGAATCTCTGGTGCTCAAGGGCATCATGGGTTGTGTGCAATCATTTTTATTCCTATAACTAAATTGACTTCAGCTCAACAGATTTCTTGATGTGACGTATGTCCTCCTATACTAGGAGATGCAACAAAATAAAATGCATAAAAAAGACTTAGTACTGTAGCTCAAAATAGCTCAACACTCATCAAAAACTTAGCAGAAAGAACGTTTTGGCATCTAAACATCATTATAAATGTCAAGGTATGTTGAAATACCATCCTTCAACACACAACCTTTCAACAGATGATTTGAATTTGAGTTTGTCTTACAATTTGAGTTTTGGAATATTTAGAAATTGCAACATCAGTCACAATTCAGAAACAGGAATTCCAAATGCAACAAACAACTATCCTACACTATATGCAGTACTTTATACAATTAGATAATATGGTATTTATGCAGTGCTCTTTCTATTGCCTAGTGCAACAATACTTGTTTTTCTCTTTGTGTCTTCGTTAAATGGCATGAGCGTGACAATCACACATTTGTGTGGCAAAGGTCTTAAGAAAATGAACTTATTAGCTTATAACAAGTTTGCGTTGTCACTGAAGTCTGCGTACACTAAAGAGTTCATGATTCTTTTATCTGTAATCTCAACAGGTCTCATTACAAGACTGAGGCATCCTGTTTCTACAAGGAGAGAAAGAGCTCCGAGACCAGCAGGTTTTCCAGCTGGTAAATATTGCTTCATGCGGTAGATTACTGGACTTTGTGGGGTGGTGTTCAAAGAAGGGGTGATAAAATGTTTAAGTAAAATAAAGCTGTGCATAACATTTATGTTTTCAGACATACTGGCGATGAGAAAATAAGCTTCTTTGGAAGGGTGAATTACACTAAGGGAAAATTACTAGCCAATATACTAGTACAGTATGTGCATGCAAAGAAATCCAGAGCTAACAAAAGGAAGGAAGCTTAACCTGAATTATTAGCTACAGAACTTTGTGATCCATTTCGTCTCAAAAGCCTAACGAATGAGCAGCAAACAACTGTAATCCAGAGAGAAAGTCCCTCTGCTCGGGGAGACAACTGAGGGGGTTATTATTTCTACAGATGGAGCCTATGGGTTGAAAATCTACCCTCTGAGCTCTCTCAGCTCAGTTGCGTTCTTTTTAGAAAAGAAAGACACATAGGAATCCAGACCTGAGTCCTTTCTGCTTAATTGTTATCGCAACAAAGAGTAAGAGTAAGCTGGAATGAGTGTTTCAGCTTGCTTAGGTGCTGAATCACTCAAGTTTCACAACAGAGCAAGTCTCAGCTCTTCAGTAACGTTCTTCGGTTCCTCAGAAAATTGAAAAACATGAAAATTTCAGAGTAATGATTCCGCCTTGTGTTCAGACACCTGTTAGGGAGTATTAATTCATAAATTCAAGGGGGTCAGTTTATGAAGGCTGCAAAGGAACAAGTAAAGGTTTATTCCGTGCTGAAAAAAGAAAAGAAACACAACGGAGCCTTCTTCAGGTGTGACATCTGAAGAAGGCTTTACAGCCGAAATGCTGTGTTTCTTTTCTTCTCTTTTCAGCGTGGAATAAACCTTTACTTGCTGCTTTTAATCCATAAATTGCTGTCTAAGTAATTGTATGTCTCTTAAATACATGTTTTAGATCTTTGTAATGTGACACATGTATATGTTGTAGCAAACCATTACAATAAGATTATATTTTGTGGGATACCTCACCTCTGAAAAGTGTAAAACTGGTTATACTGTATAGGCTTGTGCGCTAAAAAAAGACAAGAGTTTCCAGTGCTGAAAAAAAACCTCTGTTTCGGTGTATGCAACTGCTAACAGGTCCTAAGAAAAAAAGGCTTTTACAAAATTTAACTTTGTATTCCTTTTGGAAAATGCTACATATTGTATAGTTGAAACAGTAGTGATGGTTCTTTCAGAAAAAAATCACCATTAAACTTTCTGCTAGAGAAACAAACAAAACTGTGTTAAATCAGTTCTTTCGAATATCGGAGGATGGATTCTCAGTGAAAATAAAAATGTTAGGAGGGTAAAGGCACTTCTAATTAAAATTCACGCTGCTTCAAAAGGGTTAATATCACATAGAGGATCTGCTCTATATCTGCTCTATCTAGCCATTTTCCAAACCGTTTTCCGGTTCATTTTTTTTAACCAGACATATTGGAGATCGAGCCGTCGGAGGTGAGCTTTGTTGAAGAAGTGGGGAGCGGCCAGTTTGGGGTGGTGCAGCTGGGTTACTGGCACAGCAACGACAACCTGAAAGTCGCCATCAAGATGGTGCGGGAGGGGGCGATGTCTGAAGAGGAGTTTAAAGAGGAGGCAAAAGTCATGGCGTGAGTCCTTTCTTAATCATTTCATCATCCATGTTCTTCCAAAAGAACACTTTGTAGAAGAGATTTAAATTGCTTTTGGAAACGTGTAGAGAAGGATAGGTAGCCTTTTGTTTCTGCTCATTTTACCTCAGAGTGACCTCAATCTAAAGAGGAAAAAGCAACAGTTTCATGTTTCTTCACAAATATTAAGTTCAGTAGTTCTTGCTTGTTTTCAGTAGCATTTGATTTACATTTGTACTTAGAATGCACTATTTTGATGAGGAATAAATTAGATTCAGTGATGTAAAACCAGTGCTAATTCTAATATCCAGGCCTGTCCTTAAAAGAAGACAGATCACTATGCTTTTAGAAATACTGTGAGAGTATTTCTCATGTGAAAGTGAATGTATGTGCTAAGAGGCAGAAAATGATTTGAAGGGTTGAGGTGAAAACAAACTTAACCGATCAGTAAATAATAGCTAAAGCAGTTTTCCTAATGCTTTTAAAAAATGAGAAGAATTATGTTTTCTTTGTGATTTTTTGTCTTGGAACAGTAAAATGTCTCATCCAAAGTTGGTTCAGCTCTATGGACTGGTTACCCAGACGGCTCCCATGTGCTTAGTGTTTGAGTTCATGGAGTACGGGTGCCTATCCGACTACTTGAGGAATCAGCGGGGAAGCTTTTCCCAGGATACTCTGCTGGGAATGTGTCTGGATGTTTGCGATGGAATGGCCTACCTAGAGAGTGCCAATTTCATTCACCGGGATCTGGTACTGGAAACTTGCTCTATTCCAGCTTTTCACTCTACACCAAAGCACTCAGCATATAGATTACATTTAACAATTGTGTGTCAAACTTTTTTTTCTTGTTTCACTAACACAAATTGTAGTATGTTATTTTAGATTTAGTTTACAAACATATCAAAGCTTTATCTAACTACATAAACACTGCTTAAAGCTGAAACCTTAGTGGAATTCAGTAATATTCTTTCTTTCAGGCTGCAAGAAACTGTTTGGTTGGAGAGAATCAAGTGGTAAAAGTCTCAGACTTTGGTATGGCAAGGTATGAATTTGAAGTTTTTTTCAGTTCAAGGTCCGAGATTCAGATTGTTATTCATATAACAAAAAAGATCATGTACAGTAATAGCAGTTGAATAATGCAAAAGGTTGAAGGTTTTGCACTGCCCTGATATGTTTATGTAAGTTAAAATCTTAATTGTTTGTTCTGTATACCTAAAGAAAATTGCAGTACAATGAAATGCTTTTGTACAATGACTGATTGAGGTTCCCGTTTTTTTCCAGCACTAGTATGTGACATATGGTGTTAAAGTATTTCTGAAATGGAATCTTTGCAGTATGTAGCTTAAGATTTATTTTTTCTCCTAGGTTTGTCCTGGATGACCAGTACACCAGTTCCTATGGCTCTAAGTTTCCAGTGAAGTGGTCAGCCCCTGAGGTAATCCAATACTGCAAATTCAGCAGCAAATCAGACGTGTGGTCCTTTGGTAAGTAATGAAGCAGAGTGAGATAGTTAATCTTCATGTGCTGACCTGGTATAGCATTGTATAACACCACCTGACATACACAGGACAGCCACTGGATGAGTTTGTTCTAATGAATAAAATAATGCTATGAAGTGAAAAGTGGTATGGTGTGGAGTGTTTCCTGTCTCACAGTTTTAGGGTCCTAGGTTCAATTTCAATTTAAGGCGCCTATATTCTGCTCTTCCTGTGATTGGGGGGGATTTTTCTGGGTGCTCCGGTTTCTTCCCTCCTCCCGGTGACAAATGTATTAGGTTTGATTAGCTACTTAGTCACATTTATCTAGTTCAGGCAAGGATTCGAAGGGGAATTCAGCAGTTTTCTTCCCAGTACAGTACGTTACTGGATATGAGGTTACTGGTAAACACAGTCACATGAGGTTGATACAGTAGGTCAGATAGCCTCCTCTTATTTGTGATATGTCAATAAAATACAAAAGTATGTCAGAATGTGGCTGCTGACAGCAGTAAGCCCTGGGAAGATAAAGTAAGAGAGTATGCAATCAATATCAGAATGCATTAGACTTAACGCCACATGTGAAGAGAGGGTTTCATTGCGTAGAAAGTCAGGCAGAAATGATGGTTCCTGAAAATACGACATGTGTCTCAGTGTGGGCTTCACACGGAAGTTGAGAAAAGCCTTAACTAACTGTAAGTTTTCAAGATGTATATAAACTCAGATATATACTCTTTCTTCACCTCTGTTATTAGTGAGGCTGTTAATGTTGCCACAGCAAATGACTTCAAACTCACAATGAAGGCTAAGGCTTGAAGCTCTCTGGCGTGCAGAAATGTACTGTATGATGCGCTTGTCCGTCTTTTTGTAAAGTCAGTAAGAATGTAAAGAATTAAAGGGTCTCGTCGGCTTTGCGTTGCTGCAGGGGTCCTCATGTGGGAGGTGTACAGTGAGGGCAAGATGCCATACGAGAACCAGTCAAACGGAGAGGTAGTAGCTTCAATTTCATCTGGCCTCCGACTTCTTAAACCCAGACTCGCTTCAGAGGACATTTATCAGCTGATGGAGTGGAGCTGGAAAGAGGTCAGTGCAACAAGGAGCCAAGTAAATGAACTGAAAATCAAATCTAACACACATATGCTTATACAGTATACCTAAATTCTGCTTTAATAATACGTTTTCATATGTTTGTTTTAATTTCAAACCTCTGCATCAAGGCTTAGAGCGCACATGAATCAAGGGAGAGTATGCTACTTTCACACCACTAGTTATGGCAACTGACGCAACAAAGCTGGATAGTTTTCTTTTTCGAGCAAATAAAATCAGCAATTTTGTGGTGCAGAGACTAAGCTGTGAAAAAAGAAAAGATTCACAACACAACAAAGAGTTTTTCATTTTACCTATACTGTTATTGTTGGGATAGAAGAAGTTCTCCTGATGCAAACTTTTTAAACATTTTTTTTTCATGTTTTTGTTTAATTCTCTCCTTAGAAACCAGAAGACCGCCCATCTTTTGCAATTCTCTTCCATCAGCTGGCAGAAATTGCTGATTTCTGAAATTAAGCTGTTGGAAGCCCAGATGAAATGGACATAAACTGTATAAAGAAAAGAATATATATATATTTATACTGTATTTATTGCTTTTTCAGATACCAAAATTTACATTGCAGTAGCATACAAAAGCAGAAAAGCTACAAGGCTCTTAGACAAGGCCTTAACAAAAATGGTTCAGGTGGGGAGCTGCGTCAGCATGCGTAGGCTGCAAAGGAACAAGTAAAGATTCCTTTGAAGAAGGATCCACAGCTGAAACGTTGATTCTTTTCTTCTCTTTTCAGCATGGATTAAACCTTTACCTGTTCCTTGACAGAAATTGTCACATGGTTGCTTAATAAATACCATCCTGCATTTGTGTTCTTTACAATGTAATTTAACAGTAATCTTTTTCAGAATCGACCATGGGACTTTTTATGGCTATCATGACAAGCTATCCAGTCATGTTGTTTAGGCCAATATCCTGGTTTCATTCAAGGAATGGCTGGATGACATCCCCAATCAAGTAACTACTAATTAACAATTGGTAGTTTGATAATTAACTACTTTTGGTATCAAATGGGCTGAATGTCTCCCTATTGTTTATAACCTTCCTTACATCTTTGTTACTTGCTTGTACAAATTCAGTTCTGAGAAATATTTTAATCCTGACATCTTGTATTTTAATTACATTTTTCCTATAGTTAATTATGATTTCCATAAACACCTACTCTTACAAACAGTGCAGCTTTAACAACCATAAAGCTAAGAGCCAGGTTTAAATTCTCAGTCAGATGGTGACTCTGGCCTGCTGGTCCACAGCCTACAACAGCTGCAGGTTCGTTTTGCTCAGAGTAGGAGCTCCCAGCCTTGGTCCCGGAGATCCACACATCTGCTGATTTGAGTGCTCCAGCTGAGCAATCAGTTGAACCCCTTAACAGACCAAATTATAGGTGTATAAATGTGACTTCTTTAGTTGTTTTGAATTGTTAAACATGTAGGAGGCTGCCTTTTAATGATTGTGTTTCAAATGGAACTTAAGGTATCAAACCTTTCAGTCCAGAAAATATAGTTACAACGGTAACAACCAGGACAGTCACTGATTCAGTTAAGGATTTATCTGCAGAGGTGTGTGAGGTGCAGGACTGGGGATTTTCCATTCCTGTGTTGGTCAGTCCCATCATTGCCTAGCTTCTAATCAGGCTACAAAGTGGTACACTGACAGATAATGTCACACTAACACTTGTACAGATGCTTACACACTGATAGACCCTCAAACCTTTACAACGGCACACTGCTGTGATGACAGATAATCTCACACTGACACTCTTACACTCACTCTATTGATCATCCATTATTTTTATTACATTATTTTTTTAGTTATTTTTAGATACTATCAGAAATCTGCATATTTCTGGTATAGGTAAAGGTTGCGGTAACCTGCAGCCTAACACAGACAGACAGCGTACAAGGCAGAACTACACTCTAGATGGGAGTCCAGTCCATCGGGACTCACAGAAGGACCATGTAGAGCACCAGTTAAACAGGCCTTTGGGAGGCAGGAGGAACAGAGGGGGGAAATCTGAATTGCCTGTTGTGCTAACCATTAGCGTTGCAAGCATTTGTCTGTTCATATGAAAGAGTGACATCTATTGGCAGTAATTGATTTTCTTGTGAATGTGATTGTTCAGTCTGTGCGAGATTCTTTAGCTCTCACAACTATTCCAAGAGTGTAAAAAGGTTAGCTTTGTTAATGTATTCAAAGGTTTTTGTTTTTATTACTTTAATTCCATTAAGGAGGAAACAATGGCTTAGTTGCATTCGTTGCTATGTGCAATTTTAAAATCCTATTTTTTTAATCCCTATATTACCTTCTTCATGTATTGAATGCTCCTTCTAATTTATCTGAAAGCACTACTTTCTGTATAACATTCAATTGTCTCCTTATCTGTAAAAAGAATAAGAAATATTTTTTCTATATCAACCCAGTCATGCAGCTTATTTGAACACGATAATACAGTATAACACATACTTTAATATTTTACATTTTAGTAGTTATCTTTACTTATTGGTCTATAAGTACCTTGATTTTGTAAGTAAACAATTAAAAAATGGAATGTATTACATTTTTCTCCTTGTGTTTGTGTCAGAAGTTGCTGTGAAGTCCAGTTACTAAAAAAACACAACTGTAACAGTAATAATGGGTAATGTTTCTTTTTAAACTGTTAACACCATAAGATAAGTAACAGTAAATCATTGTGTGCAATGGAAGATGGGGCACAATGAGATCTGGAGAAACGCAAACACTAAAAAATATTCCAGTCTTTACATTTAGAGAGTAGAACTGCAGTGGCCCTTCCAAACTTCTTGTTTTGGAACTAAAGGAAGCAATTAGGTAAGAGGCATGATTTATAAGGCAGTTTTGTATTCCTAATATTTTTTCCACTGTCCTGTTCAAAAGAGAACAAAGGTTTATGAGAAAGGGAAACCCTAAAGTGTCTTAAGAGTTACCTCTAAAAAAGCTAAATGTTTTCACCTTATTTTCTCCCTCACTTAAAAATAATAGGCCCAGTGGGTGGGCTTGTCATAGTTGATACAGTTCAGAGGAGCAGAGTGAGACACACATGTTGTATAGGTTTGTACCCTGTGCTAGTTTTTGTTATATGCAATTCAAAGGATGCTCACTATTATTAACCACTAAAATAATTGTGCCTGAAATCAATACATTATAATTATCTTAAATCTATAACCAAGGATGATCTACTTCAATAATTGTTCTAAGAATAAATTGCAGCTCCAGTATATAACATTTTTATCCAAAGCATCTCGCATATTATCACATATTAAAGATTTCGCAAGTTAATCAGTATTGCAGTACCGCCATTCTTTCGATAAAATCAACTTAGTGTAGTACAATTGTTCTTTTACAACTGTGGACCTAAATAACAAGATATCTAATCTACTTACCATGATTTGGTCAGAGACAAAATACATGTTCATGTATGAAAAGTTTAATTCTTATCTGAGCATTGCTTCACATTTCCCTGTAAATGTCTGATGCTTTAATGTCCCAGAGATGGTGCAGTACAGTATGTCTCACTGTGTCCTGCCTGACGTATCATTACATTAGGCGGGGCAACAAAAAGGGTGAGGCTCAGTGAGACAGCTTTCAAAAATTGCTTATATCTTCTGTTATACCCTCTGTTTATAGTGTTGTATTGTTATATTGTCCATGGTTACAGTTGATATGCCAAAAAGGAGTGATTATGAGAGAAATCACTTTAAAGTTTCTGGTTTCTATAAACACAACAGACACTTGTGTCTCAATGTACCACCACTCTCCACTGTGTTTTGTAAACGGATACTGAGATTGATTTGTGGCATGTCTAGAAATTATTTTTTTACCCTACTTGATATATTTCAGACACTACATTTTAACAGTGACCCACCTGCACAAGGACAGCCACACGAGATAAGGGAAGGATGGGGGAAGGAAAATGTTAATTTCACATCTTGTATATCCATATTTAGGAAAATAAATGTCTGAAGTTCATAACAATGGTACAGGACACACTCCATTTTCCACTGATCACTGACTGTAAGGTATAATAGGCCTTTAAGTCACTATTTCATAGTGTTTGTCACAATATCACCTATTGGTATCCATCCCTCCTAGTGCCACTGCCAATGTAGAAAACATCTGGTTTATAATATAGCGGGTCTCATACATTTATCCACGTGGATGTCTCAAGCAGGTTTAAGCCTAACCGTACCAATAAATGTTCCACACTCCCATTATTGGGGTTTGTGTGTTTCTTTGAATTAAGGGTTTTACTATACATAATTCAGTATGAGAATTAAAACAAACTCAACTCTTAGAATTACATTGATCTTGTCATGGTTTCTTTATGTTCTATATATCAAATCTGGGTTCATCTTAGAACGGTATCGTTGAGCTACAGTATTTATAAGAGGTTCGGTTTAGTACTTTTTTGTGTTTGTTCAACCCAAGTATTTGCATTCTGCAGATACCAGTTACAGTACTTACCCGTTCTCGAAGACCAGTAGACATGGAAGTCAGTTGTTCTCTTTAAGTTTCGTTTTTATCTTCTACTGTTCTGTTTTTCGTGTTATGCTTTTAAACTAAGAACTTTTTATTCTTTTTTTATCTTCGCACGTTTCTTGTTCAACACTCCAGGACAACCCTGACATGAATATGCTCGATACACAAAAAAAACTGGTTTAATTTTTTTTGGCCATGTAATAACCGAAATAGTCTCCATCATGCAGTATTATACTGTATGGTTTGAAACCCCGCTTCCAAGTGAAAGAGGAATAACTTCTGTAAATTATGTACACATCAGTGTCATTTGCACAATTTGATGGTTTTATCATTCAAGTGCTGCCGTTGGAATAAACTCAATGCAGATTTCAGTCTGGGTTATGGTTTAGTTACCATGAATTGGCTTGCTGATTGATATTGTAACGCATACGGCTACAATATTAATATTAATTTGTATATAGCTACAGTTTATAAAATAACGCGAGCTTTCTATGTTGAGGGGAAGGGCAGATTAAATGCATCAACAACTGGACTGAGAACATTAAATGAAAAAAAAAATACTCTTCCAACCTGCACATTCATCCACTAAATATAGCTAACGCGAACCGCTTCGGAGCCGAGCAGTGATGTGACTGCTGCTGTGTTGACTGTCATGTAGCTTTAAGGAAACACATTTGCAGCCATTTTCTGCTCTTTGTGTTTCGGGGATTAGCGGATGAGCATTCTGCCAGGCAAGAGCATCACTGAGACATCACCACTTTAAAACACAGGTCTGAGGCGTAAATGCGAACCGTTCCGTCAGCATCGCCAAAAAGGGTCATGCGAGCATCAGGTAAGATTTAATTCTTTATCATCAATATTGTTCAAACGCGATGAGAGAGATGGCACAGACCTGCCAATGGGTTTAGTGCAGTTACATGATGCTGTATGCTACCACAGGCTTTGCTATTTAGATAATTGTAATATATGAGAAAAAATTGTGGACATTTTTTGCAGGTGACTAAATCTAGGGATAAGTATAAATATTTTTTCCTTACTATCCTTTAGGTATTCTAGAAGATTTTTCTCTCGAACGTGATAATGCATAAGCCTCAGCTACCATTCGAGTATTTTTTAATTGGGTGGGGTGAACTGTGTCTATGTGTGCTACTCGGTATTGTAATTCCTGTATGTCTTACTTGATATCGGATGTGTGCATTACTTTTCACGAATGACGGGTTTTCAGAAAAATATAGATTATGGGTTTTTTTTCTAAATGATGAAAAATACATATCATCTCTATATTCATGTCGCGATCCTTATCTACAGTTTAAACCCGCATTCACTCAAATTTGGTGTCTGTTATTGTTTTCAATACATTTTGAAGTGATGGACCTGGGCTTTATTTTATTTTTAATTTTGTGTCGCTTTACACGACGTGTCTCTTTAAATCCACCTGAATACCCAGAGCTGGATGTCGCGGTTCTGATAGGATCTCTGTGGTGTCATGCAGGCAGCTTGCAATAGCCAGGCCTCGTATAGTTATTTTTTTCTGCAATCGAAAAACTAGAGCAAATATGCAAATTAAGAATAATAATATTCATGAAGCATGGTCTCTCATTTTCTATTATTACCTGGTTTCAACTGGTTGATTTGTTTCTGTTGCAGTCACTCTGCCTGAACATTAAGAAATACTTTGTATCTCCTCAAACGCTACGTGACGCCCTGTTCTCAGTAATTCAAGTACTGTAGCTACACGATCCCTAGTCTAGACCTGAATAATGCATAATATCAAACCTTGGGCACGTACATTAAATAACGTATAACTGAGTCAAAATGTTATGTTGTCATTCAGCCATTTGCACAACCAAATCCAAATATGTTGTAACCAGGAGCTTGGTAATCCGGTACGCAATGACTTCAAAGAAAAAAAAAACGTTTTTTATCATTTTTATGACAGCAGAAACTCTTTGCTAAAAATTTGTTTATAAAATTAAAAAAAATGATGCAAACATTTAGATGAGTTACATTTGTATAGAATTAATTTTAAAAAAACTTGTTAAGGAAAAATGTGTTAGACAGTGGTAGGGCTCTATTACACCTTATAATATATCATAGAAAGCATTACATAGTCTGTTGTAAAAATGATAAGTGCTTTAAGATAAGCTTTTTAAAAGCTTTCTTTGTTGCATCAAATTGACTTACACCTTCTCCTAAATGGTGTTTTACTTCTGCCATTGTGTGGAAAGTTTGCTGTTTTGTGGCCAGGAACATTTCTCCTGAACTGTTTTGGTCACAAGTCAGATCCTTGTTGTATGTACAGTATGAACTACCAAAATGCAACTTCGAAGTCTGTAACTTCCTACTGTACCTGCTAACTTGGTGCAAAGCTTGACAGGAACTGCTTGATGCAATGGTTCTGAAGTCATACCATTGTTCTTTTCCTATTGTATGTACTGTATGTGGTGTTCATGTGTGTCTCATTAAGAATGTATCCCAGGGAACCGGGGAACAGGAACCAAGGGGGAAATTATTTCCCATCACAATCATTGCCTAGTTAAACTATCAAGGAGACTTGGCAATAAAGCACGGGACTATCCAGCAGTGATATAACACTTAAATAAGCAGGACCCCAAATTTACAGACAGCTCTAGAACACAACTGATGTGTTTTATTTTGGCATAATCACAAGTTATTGTTTGTAGACCCAGGTAATTCAGCAGTCCTGGGAACAGATACCATCCTCTTACATCAGTTCCTCGTTTGAATGTGTTCTCGCATGCACACAAGAGAAATCTGACAAACCTCTGCTTAGGACTTAGAGGTATCATGGTTTTTGCTTCTATTTGCAACAGAACGCAAACTGTAGAGTGTGTATGTCTAACCCTGGGCGTGGAGAGCCTCAGTCCAGCCGGGTTTATAACCAACAAGTTAATCTGCAGTTTCTAAAGGTTGAGAGCACTTTTGTTTCAGGTGTGAGTATCACATGCCCATGTCTTTACTTTTGACATGAGAACAAACAGATAAGGTGAGTTCTCAGTGTTTGAGGGAGAATTAAAGCTTTATTAGCGTCCAGTATAAACAAGATAAAAGTTGTCTGCAAAGTATGACATTTCAGACCAAATTAAGGGCAACATTCAATTAAACCTAAAGTGCGTTTAGCTCAGAGATTGTTGGCTTTCTAAGCCAAGTGGGATTTCTGTCCCCTAAATTTTCTTTGGAAGGACTGAGAACTCTTCAAACCCTTTGCCAAGTTCAGGTCTTGCCACTGTTGGGAAACTATACTATAGTGTCTTATAGGAGTTAGTGCGGATTTGAGGAGCAACACATCTCCTGGATACTTACTTTATAAACCCAGATGGGAGATTTGCACTGTAGGCAGATAAAAAAGGCAATCACAATACATAGTACTTTTAAAACAACATGAGTCCATTAACAAATTAAAAACATACACGCCATAAGATTAAAAAATAGAAGCAATCCTCACTGTCCAAAATAGGTACATAAAACATTGGACAATCTGTGAGTGAAATAGATACCGTACCTCAGTAAGATACAAACATGATGGAAATAAAACGTAACAATCCATTGCTTTGTGTGAATTGAGCAGGTTCGTAGTTGTGGGAATGAAAAATCTAAAATGAAAGAATGAAAGAACATTTGCACTTAAATCTAGGCAGTCTAAATCGACAGAGGGAGTTAGGATTTACTGTACTAGGTCAATCAGTGACTAAATTGGCTTTCCACACTTCTTTTTTAGTATAGATGCCTGACAGCTAGAAGCTGTTGTACGCTGATACCTTTGCTGGCTACCTTCACTAGGTAATCGCATGGTCCATCGCTGAACCACCAACATCTACACTCTTAAACAAGAAGCTTTACTGTTTGAGCTACTCGGGAGTTCTCTTCTTTTGTACGGTTTTGTCTGGTTCTGTGAAAGTACTGGATTATACTGTAAGTGTGGATGAAAACTTTTCTTTCTTCAGTGAGCCAGCTTAAGTCTTCTAGCTCTGTTAGTGTTTCAAGTCTCAGCAGTCTTTGTTAGTCATTCATCTGAGTTTTCAGTAGATACACACCTAGGAGGATCAATCTAATTACTACATTTTTATCTGTTCAGCTCTCAAGCTGCTGATATAGATGGCTGTTGCGCTTTTATACTGGGTGTTCCCTTGCATTTATCTACATTTTTGAACTGGGCAATCCATGTTGTAGGATGACAAAGATTTTGCTGTTACAGGTGTTATTAATGTTATTCTCAGCAATACTGTGAGGCTCTTAGCCAGGTGCTCAGTTATCTAAACTCGTTTGGTGAAATGTTTTTTTGACTGCCTGTGGCATCAGCAAATGTATGTGCTTTAGTGTTTGCAGTTACAGAGTTTGCAAGTAAAGTTAAGAAGAGCAAACCATGTACTGGAAACTGCTTTATGTTGGGGGTGGCACAGTGCAGAGGGTAAGCTTTTGGACTCGTAACTGACACATTGTGGGTTCAACTCACCACTGGAGATGCTGCTGTACCTCTGAGTGGCTGAGGTCTGGTCAGATGAGGTTCAGGTATGAACTTTAACTCCCTTTCACATATAGAGTATATACCCATTTGGAGGTAATGTACTAAAAATGTCCATGTGTTCAGGGCTTGAGAAAATTGTGTTATGCTGATAAAAAGGCTACAGTTTATTTCCTGTGAGGCAGTGCACAACTGTAGCATAATTCTATCAATATTCAAAAAGGAAATAGTTTTTTTCAGTATCTTCTGTGCAGCCAACCAGAAAAAGAATAACTATTGTATCACTCTGAATAAAGGCTCACATTCCTACTGTACCTCAACTGACAACAGTGACGTGTATTACTGAAAATCCAAGAAGTACAGGGGCATAGCACTGAGGTTTGTTTTAGCGCTATTTCTATCCTGTGTGATGGTGGATTGTAGTAGTAAGTCAGTTGTTTAGTTTTATCAAAATTGTAACAATTATTTCACGACTCCTGTGACAACAAGTTTCACACGTCTCAACAAATAGGGTGTAAGGAATCTGAATGAGTTGACTTCATTGCTGTTCCTTTTACAGCTGCAAATTGAATGTGTTTGAATATTAAAAGGGGAAGTTTTTAAAGCAAGAAAAAGACAGAAGAATAAGTAAAAGTGCTGAATGTAGGCTAGCTATTTTTATGTCAGATAATGTAGTTTGTTCTGGTTTTTGAGGTTTGTATATTGTTGTTGACATTTTATTCATTTTAAAAGTCATTTAGACTTTCCAAACTCTATAATCCTTGATAAAGTATTACACAATATGTAAAACATAGTATTATATAATACAATATATTTTAAAGTTATGATGAATCTGTAAATGACCAGTGTTGTTCAATTTCACGTGTTCTGTTGACTCAGCAAATTTGTAATGGCTAAGAGACAGTTGTTTCTAAAAGTGCATTTGGATTTTTAAAGATCTAATGTTTCAGTAATAGCTGGCTCATCACCATGCTGAAATCGTTTGCTCATTGACATGCGGACCTCGCATGCACGAATAATGTGCACCAATGGAATGCCAAAAGGAAGGGTTTCGCGTTGCTCCTTTTTGTGAGTGTGGCAGTGTGGGAAAGTTTACACAAGCTTTACTGAATGTGCATTTCCAGAGAAAAACACCGGGCTAAGCGGTGTCTTTCTGAGAGCATTGATAGTCCCTGCAAAGCAGAGTTCTCGGGCTCCTGTGATCTTGAATACAGCAAGCTGTGAGGGGTAAGGATTTTGGTGCAGGTTGCTGGAGCTTCTTGGTTATTCTCTGCTCATGTCCTCATCAGAGGCAGTGTCACAAGGGAGAAGAGCCTTTTAGAGCTACTTTAGAGCGAATGCATGACATTATCCATGGTGCTGAATACTGTATGGAAATCCTTGGAAGTTACTTCAAACTACTGCTGTATCAGAAAAAGAAATTCAATTGCAGGCTGCTATTTTTGGGGTAAATGTAGGGGTTATGTTAGAAATGGATAAGACGTAAAAACCAATGGATATAATCTACCAAATGGGTTACATTTGATAATTTTTACAGTATGTGTGAAGCCATTAGAGAACTGATTATATGTGTGATTTTAACTGGAACACTGATGGTATGCAAGTCCCTTGACTTCGCCCAAGTAAAAATCACCGTGTGCATGTGATGGCAGTTTGAGACACCCGCTGTCAACACCGGGTGTGGTTAGGTTAACAGGAAGCTTCACCCTTGTGTGCAAGGCTCAGTAATGGCTCTTGAATTGTGGATTTTCGTTTTAATGTGTACTGCTTGTCATGCGTTATTGTTTGAAGAAGAAAAAACACAAAACAGTTACTTATTACCGGACCACAAGTTGAGATTCAGAGTTCAGTGTCTAAGTGGTTTTCATACTGGTTATTTCTCTGTCTCTCTGTGAATAGTTTCAGTTTAAAAGATCGTGCCAAACACTGTTTCCTCACAGAATAGGAGGTCCGTTTTCTGAAGTGGGAAGGTTAATTTTAAAACGCCGTGTCTAATTACAGTATATAGAGTTTCACCACTGAGGGAAAGGGCAGATTCTTTCTGATACTTTATTTTAGATTTGTTTTCCTCCTTCCTCTTGGTGCCTCCTCAATTTCACTTTGCGCCTCTCAAGCTCACAAAGTTACAGACGTTACACCACATTTCGGCATCATTGAGAAAACGATTAAGTTCACAGGCGATTGTGCTGTTAAAAGAAAATAAATGGGTTTTCAGTAAAAAGATCAAATTGTGTTAAATTGTATCCAGTGAAACACCGCATGTTTGTTATTAAACTGCATGTCATTCTCTCGTGAACTACAGTGTTTAACTTAAACTTACTAGTAACTTAATCTACTGCTAGTTTTGTCTTGCCAAGGTATAAAAATGCAGCACGACTGCTGTCATTTCTCACACAATGACTAAAAAACCACAAAAGGGCTTAATAGGACAGTACCTACTGTATTAGGCCCAGCACAAGTTGTCCCAAATTGGTTGAATTAAATTTTATTTAGACATGTCAGCTTAAGACAATCACTTAAACCCCTGCTTTGGAGACAAGGTTGAGATCTCTGGAGATTTAGCAGTATCTAAATATCTGAGAAAGAAAGCTGATCAAAACAGAGTTAGACCAGGATGATGATATCCTTTTCATTGTTGTTACTATTGAATGTGCCTTGTACAATTATTCTACACAAAAGTTATAATAATGCTGACATACTGATAATTTATTCATCTTTACTTTATCAAAGTAGACAGAAACTTAAATTTTTAGTTGAGTCAAAAAGAATAAGCACAGGGCAAGCACAGAAGGAAAAGCCTCATTTTGAAAAAAAAAACAAAAAATGAGTGCAATCTAGGAATTTTAGTTGAAAAAATTGACATTCTGACATTTAAGATATTATCATTTAAATTGAGTAATTTTTGGCAAAATTTATCTTGGTAGCCTAATAATAATAATAATAATAATAATAATAATAATAATAATAATAATAATTACACTTATATAGTGCTTTTCTGGACACTCCACTCAAAGCGCTTTACAGGTAATGGGGACTCCCCTCCACCAGATAATAATGGGAAAGGATTTATGTATATTATTATAAAGGAAATAGAGTTTACAGGTTCTAATAATGGTACACATGTGCCATAAAATAAAAGTTTTCTATTAAGAAAGATGTACAGTAATTACGCTTTGAAAATCTTATTTTTAATTCAAAAACCTGTCTGATGCCAATTGTTGCAGGAAAGGGAAGAATGGAGTTCCATAAAGTGTTACATTCAGACAATTAACTGAACAGCCTTTTACAAAAAAAGGAAACAGTTTGGAACAGCAGTTCCCTTAAGTCTTGGGTTTGTTCTAAAAACAGAAAGAACTGCATAGCTATGTAAAACAACTTATATAAAAAAGAAAAAAAGATACATGAAGTCAAATGATAAAGACAGCATATGACAGCAGCAACACAGACATATGGCATGCAGACAGCACCCTGCCATTTTAATTTTCGCACCAGGTGAACGATTTAGTTGTGCATGGCCTTTAAGTGATTGCTAATTGCCATGTCCAGAGTGTCAGACATTAGAGGAAAGCATGTGAACTATATTGTGCTCTCTCACTGACAAACAGCAACAGGGATAAAATATTATATATATATATAAAATGTTTTGAACACTCAATCGAAAACAATTTTTTTTCAATTCACAATCAAGAATTCAAACCCATCTTATGACCAAGTGTGAATCAATATTTTTTTACTGTTGCTTTAATACCTGAAAATAAGATGTAGTGTATTTATCATGAAAAAAGTTGAATAGACTTTGTGTTGCGGCAAAAATTTATTTCCCACGTGTTGTTTTAATACAATATTTGAGAAACTAATTGATTCTCAATCATTGCAGTTGTAGTCAAGTTAAATAGCAGTTAATGCTAATGCTCTAGATCTGGTCAGAGCTTCCAGCCTCATTTTGAAAGAAAACAAAAAATGAGTGTCATCTAGGAATGTTTGCAGAGGAAGAATCCAATTATCAGCCCCAAATTCAAACCAAAGAACCGGGGCCTGCTGAGTCAGGAGAATTAACATGAATGATCAGTATAGGCCAATCCCGGAGACAAATGAAAGATACATTACTAATTTATCTTTAACAACAAGTGTTCAGCACACGTAAATCCACACACTGGTCCATTGGACTGCCTTGGACCACTCCAGTCACCTGCAATGGGATCTCAGAGAGTCCCGAGTAAGGGACGGCTCTATTATAGCTCCTGCAACAGCTGTCCAGCCCTGTAATATTAACCCCAGTATCAGCACAGCTGTCACTCTTCAGAACGGACAGATTTAGTACAGGGTAAGTTAGGTGGATGTCAGTTTCAATATTGTGCTGTTTTAGAGAAAATAAATTCTTAGGCCTATTTAGCATAAATACTGTAAAAAAAATCATATTCCAGCTTGGTTAGAATAAGTAGTTTATTGCTTTAATTCTTTATTATTTAATTATTCAATTATTTTCATTCTTTATTATTTTCATTAACAGTATTTCTCATCAGCAATTCACTATATGGATATATGGATCCACTATATGGGTCTTTTCAGATAAGATCTACTGTTGTTTTAACTAGTGTTGATTTTTCTTTCAAACGAAAAGTGTCATTAGGCTAATGTTAATTTTTAGTTAAACCCAAAATATACTGATGGAAACGTAACACCTCCTCCTCCACTCTCTGGCCCTCCCGTCTGCATGGAACAGACTGAACAGTGACTCATCCGTGAAGAGGACCTGATGCCACTGCTGATAAGTCCATCGCAGCCTCTGTCTGGCCCAAGCCAGTCGGGTGTGACATCAAGGAGGTGTGAGCAGAAGGGCCTCTGACAGGCTGCCTTGCTCTTAGGCCAGCAGCATGGAGCCTCACTGTCCTGTCACTGATGCCGGCATTGTGTCTGCCGGCAGTTTCAGCAGCAGTAAGTGACAGGTGGCAGATCTGATCTCTCTTAGATGGACCAGTCTGATGTGTCGGTCCTGCTCTGGTCACTCGAGGGCGACCGGATCTTGGACTATCATCTGTCCTACCAGTCTGCTGAAACCTTCTCTGCAGTCGGGACGCAGTGAAGCGGCTTACTCCATAGTGTCCGGCAACGCTGGCACATGACATGCCTGCCTGCAGCATCCCAATGGCCCTCTCCCTTGCTTCTGGTGACATTCAAGGCATTATGGTATGCACCGAAAACTGACTAAGTGTGGCCTTTTTCTTGCAGTGACCTAAGCTTTGAATCATGGACTTAAAGATGACCTGATCAGGCATTGTTCCACCTGGATCTTGTTGGGTGAAAGTGCACCTAAAGAGCTTTCTTGTGATTGGCAAGTTGAAATGCCTCACTGCACAAGCTGTATTGCTGGTCAGAGGGCTTAAAACACATTGACAACTTTTTGTGAAAGTACATAAGCTATAACTATAGTATTCTCATTCTAGAAAATGTTGCGTTTCTTTTTTCCATCAGTATACATACCGCATGCTAAAGGAGGCGTTGATCAATAGCATTACACAGTATTGGCAATTAGCTGTTTGTTAGTCAATAGCATTACCATGGGTAATTAATGGTTTATTATGTGTGCATCCATCTTGAGTGACGTCTGTTGGTATCAAACAAATGTGAAATCAGAAAATAATAGCATTAAGGTGTGAGTCTGGTCAGTACCTGGATGGGTGACCTCCTGGGAAAGCTAAGGTTGCTGCTGGAAGTGGTGTTATTGGATCCTGTAGGGGGCGCTCACCCTGCAGTCTGTGTGGGACCTAATGCCCCAGTATTGTGACGGGGACACTATACTGTAAAAAGGCGCCGTCCTTTGAATGAGACGTAAAACTGAGGTTCTGTCTCTCTGTGGTCATTAAAAATCCCAGGGTGTTTCTCGAAAAGGGTAGGGGTGTTACCCTGGTGTCCTGGCCAAATTTCCCATGGGACCACTCCAGTCACCTGCAGTGGGATCCCCATTACCTGTAAAGTACTTTGAGTGGAGTGTCCAGAAAAGCGCTATATAAGTGTAAGCCATTATTATTAAGTGGAAGGTTAAAGTACTGCTATCCCCGAACTCTGGCTGTCTTAGTAATAATTATATCTATTTACAGTACGTAAGTGATGTGCTGTAGTTATCTTATGACCCGCAAACAATTTCCGCGCTCTCACTCCAGCCTTAGACAGATCTTTTTCTGATCACGCCGGGATAAATATGTTTCACACTGGGGGATGGACCAAGGAGAAAGAAAACGCCGCTCCTGGAGAAATGTCTTCCATATGGGAAGGTTTCCTTTTCTGGCTGCTTTTGTTTTGCAGATTAAGTGTTGGTCTGCTTCAAACCCGCGATCATGACGACCCACGTGACTCTGGAAGATGCCCTGTCCAATGTGGACCTGCTGGAGGAGCTCCCCCTCCCTGACCAGCAGCCCTGCATCGAGCCCCCTCCCTCCTCCATCATGTACCAGGTCGGTCCTCGAGGGGGCGCGCTGGGAGAGCTGTCGTGTTTGATCAACTTCCTAATTGATGTGCAGCGGTTGCAGTTATAATTGGGTTAAATAGCAGTTAGTGCTGATTCTCTAGATCTGCTCCGAGTTTTCACGTCTCAAAGAAATGTCACATCTTTCCTCTCAAGATTTTGGTACTCATTCAGGTTTGTATCACGATTCTGGAAACCGTAGTTTACCATCAACCCTGGTTTTAAGCTTAGTGCCATCTTTTGCCATCTGCTAAAACGTGCAAGTAACTGACTTCTAGAGGGGTCTGCAATCGGTTCTTTACTTTCTAATGTCACTCTGCCTTTGCGCTTTGTATTACAAATATGCATGTCTTCATTCTAGGGTTACTCTAGGATTACTCACTTGGTTTGACAGCGACAGTCAAACAGCGACAGTCAAACAGTCAGTGTAAGACCCTTTGGAAGTGGACTGGACTTTCTTGATTTGGTGCACTTCCTTGTCTGTAGTGGTTTCAGTTCACTGGGGTTTATGTTCACTCTGGTGTGACAGAACTGAAAAATCCTAGTGTGCACAGGCTCTTACTTGCTGCAGTACATGTTTCTGCATTCAGCAATGTTTTGACACTTTACTGTGGTTGGATAATATGTCATTGTCAGTAAGTCATTGAAATTGTGTGAAGAATCACAATAGGGACGTTTTTGCGTTTCCCGTCTATAGCTTCCCTTACTGGAAAGTAAATAATTTGGGCCGTTTTTAGAATTGGCTTTAAATATGCCTTTTTAGGATGTTTACATTTGTCCCTATAACAACTTTTTTTAGACTTTTATACATTTTATTTATTTAATGTCAAGTTTAGTTTTTAGTTTATTTTGCCAGGAATAGCCATCTGTCTTGATATGCAGAACTGCTTCTTTTTCGGTCAAGCCTTGTGAATGAAATGTCTCTTTCTAGGCTAACTTTGACACCAACTTTGAAGACAGGAATGCATTTGTTACAGGGATTGCCAGATACATTGAACAGGCCACAGTTCATTCAAGCATGGTGAGTATCTTACATAGAAAAAAAAATTGAAAAGGTATTTGAAAATTATCAACCAGGCCCAAAAGCACAATAAGTTTAAAAAAAGACAAGCGACACATTTCAGGACATTAACTGCCGGTGCTGGATAACACATGTTTTCTTTGAGTTGAATGTTCCTTTAGTTTTGCATTGGACAGGCTCCAGGTTTTCATGTCTGTTTTTTTTCTGTGTTTCACTGAATCCTATCACCTCCAAACAGACTGGAAAATCCTAGTGATTGGCTAGGTCAGTGACTAGATAGGAACATGGGAAAACTCCTGAACAAAGATTTCCTTGTTGTTTTTTGAGATATATACTTTATTGAAATTGATGGCAACATTTTTCTTAAGGAAAAAAAAAAGGTTTTATAATCTTTACAGCAGAGCCAGGCCTATGTCACTAACATTGCATGTTTGCAAAAATATAAAAAAAAATCCACTTATTTTAGGTGTTGTGGTTTCTGTAACTTTCATTTTCCCATACAGAAATACCCTTTGCTTATTGCTGAATCTGAGGCAGAGTAGTTTCTGTGAGCACATGCATTATTTTGCCGCAGCTGTGAGTGTGAGGCCTTTATTCTGAAGGTCGTGTGAGAAATGTGACACATTTAATGTGTTTATTAATCTGTGGTTGCATTTCTTATCCCAGAATGAGATGCTGGAAGAGGGGAATGAGTATGCTGTCATGCTCTATACATGGAGAAGCTGCTCCAGAGCTATTCCTCAGGTACTAACCAAACACAGTGACCTCACTGTGATTGCTCAATAGGTAGCACTCAGAACCTTGTAACACTTCAATGTTGACAAATGTACAGTATGTTACATGTTTTTCTAGATATTCACTTTACAAGAGGAGACTGACTTTATTTTCTGTTATAACTATGTTTAGCAATTCTATGTTTCTATTTTCACTGAACTCACAATAGCATAATAAAACACATATCTTCTAATCTGAAGTGTTGTGGCAGGGGTAGGGGAAGTAAGAGTGTTGAATGACTCATAGACTGAGTGACTGACTGGTGTGAGAAAGCTGATGAAGTATTGTTTTCCCTGTCCTCAATCAATAGCTGGTTAGCCTATTCTGGAGTTCACCTTTTGTTGTGCTTTCTTTTAGGAAAAGAGAAATGTGGAGATATGCTTTAAAAGCAATAAATATTTTTTCAATGTACTGTGTATATGTCAGAAATGTATGGATTGAAAAAAGGCAAATGAAACTCACCACGTCATCCTAACACACAAGATAAAGTAGGATGATCAAATGGTAGTTTACATGGGCAGAATTTCAATCTGTATACAGTTTTAGCAAGGGGTCTTTAAAGCAAACCAGCAGGTAGGGTTATTGTGAAATAATCACACTCCTTTGGTTGTGGTTCATAGCCAAAGGATTTCTGGTAGGGTCCATGTATTTTATGTCAAATGCACACCACAAAGAGAATTTTGGAAATGTAGTAAGATCAATTAGTAAAAGTAGCAATTGTAAGTACCTGATTCATTTACTGTGTCTAAATGAACTGTGAATCAATCTTGTGCCATAGTGAATTTTATCATGTTCCTTCTGTTTCCAAAAATAGTACTGTCTACATTTGACCAATATGTTAGGCAGAATTTCAATATGAATGATATTTTATTGTTTTTCAGTTTTAAATCTTAAATAGTTGATTCCTTCTTAACTGTAACATGCTGGAAGCAGTTCAGTGTAGTTGTATAGTGCCTTGATTTGTCTATGTTGAGTCTGCTTGGTACAGCAAAAATGACAAAAGACTGCTTTTAATGTTTCAATATGCTGCAAATGCAATAGATGTTACCCAGACAAACATGTCTACAGCCCCCTTGTGGTGATATAAAGAAATTTCACAAACTAGGAAAAAAAAGTCCCTTGAACCCCCAAAAGATACACCTTTAAAGTATCTGTGTGCTTTGAGAGCTGATGTGTGTCCTGTGCAGGTCAAGTGTAACGAGCAGCCCAACCGAGTGGAGATCTACGAGAAGACAGTGGAGGTGCTTGAACCGGAAGTCACCAAGCTGATGAAATTCATGTACTTTCAGGTACAGCCAGCAAAGGAAATAAATACAATAAGATAGTAGTAAAGATGATGAAGGATGTGGGATGTAGCCCATTAAGATAAAAGCGTCTTGGTCTCTGTTACAGCACTTCTGATGATCTCTTTGCATTATTTCCCTGTGTGATGTTTCTTCGAGTCGATGGTGAATGTTTTTTTTTGGACCTTAGCTGTCTTGATTTGACTGACGTGAAGTCAGATTTGTGGCCAGCATCCATGCATCAAAACTGACTTTGCTTAGTGAGAGTTTTGAGACTAAACGGCCCAAACATGAGACATTTAAGGCAGTTTTACACTTTAAACCTTCGCTTTTCTATTTTATGAATAATGGTGTTCAGATATGCTAGTCTAATTCAAAATGAGAAACTCGTAAGCCAGCAGAAACTAAACAGATGTGAGAACTTCCCTTTCGCTGGAGATTAAAGCATATTGTTTGCAATAAGGTTAAAGGTGACTTATGAAATATAACTGATTGTCCTTAACAGAACAGAAAAATGAAGACATTGATGTATACTAAATAATAACATTTAAAGTCTTGGTTCTTTTCCCTTTTTCATGTCCTGTTAGCGCAAAGCAATTGAGCGGTTCTGCAGTGAGGTGAAACGCCTGTGTCACGCAGAAAGGAGGAAAGACTTTGTCTCAGAGGCCTATCTCCTGACCCTGGGGAAGTTCATTAACATGTTCGCTGTGCTGGATGAACTGAAAAACATGAAATGCAGTGTGAAAAATGACCACTCAGCCTATAAGAGGTGAGCTCTTCATAACACATTGCTAGCACTAGACAGCAGGCCAGGCAGGCAGCGTATTTCTGTGAATATGTCATAGCTGGAGTCTAAAATTATTTGTGTGCTTACTAGTTTACCTACTTTCCATTATTCAGGACGTGCAAAGGTGTTGTTTCTGTGAAAAAAAAATGATCATGTCACATCATTACATCCTGTTTGACAAACAATTAAGGGAGAAAAATGATTTCATGTATTATTTGCAGAGCTGCCCAGTTTTTAAGAAAAATGGCCGACCCTCAGTCAATTCAGGAATCCCAGAACCTCTCCATGTTTCTGGCCAACCACAACAGAATAACACAGGTATACTTTTTCATCCTGCCTTGTTCTCAATTCCTTGCTCTTCTCTCATCTTCCAAACCAATCCTCTGTAATTCCCAAAACAGTACCCATTGAAGGTCATTGCGTCGTGTTCGTTAGTGTTTGCTTCTGTGTTTTTATTATTAATTACCAAAGCCCAACCTCACAGCTGGGTGCTGCTTGTTCCCCTTGCAGTGTCTCCACCAGCAGCTTGAAGTCATCCCTGGTTATGAGGAGCTGCTGGCGGATATTGTAAATATTTGTGTGGACTACTATGAAAACAAGATGTACCTGACACCCAGCGAGAAACACATGCTTTTAAAGGTAGAAAATATCTTGTTTTAGAATACTGCCTGTACACACATTATTGGTTTTGTTCACATTCCTGTGTTTTAATCTCCCCAGCCAACTGTCCTTAATCTTTTCTTTAACATCACATTGTTACCGAAGACTTCTTAAATGCGTACCATTATATTCGTATTGTTGAATTCCACATTCTTTTCAGAAATAAATATTTCCCAAATTTATCTGGGGTAAATAAAAACTAAAGAGCTTTATTTATATCTGCTTATCAGAATACAAGATTTTTAATGACTTTCTAGAACGCTACAGATTCATGAGTTTTGTTAAGGAAACCAGGGCATTTCTGTTGTAGATAAATTGGTTGGATTTGATATCAACATGCGAATTGAACACCAGGTGGCACTTATTAGCAAGCAATGATCCTCAGCATCCATTTAGGCCATTCTGTTAACTCCGATTCCTCAAACCATTGCTAGTTGTGAGCTGAGCAACCTAAAATGGAGTGATTATTTTTTTGTTGCTGTGTTTTCAGCAGGCAGTTACACAGGAATCACTAGTTTGTCGGCTACTGCCATTTTCTTCACTTTCACATGGTTTTTACTAGGCCATTCAAATCTTTCTGATGTAGGTGATGGGGTTTGGTCTGTACCTGATGGATGGCAACGTTAGTAACATTTACAAACTGGATGCCAAAAAGAGGATAAACCTTAGCAAAATCGACAAGTTCTTTAAGGTGAGACTTTGTTGGTTAATCACTGAAACGTATACAGTAGATCTGGTCTTTTACACAACATAAATGTGTTTATCAATATTCATGTTTCATGACATTATTTTAAGGAATAAATAAAAAATATATACTTTTTAATCTCAAAATGACCTTAAAAAGTAAGTACCACAGCCCAGTAAATTAGGCACCCTCTTATCATTTCCCCTAGAGCTAATAAAGAACATTGCATAAATGAGTTATGAAACATTTCTTTTGTCTTCGCTTGTTATAAAGACACCAGGGCTGCCATTTGTCGACATTGGTATGTTGTGTGCTCCCAGACTTCTGTGTGTTAGGGCAGCAAGCCAATTATTCCTTCACTGATCGTCCAACGCTGAATTCTTGTTTCCTTAACATCTAGAGTTTGATCTGTCATTCTCCTGTATTATTTTTTAATATAATGTTTGTGTCTACTGGGATGTCTTCAGGTTTAACTAACACTCAGGTATTTATGAGGCATGTCTGTTGAGCCAGCAAGTCCTGAAGCAAAGATCCATGTTTCTGGAAACTGCTGTGCTCATTTCACATGTACCCGTTTGGCTTTTGCTTATTCCTCTTATTGGCATACTTTATTTTACTAGCAGTTGCAGGTAGTCCCTCTGTTTGGAGACATGCAGATTGAGTTGTCCAGATACATTGAGACCAGTGCCCATTATGAAGAGAACAAATCCAAGTGAGTCATTTTTTCCTCTACTACAGAATTTGTTGCCTTAGGATATCTGTTTGTAATCCATTGACATGTTTTGCAGTTCGGTTGTTTAATTCAAGTGAAGAGAAGTTTTTAACACATCAGAAAACAGCTATCCTTTGTTTTCTTGGGTCCACTATGTGTACTGTACCTCAAACCTCCTGAAATATCTAGGAGGTACCAGATGTTTGTAGTTTCCATATAGCACAGCTTGATGTTGTTGTAATTTGGTGGAATACTATTATGTAGTAAGAAAATAGTTTATGTACAGTATGAAAGCTTTAAGGTCATAAGGTATCAGAATAGAAAATGAAACATTAACAATATAAAACATTAAAACATATATATTTTATAACATATACAAACATTAAAACATGAACAATATCAATCCTAGAACAGAAAACGTACTGTTTTTTCAAATTCTGTCCAGGGTGGTGTGTAAGTTGAACAGCCGAAGCTGAAAATGGCACATATCTGTTGTTTTTTTTGCCTTTCAGTGGTTAAGGGTGTGAGCCTCCTCACAGCCTCCTCACAGGCTTGCGTTTTTATTTTTGGCGCTGGTGGCTACCGCAGCCTTTTTTATTTCCATTTCTGAAAAATTTGGAATGAAAAAAAAAAAGCCCTCCAATATGCTCTCCCTTCTCCTCCCCTAGATGGACTTGTACTCAGAGCAGCATCAGCCCCCAGTACAACCTGTGTGAGCAAATGGTCCAGATCAGGGATGACCATATCCGATTCATCTCCGAACTGGCCCGCTACAGCAACAGCGAGGTCCGTGAGTGACGAGTGCTCCTCAGTCTTGGACTGCGTGTATTCTTTCTCAGTCAGACGCAAGCAGGAACATTACATTACAGCAATCATTTCAACCGGGCTAATTCGCTGACAACAACATTTCAAATCACATAAGTCGATGATAGCGTTTTAACAGTGCTGAAGTCTTGCAGTACTGTTCGGCAGCCAGTGGAGGGAAGAAAAACTGCAGGCTCTTCACACTGATTTACTAATAAGTGTGGAGTACAGCAATGAAGGCTCCATCAGCTTTCTGTTCAAAAGAGAGCAACGTCCTTCTTCTCTGGTTATACTGGAAATCTGCAGCTTTTCTATCTGCAAAAGTAACTGCAGATTTCCTTCCAAAACCCCCGAAATTTTCTGTGTGCAAATATTTTAATGCAAATCTTTTGGATTTTAGTGCACTATACATTGCTATCCGAGAATTTGAAGTGTAATAACAATACGTTTATTTCTAAAATCACCACATTTTCTATAAATGTATACAGGTCTAAATCCTTCAGTCCTTCAACCTCTATGGCATTGCATATGTACTTTATATACTTAAAATATTCTGTTCCATAAAGATCCATGAACACTCCCAATTCACAACTTTATTGTAAAATATTCATTCATTTGTATGAACAAACTGCCTGTCACGACATGTGTTCAGCAATGGACTCCCACCTCTACTAGCCCTTTCTCTTGTGCTGTTGACAGGTGGTGACAGGTTCGGGGCTAGACAGCCAGAAATCAGATGAGGAGTACAGAGAGCTCTTTGACTTGGCACTTAGAGGCCTGCAGCTCCTTTCAAAATGGAGCACCCATGTTATGGAAGTGGTAGGTAACGGATCCTGAAGTGTCACACTGTTTCCTTAGTAGAGGTGGATGGATTAGCAAATATTTTCGCTGCACACACAACGCAAAAGACCGCCTGTCCTGTCAGTGTGAGATGGCGGACTGGGCTGGCAGCTCTCATAGTCAGTGTACTAGTGCTTCGTCTGTAATTCATGTGACAGCTGAAATGATCTGCTGGGTGACACTGTGATTTTCCTTGCCTCTTCCTCATTCAGTACTCATGGAAACTTGTCCATCCCACTGATAAATTCTGCAATAAGGACTGCCCGGGCACTGCGGAGGAGTATGAAAGGGCCACCCGTTACAACTACACGAGTGAGGAGAAGTTTGCTCTAGTTGAGGTGAGAATGGTTTGCTATCCTTGTTAGACAGTGAGTTTGCCCTCAATATAACCACAGTGCAGAGAAAAACCCCAATATAATTTTAGAAATTACAATACCTAACCATGCTTTTCTTGTTTACATCCAAATAATGTTTTTTTTTTTTAAATTGCAGGATAATCACAATTAATAATTTAAAGATTTACATTTAATAATTATGCACTTAAGGTTCACTCAGTGTTTTAAAATTGAGAATCTGTTGTTAATTTACAGAGTATAAATATACTACTAGTGTCTTCTCTGCGTTTGTAGTTTTATGACAAATACAAAAGTGCAGTGACTGCATTGCCAAGTAATTTTGGAGCAGTGTCTCACTTGTTGGCTTATTAAAAATGAAGAATGCTGTGGCAAAAGACTCATTATATGATTTAGTGCTCCATGAATGAAATGCTTAGCTTTCTGACGGTTGCCTTGGTAAGTAACGAGTATGCAATAAGCATACTTTGATTTTTTCCAAAATGCTTCACACGCAATTTGATCCCATGACCCGTTCCTGTTATTTATATATTAAACTTTCTTTCATGTGCACATATCTGTAATTTATTGTTTAATGTATAACACACTGAAGTCTACGAATGGCAGGGGAGCTGTTGGGTTTCATCACTACCAGTGACCCCTGGTAATGGAAGGAGCTTGTGTTTGACATTCACAGGTGATCGCTATGATCAAAGGCCTGCAGGTCCTGATGGGCAGAATGGAGAGCGTCTTCAACCAGGCCATCCGAAACACCATCTATGCTGCCCTGCAGGACTTCGCCCAGATGACTCTCAGAGAGCCCCTGCGCCAGGCTGTGCGAAAGAAGAAGAATGTGCTCATTAGGTAGGGGACTGCTTTGAAAACAAAAAAGTTTTGTTTTTTTCCCCCAAACCTGAAGTGAAAAAAAAAGTCCCCCTCCAAGTAGAAAGACATTGAGAAAGACACACCTGAAGAAGGCTCTGCAGCCGAAACGTTGTGTCTTTTCTCTTTTCACTGTGGAATAAATCTTTACTTGTTCCTTTGCAGCCAACGCATGCAGACACAGCTCCCTACTTGAACCTCTTCAACCCACTCCTGCTGTGACCCACTATGCCTTCCTCTAAATCTTTGTCTCTTCGTCATTCCTCCTCCTCCTCCTCCCTGAGCTACTTGCCCCCTTCTCTCCACCATGAAAAATGTTAATTCCTGTCTGGGTTTCTTTATTTCTTCTCGACTCATTCTTCACCGGCGGTCTTCCTCTGTGCTTTTAGTGTTCTTCAGGCGATTAGGAAAACGATATGTGACTGGGAGGGAGCGAGAGAGCCCCCCAACGATCCCTGTCTGCGGGGGGAGAAGGACCCCAAAGGGGGCTTCGATATAAAAGTTCCCCGACGTGCCGTTGGACCTTCTAGCACCCAAGTAAGCTGACTCCTCAATCAAAATATCTGTTTAAATCTATATTATTAAATATAGATTTATTAAGAATTTTATAGAATATTAAATCAGGGATGAGTAATCTGGAGTTTCCATTCAGATCAGTATGTGCTTTGAATTGATGCTTTGATCTGGACTGGTTTCTGTCTAGATGTGGTTTGTTAGTAGCCGAGTAACTATAAGGCTCTGTAAGTACCAGACACTGATGTATTATATAATGCAAGTATATTACCCTGATGTATTATGCCCTGGCTAGAAATAATATAAATTTATAAATAATAGGTATTTAGAAGTTGTTATCATTTGGTTTAGCACAGTCACATCTTTGTTAAAGTTTCTACTTTTTGACAATAAAAGAGAGAAACTCATTTACAGGTTTTCTGAAAATCAGGTTATTAACACTGAATAGCTCTTTTCTTCTGCCTGACTGGGTGAGCAGTATCACATGCTTGTGCATTGCATGACAATAAGGTACCTCTATTATTCTTGAGGAGGGTTTAATAACTTTCACTTTCTGTGCAAATTAAAAAAAAAACTGGTTTGAAAACATGAGGGATTATAAAGGAATGAAGTGACTTCGACTAAATGGTAAGGCTCTGAAGCCATGACTCAATGTCTAGAGTAAACCACGAGAGGGACTCCAAAGGTTATGCGTTTTTCTTTTCAGCTTTACATGGTGAGAACCATGTTAGAGTCTCTCATTGCTGACAAGAGTGGATCTAAAAAAACTCTACGAAGCAGCCTGGATGGGCCCATAGTCCTTGCCATCGAAGATTTCCACAAGCAGTCCTTTTTCTTCACTCATCTGCTTAACTTCAGTGGTAGGCTTTTGGATTTTTTCTTATCCTCTTTTGCAGGTCTTATCTTTAGGCCTGTGTTATTGTAAGAGAAAATATTTAACCATTAAACTGTGTACTGTACATTCCTTTGTGTATAGTATATTATTGCTGTTTCAACTAATTTATTATTTTCTAAAGTATGCTTCTCCTTACTTGTAAGTTTACACTTTATTGTAATACAATGCCTCTGTTCACTGTTTAACTTAGATTATATTTTTGCATTTTGCTGCTTAAACTGGTGCACCTTGGTGTTAGAAGGAGTTTTGAAATGAAGGCTATGTTGTTCTAAAACTGTGATGTTTTAACTGTTTGTTTTGGCATGTGCAGAAGCTCTCCAGCAATGCTGTGATCTGTCCCAGCTCTGGTTCCGAGAGTTCTTCTTGGAGCTCACAATGGGACGAAGAATTCAGTTCCCTATTGAGATGTCGATGCCCTGGATTTTAACAGATCACATTCTCGAGACCAAGGAACCTTCCATGATGGAGTAAGCCAACTATCTTCCCCATAATAAGCATCTTCCCATGACATGGCTCTGTGTTTTGAATACATTGTAAGCTAGTTGTGTCAGGATAGAATGTTTTGGTAAGGCCCCATAAAGTGGCAAAGTTTAAAGGTTACTTTTAAGATGGAACTGAATAAATTCACCAGGTAACCCCCTCCCACCTGTCTTGTGTTTTTATAGAATTCATTCAAGTTGTTTTCCTGTATGTTTTTTTGGGAGCCAGACTACATCTTTTTCAGTTGAATGTCTGGAAGTGGTAGCTGTTTTTGAAGACCATTTTTCAAACAGAAGTCAAGATCTTTTTTTCTGCCATAGTGGTGCCCTGGCAACCCCTCCACACAAACACATAGAGAGACACACACACACACACCAGGAGTTCACACACTCACACTGTTGTTAAATGGGGATAAAAGCCTTTCAGAACCATAAGGGTCACAGAAAGTCGACTTCGGTTTTAACCTTGATGTGGATAAACAGATTATTTTGGAAAGCCCGTCTGAACAAGCAATTACATCTAACTTTTCTCAATCTTCTGTTTTATCTAGATATGTTCTTTATCCACTGGACCTTTACAATGACAGTGGATACTACGCTCTGACAAAATTTAAGAAGCAGTTCCTTTACGATGAAATTGAAGCAGAGGTATTTTTTTTATTGTGAAACCATCATAAATCAAGATGCATCAGTAGAAACTGGTAAACAGCAAGCAAGATAGTCATCAGTTTCCTGGCTACATTAGTTTTCCCCCCTACTTTTAAGATTAATGTGCAGAGTTTTGTAGCTTTTTCAAGTGACATCCATCTTATTTTTCATTTAATCCATTTTAAATGAAGATGAAGCTAGTTCATGCCTGATACTGAGAATATTATTTTTTTTCAGGTGAATCTTTGTTTTGATCAATTTGTCTACAAGTTGGCAGATCAGATATTTGCCTATTACAAAGCAATGGCTGGCAGGTATGGTTTTTGTAAATTGATGCATGTTGGGGCTGGTGAGTGGGTTATTTTTGTGATGTTGGGCATTGCTTAGTGCTGTGAACTTAGAAGCCTATCAAGTACAAAATTAAAAATCAAATATTATTGCACAAATTCCCATTCATTCATGGAATATACAGCATACAACTGTAACTGAAAGTTGTGGGGATAAATATTCATGGAATGATAATGAAACAATGGCATTTCTTGTCTTTCAGTGTTCTCCTTGATAAGAGGTTTAGAGCTGAGTGCAAAAACTATGGAGTTATTATCCCATATCCTCCATCCAATCGCTACGAGACATTGTTGAAGCAGAGACATGTTCAGGTACACAGTTTTGCAGTTGCAGTATTCATCTGCAAAAATATTATAAAATGCGTGCTGTACAAATACAGACATTTGGAATAAGATAAGGCAAAATAATTACATTTTTACTTTGTACTTAGAGTTGCACCACATAATTAACTCTTGCAGTTTGCTGCTTAATTACTAAATGAGTAACTGTTTAAATACAACACTTGAAGAATAAAGTTAAAAAATGTAAGCAAGGATGTCCTTTTCTTTTTAATAAACAACTTTTTAAATAAAAGGAAACCTAAGCAATTTCAAGCCTTACCTTTTCCTCTGTTCTGCTCTCCAGCTTCTAGGAAGGTCAATTGATCTGAACAGATTAATTACACAGAGAATATCAGCTGCTATGTACAAATCCCTGGATCAAGCAATCAGCCGCTTTGAGAGTGAAGATCTCACCTCCATTGTGGTAAGAGGCCTTAGCACACATGAAATATTACTTTTCCTGTTGTGACAGGGAAAGGTTTGTGGGACTCGGACATATATGAATGGTATACAGTGTATAGAGATATGGCATAATGACTTGCCTTGTAGCTAAAGGAACAAGCAGAAACATGTTTGTATGTCGTTTATCACAAATAAATGTCAATGTTAATAATCAAATTAAACTAAGTAAGTAATGCTATTGAATTGTTTTCCTATGCAGTTTGATCAGTGGCATATTCAGGGAATTGCTGTTTGGCTTTTAAAACTTGCAAGGAAGCGTATAACAGTCTTGCTAGTCACAGTCAGCACTCCAGATAGGCTGTGCAAACCGTGTGTTGAGTTTTATTCTTTATTAACGTCTTATAGGAGCTGGAGTGGTTGATGGAGATCAATCGACTGACTCATCGGCTGCTGTCGAAGCACATGACTCTGGACAGCTTCGATGCCATGTTCAGAGAGGCGAACCACAACGTCTCGGCTCCCTATGGCCGCATCACTCTCCACGTGTTCTGGGAACTGAATTTCGACTTCCTGCCCAACTACTGCTACAACGGTTCCACCAACAGGTCCGTGCTTCTCTTTATAAGGGGAACTGCAACGCTATTCTTATATTTAGGAGTTAGAAAGAACCAGTATTGATTGCATTTCAAACCACAATAAATGTAAAATGTACATGGTAACTTGCAAAACCTCCAATTTACACCACAAAATACACAACATTTCCAGGTACATTATGCGCAGCACTATATACTGTGATTTAGAATGAGGCAATAAAACTTCCGGTGATATGAAGCAGCCTTATTAAATTGTAAAGAAGCAGGCCTTCGAATACATCTCTTTTAATCCAAAAGAATTATTGCTCTCAGCTTCAAGATGGACTTGCAGATAAATAGAATTAACATGTTAACTCTGCATGCAGACCACAGAAACATTCTGCGGTGAAATATCTGCTGCACAGCATGTATTTATTCACTTGCACATTACATTAGTCATTACAGTGACTAGTGAGCAGGAAGGGCCGCTTCACATCGCAATTCATGGGAACTCTTGCTCTCGCCTGTGGCAAGACCAGCGGTTTGCGACAACATGGCGACTGACAGTATTTTCAAAAAGTAGATTAAAGATTTTGTTATTGATTTGAAATTTGTAGAATTTATCGATACCATCAATGAATGAATTTTTTCCCTGTTTAAAGTTGGGGATGTACTTGGTAAAGATACTTACTGTCACACGCACATCCAAGCTCACTGCAGTTAACAACATGCTGAAGAAGAACACTTCCTTCTTTACATTTTGTACTATTTGAAGAGATTTTTAACAGAGAGTTTCTGTTACCTGTGATCAGAATCATTTATAATGTTTGCAAAGGAACAAGTAAAGGTTTATTCCAAGCTGACAAGAGAAGAAAAGAGACAACATTTCGGCTGTGGAGCCTTCTTCATGTGGCTTGGGAACATTGTCTCTTTTCTTCTCTTGTCAGCTTGGAATATACCTTTACTTGTTCCTTTACAGCCTGTGCAGCTCCCTACTTAAACTATTTATAATGTTTTATCTGTAATAGTAATAGTGGATTCCAAAAATCTCTCAGCTTGATAATCATGTATTGGTTAAAGCCATGATCATAAACATTTATGACTGAATTCTAAAATATTAGCCTTTTCCCTTAGATTTGTACGGACTGCAATTCCTTTCACCCAAGAGCCACAAAGAGACAAACCTGCTAATGTCCAGCCATACTATCTTTATGGCTCAAAGGTTGGTACTTCACAGCATTCAAAATCAATGGGTACTGAAGATCTGCTTACTTTTTGAGACTGAAAGCGAAATATCTTTTTCCTTAAGAGTACAGTAGACACATAAGCATGAAAATCATTCGTCATTTCTTGTTTTAGAATTGTGGAAAAAAAGCAGAGGCAGGCTTACCTTGACTTGTTTTGCACAGATTTCTGGGAAATGATCTTTGTATCTTTAAAGTATGTTCACACGCTTGTTTGCAATGCAGCTGCAAGCAAAACACATTTTTATTGCAGTGTTTCTCCTTTTTTAGCCCCTGAACATTGCTTATTCCCACATCTACAGTTCCTATCGGAACTTTGTGGGTCCCCCTCACTTCAAGACTATTTGCCGCTTACTAGGGTACCAGGGGATCGCTGTGGTGATGGAGGAACTCTTGAAGATTGTCAAAAGTCTGGTAATGTTTGAGTGTTTCCTTAAGGCATTCATATGGCAACTTTACTGACTTGGCACCTCAAAGTTGTAACTTTGACCATTGTAGCCAGAGTGAAGGACTAGCCCGAAAGTCAGGGACAATGGATTTATAGCTCAACAGCTTTGACCAAAGAAAGAACTCACTGTCCAGAATGAATTCAGCTCGTACAAATTATCAACTGCATGTGCCAGGTGTGCAAATTGAACTGCATATGACAGTGACTGCCAAAAAGGTGCATTTGTAATTTTCTGGACATTCTTTAATTTTGACCCTTTTCATCTTTATCCTGTTGCAGCTGCAGGGCACTATCCTTCAGTACGTGAAAACCCTGATAGAAGTAATGCCAAAAATCTGTCGTCTGCCGAGGCACGAATATGGATCTCCAGGTGAAATACAATGCCATGTGTTCTTTTTCTTGTATCGCCCACAGTAATATTACCAACATTGAATTTTTCCCAGGATTAGTCAACTGTATACTGCATCACTGGGGAATTGCCATTTTACTGTTGGGACAGACTCAGTACCAAATGAAACCCTTTCTACTTCTGTTGACCTATTTCATCTTCCTTGAATATGGAATCTCTTTCTGAAATGATGTTGCTTTTTTATCTCCTGGTGCCAGTGCTCCTTCCCTACTAATGCATGTGCTGTAAATAGTAAAGCAGTACTAGAAATTGTATTAGCTTCCATTAGCATTAACCTTCAAAACTAAGGTTAGGCTGATGCAACTTAATAAACCAAATAACCGTGTTGTTCCCTTTTTACTCATTTTCCATACATGCTAAGTGAACCCCAGAGAGACCCCCTATTTCTTTTCTGTCTCTGTTTCTACTTACATTAAAATATATTCTAGGTATTCTGGAGTTTTTCCATCACCAGCTGAAAGACATAATAGAATATGCAGAGCTGAAGACAGATGTGTTCCAGAGCCTCAGAGAAGTGGGAAACGCCATCCTCTTTTGTCTGCTGATAGAGCAAGCTTTGGTAAGGACCATGCTTTTTGTGCTTTATTGACATTGACAGAGGGTCCTGAATACATATTTGAATGTCAGTGCATTAAGAAAAATGTAACAAGCAAATTCCTCCCAGTCTTCCTTTCTTTGTCATATTCTTGTGATCCATAATTCTGTTTATTTTATTTAATACTTCATCCTGTTTTTCATTAAATATTGTAGGTTCTACCAATCAGAAACAATTGTTCTACCTTAATTGCACCAGATATTCACTTCAACATGGTGTCAACTGCATTGCATCAATGACTTAGCTTTTTTAACTAAAACTACACTGCTTAATAGTTTGGGTTAATTGATTGTCTAATAAAACTGTTCAATTTTATTAAAGCCTTTCACATACATATGCCTTTAATTTCAGTCTTGCTGTGGATTTTGTGCTATGGCAGCACTGTGGCTTTGCCTGAATACACACACATTAATACGATTTCTGCAGTTGACGTTTTCTCATTTTCATAACAGGTTAGACTGTTTTTAGTAGGGTTTGCTTACAAGGTTGTTAAAGGTAACTGATCCTTAGCTGTGGGAGATATTGTAATGGGAAAACTGTCTGCTATAAACTGGCAGATATATTTTGACATTTTTCCAGCAAACTGTTTAAAAACCTGATCTTTGTTGGTAGTTTAATAACTGTAAATCTTTACAAGCAGCAGCATGTTCCAGGGATTACTTGTTTAACAGGATCACTTGTCAGATGTTTGCAAGGTTCACACTACCTCTGAAGATAGAAGTGTATTAAGTACACACCCAAATTACAAAGAGACTGTCAATGTGAAATTTGCTGAGTGTTTGTATATAACCACACTGAATAATTTGTGTTTTTTCTTAAATGTTTGGTTTAACTTTAGTGTCATAGTGAGCTTTATTATTCAAGATTCACTAGAACTGCATGCAGTGCAAAGATCTCTCATTGTTGACCATTTTTTAACCAGTTGTCTATTTTAAATGCATAATGTGAAACCCATTTATCCTGTGTCAATTGTGAATGTTTCATGCTGCGGAATGACTGATCATGGTGTTTCCTTCCAAATTTGAATGACTGAATATGGAAAAGGTATTGCTGTTCTGATTACAGAGTTATTAATTATTCCTGAAACCTTATTTTTTCATTACATGCTGTCAACATCAAAGGTGGTAAGAAATTAGGTCATTTCCATGGTAACAAAAAACACATTGGTACCAGTAGCTGTTTCAGCTGTCACCAAGTTCATTTGTTGCTCAGCATTAAGTTAGGGTTGCCATGGAAACAAGGTATTTTTTTCTTTTTTGAAAAGCAATTTTGGGGCATTTACAGATTCAACATTTTTTTCTAGAATATTAAAGACAAATATTAATAATTCTGTAAGAGAAGAACATACAAAACCAGATATTGGGTTATTTCTGCCAGATGCCAGATGAAAACTATGCCTGCATCTTCATTCTTCCACACCTTTTTCTTATTGATACTACATGAAAAGAGCTCTATATCCTTGGCTTCCATGGCAAGAATGGCCATATGCTCTGTCTAAGATGCCTTGCATTGCACTTTTGCTTTGGAATTGCTATTCATTGCATGTTGAGCTCTTTTCTTTTTTTCAGTTGCCAGTAAAAATCCCAGGACCTTCTGGTTGCTTTGCCAAATTTAGAATTCTAAAAGAATGCACAAGAATCGTTCTTAAAGGCTATTTCTGTGGTGCTTGTGTGTTTGGATCAGTTTTTTTTTTTTGCTTATTCGTGCCAGCAAAAGCAAAGACAAAGTGTGATGTTTTGTTCATATAGCTCTATTGTGGAAAAAATCAGTCAGTGCATGTCCTGTAACCATCTACTCAGCACAGCAATGTGCAAGGAATTTGTCAGCGAACATAAACAATGTCAGATAGTTATCACACAAAAGGCACATGCTTTAACAAAAATATTGTTTGTTACATTCTAATGACCTATGAATGTTATTAAATAGAAGAATTATAAATGTATTAGGAAGAAACCAATAATGAGTGGTGGTAATTGTATGTACTGTAGTTCTATTGAAAATCTTTGTTTATGGTGTTTACTCATGTATTGTTTTAGGAATCATATAGTCTCTAAGGCAGATCTGCCTCTAATGTAGACTTACTGTACCTTTGACATTGTTTTCATAGCAGCTTCTCCATAACAAATCTTGCAGAACAGATTTTGGGAGAGTTTCTTATGATAACATACCTGGCACTGGCTGTATCTCTGGGTCATCTGAGGGACCTACGTAAAATGTTAAAATGTTTTCAAAGTTTCCAAAACTATCATGGTAACTGTATCGGAGGTGAATATGCCATGGAGAGATAACGAAAAATTACAAACATTAGTGTTCAAGGCATAGTTAATGTCCTCTTTTTTCTACATCTAATTTATCAAAACAAAACCTGAAGGTCTTAACATTTCCAATTTATGATAATGTACCTGTTGATAATACTGAATGTATTATGACAAAGCACCTGTTAGGGATTATATTATATCTCTATGGGAATAATCTTCTAGATAAAAATCTATTGTCACCTTTGGTATAGAAAACCACTCTGTTCTGCTGCTTTAAGAATTGCAATTATTAGCAAAAGGAAAGAGGACTTAATAGCTTAAGAATGGGAAAAAAAAACTATTGTGAATTTCTTATTTGTCTTAGAAACAGTAACCCATACTCACTGCATTTCTAATGCCATTTCATATGGCCACCGAAAAGCATTTGAAATCAACACACAGACTGCAGTGGCCAATTTTTAACTACACTTAGAAATTGATGAATGTGCTTTGCTATAGTTTATCTGGTTCTTTGCCATCTTCATAAAATATTTGTCATGAGTTTTATAAAAGAACAAAACCTAAAGCTTGAACAAAATGTACAGTCCAACACACAGGAGCTTGTGAGTTTCTCAAGCAGTAGAGCTGTCATCTCAGAGTGAAGGATCAGTTGTATAGCCTCTGGACAATGACAGTTTGAGCTTGGCCTGTCATTAGCTGACAGTATCCCAGTGACCAGGATCCCAGAAGTGTTGGGTAACAGATTTAGGTAAGCTCAAGTCAGCTGGTGTCCTCACCTTTCTGCTCGGAACAGGCCCTGGGATTGCTCTTCTGTGAGCTTGTGGAGTGAGTAAGAGACCCTGCTGGTCTCATAACACCTCTTCCAGCAGCAGCCTTAGCTTTCCCAGGAAGTCTCCTATCAAGGTACTGGCCAGGCTCACACTTCTGAGCTTCAGTGGGCTGCCAGTTGTGAGTTTTAGGGTGATATAGATGCTACCTAACACACATTCATACAATTAATGTGTGGTATCACATTGTCATACATTCATTATGTCCTGGATTTAATTAAATATGGCACCTTTACTGAACTCTTTACATACTCAACAAGTCAGTTACTGGAGTGTATGCATTTTATCACATTTGTATTTTCATCAGCAGCAGCCCTAAAATATGGAAACACTGAGAGAAAAGCTTCAAAATGGATTATTTTTCAACTTATTTTGCTTGAAAGGAATCGTTGGCCTTAGAAGTGCCTTTTATTTTTACTTGTATTATGCTATCACTTCCATCGTTAAACATGAGAAGAATAATTCTTGAGTATTAGAGATTCATTCCTGTTAGAATCTTCTTTCCAGCGTGTTTTATGTTTACCCAGCCTCTTGTATTCTTAAAGTCTTTCAAAGCTCCTGTCATCTTCACATATAATTCAGCGTGAAGCATGACTGTGCACAATAGTGAAGTAAACCTGTCAAACTAATTCCTGAGTTATCCACAACAGACATGTGAAACACAGGAATTTACAACAAACACAATAGAGTCTGCCTAACCAACGTCATTGTTTTAATGACCCAAGACAGCTGTAAGGTTCTTAAATCAGCATGTATTGTAACTAAGGTTACATCCAATGGATAATTCCACCCAGGTTCTGTCATTATATGTCACAATGCTGCCATAGCAACTGTCCACTCTGAATCGCTTCACATTCCCATAAGCATGTCTTTGTTTCTACTGATTCATTTAAGTGGGTTGCTCATCTGTGAGATATCACAATTTTCCAAATGTCACATCTAATATTTCTTAAGTTAACCCACCAATAAAAAAATATTTTTTCATTTATTTTTGAACTGATTACCTTATTAGCATCACATGAAAATCATGTAAATCCTAATTAAAATAACATACATACTCACAAAGTTGAAACACAATTTGTTCTTGCAGCTGCTTCTCTTCTGTTGTGTCAATATTTTGGGGCTTTGTTTTTTCTCTTTGTGTAACGACACTTTTGGGCCTAAGCTTTCACAACTAATCTCCAGATGACAGGGATTATAAACTGATCTAAAATAGTCATCCCACTTTGCACTTTAAAAGCTAGAGGAAAAAATGATTAAGTACATTTGAGTTTAAAATGTTACATTTAATTTGCCATTTGATGAAATGAAGCCCTGTATAACTTCAATGAAGCTTAGGCTACAAAATGAGTAAACTGCACTCAGCATGCTGTCACTGTAGTTGTCTGCATCACATTTCCATGTATGTTATGTCTGGGCATGTTTCCAATTAAAACAGTTAACATAAATCAAGGATTGGGTAGTATCAGAGGCTGAACTGCTCTCTCAAGTATAGAAAAAGGCAAGGTTCTTGTAGGTAAGCTGAAGAGGAAGAAAATGTAAGGCTCTCTCCAAAGATTTGTCTGCTCTCTGTAGTCTGTGGCTCAAATGCTCAGCCTTTTGACAAAACTTCTGCAGCTGCTTAAAGAAATGGCGCCATCTTGAATGGTTGTCCACTGTTTTTGTGATTCACAGCTAAAGGTAAACTATAAAGTTCTTTAAGGGCTCAACCATTGTAGACACGGGCTCTGAGTGCATGTGATCCAGACGTCTTACTTGGGTTATGTCACCAGTCAGCTGTGACTGTGTGTCCCCACGCAACAGTGCACAAATGGGATCTGCATACCAGGGATTATTTGGGGATTAGTCAACCAGGGCTCTCTTAGTTCCCTGCACAGCAAACTTCCAGGGCACATGACACGATGAGGTCAATGAGGGACTCGTCTCTCCTCCAGCTTTTGGAGCAATTTCATAGAGATGACTGGCTTGATTGGAGAGCGGGTTGGCAGACCACTTCCTCATTCTCTCCTGTGGGCACGGGGGTCAGCACTGCACATTAAAAAGGCAAAGACACCACTGACACCTCCTGTTGGGATCGGCCTATGAAAAAATAAAACACAACTGACAATTCAAAAATCAAATAAAGCCAAGTGATTCAACAGATTCTTCGTTAAGATCTCCTCTAGTCTAAATAACTCCAGCCCGTACCATCAATCTGTCCTCCCCACTTCCTCATTACTGAAACAGTCTTTGGCCTGTTGAGAACAGTTCATGCCAGCTGCTGCTTCATTCTTAGATTTTTCCATGAAAAAGAGCGTACGTTACAGACTTATCCAAAAAAGGTTAGAGAGAGTTTAAAGTAAGCTTCAGAAAGTCGCTGATTTTATTTCAGCCATTTTAAGAATAAATCTGACAAGTTACTCTGTGTAAAAACACTAAGTAAAAAAATATTTTTTACCCAAGTAACAATAAATTCACTGACTCATTTTGAGTAAAGCAGAAATGCGCATTCTTTATCTGCACGTACTGTATTTTGTTTGGTTCTATTAGAATATAGAGAACAGGAATAGAAAACTAAAGGATCTTTTGCACAAAATCATGATCTGATCTTCTGCTGAAGAAGTAGGCCTAAGTGTGTATGTCTTTAGAAGTTCGTTTAACTGGTTCATGGTTTGTTTGAGAAGTGTGACAATTGTGAATACTGCTGCAGATGTTGCAGTTTCAATGTAACACTCTTTTTCTAGTCCCAGGAAGAAGTATGTGATTTACTTCATGCAGCACCTTTTCAGAATATCCTCCCTAGAGTCTACATTAAAGGTAATTTTCTTTTTTTTTTCATATTTAGATTTTCTCTCAAGGACGTGTCTTGTGCACAGGTTAGATGAGTAGTTTGTCTTACTAGTGAGCTGTCTATGCGTATTTGTGTCAGTGCTTGAGTTTTGTTTCTCAGACTTGTTTTTTAAGGCTTTTAAAAGCTGAGAAAAATGACGTCAGGGGTTCCCAGTGCCTGGTCTCGAAGGACCTACACCTTGTTTTCATTCGTTCTGGGCCTAATTACTCAATTGAATATTATTACATAATATTATTATAATATATTGAAGTCTTAATTGCAATACCAATTTGCATGACAGGAATATACAGTATGCATTTGTTTTCCAATCAAGAGTATGGGATCTACTTATAAAATATACAAGTTAAAAAGGTGATTATCGCCATGTTTAAAAAAAGCAAACAGTCAAACAGTCCAGACTAATTCTATTATTAAATCAATTAAGGGTTCAGCTGTGTATGTGAGATCTGGACTGGAACAAACACTAGCTTGTGTGTGGGTCTTCAGCACCAGCACTGGGAACCCGTGATGTGTAATTGATGGTTTTGAGGTATTTTGATTTGCTGCTGCCTTATAGTTCATACAGCAGCTGATCTTTCAACAGATCTGTGCAAGTTTGTTTCTTCTGGAGTAATTCTGTAGCATTTTTAAGTGAGATAAAACTACAGACTCAGACCATACACATGCTAATTTACATTAAAAAGCTAAGTAGTGAACATTCATTTCATATTTGTTAAACAGGGTTCAACCAATAGTATAAACACTATGAATTGTTTATCATTCTTATTTGTCTTGCTCTGAAGGCTTGGATTGGAACCAGACAGGCTAGTCTTCCTCAGGGGGCATTGTAGACATACTGTACAGTAGATAGTTTAGGCTAGTTTCAGTATTTTATGGAACACAGCAGGAAACATTTTTGGGAAGGAAACAAATGTAGCTCACAGGACTGTCATTTAAGTCCTTTTCATTTTCCCGTAAACAGAGGGAGAACGTTTGGAAGTGAGGATGAAGAGGCTAGAAGCGAAGTATGCACCTCTTCACCTGGTGCCCCTGATCGAGAGGCTGGGAACCCCACAGGTAAGCAGCAAGAAGAGCCGAGAAATTAAATGAAAATCTACTTTTCTTCGGTGCTAAGATGAACAATGTTTGGATCGTTACTTTATCACCACAGGCTGTCCGAAATTCTTTTGTAGTCCTGTTAAAAACTTCATTCCAGCCAGCAGAGGAATTTCAGGCAGAAGAAAGGATCTCGTCAGCGGAAGTAAACAAGGTTCTAATAAACAGCACAAAGATGGGCCTCATCTGGACCTTTTGCACAGGGTGAAAGATGGATTAAAAGTTCATTCTTGGGGCTACAGGCGAAAATAACGTCATTAAATATCTAAGTGCGAAGCATTATAACACCAAAAAAAGCTTCATCAGTGACTGTGCAGCCTCCATGTTCCTGTAGCTTTTACACAGGGCTCTGACAGGCAGCTTCCACACTACTGAGAAAACACCAGTGTGTTGAAAGGGAAAATCGAAACTTTCTGCTTTCCAACCTAATCTTTATAGTTCTATCTTTTAATATTTACTGTTTTATTCCAGTCTTTTGCTGAGAGAGGGCATAGTTTTTCTTGCCCAGACTATTAGTTTTCAGTCCCTGTTTAAAATCACTAGATTCTTTTATACCTTATTGAATTTAAAGAAATATCTGCATTTTTCATCTTAAATTTTCCTGCACTGCAGAATAAGGCGATCTCTGAGATTGTTGCTCCCCAAACACCAGCAGAAGTGAGACAGTATTTGTACACAGCATTCCTGAGAAAGTCAAGAATCTAAACAATGGAGTGATTACACACACTCCAAATTGTAGAACAAAACACAAATGTTTTAGTTAAATGAATCATGGAAAGTAGCATTAAGCAGTGTTATAACAAAAAAAAAACAGAAGTGAATGTACTACCTAAACCTTTACTAGCTAAACGCAGAACATGGAAAAGGGAACCCATTCAATTACTGTGATATTTTCCAAAAGCTTTGTAGAGAAGTATGATGCACTTTCCTCTTTAAGAACAGTGACTTTTTCACAAGAACACACCCACACACCTATCACGCTATATACGTTTGCTTACTCAGTGAGATAACCTTTATATTAACACTAGGAGAAACAGGTTCTGGCAATTTACACTGTAGAGCAAACAGGAAAGTAAACACTGCGACAAAGGCAAAAAAAATACTAAATGTGTACCGTATGTTTTTAAAGCTAAAATTACAAGCTGTCCCAGAGTATACGAACTCAGGCGTTGTCTAGATTAACATGGAAGTTATCTTTCTTATATGTGCTTAGTGAGTATTGCCTCTGTTCTGCAGAAAACAAATTTTAGGTTAAGCATTATGAAACTGACATGTCAGTGAACATGAAGAATTGTCACTAGCTTGGGATTTCTGTAACAATCATAAGGCAACAGCAGCTGTCCTGCCAGTTACCCTTCCTCCTCTGTTTAAAAGAAAATCATTATTCAATGTCAGCACCAGGTTGGGTGTGTAGGACATCACAATGGGGACATCTGATGCTGGGGATATCCACTTTGATTGTTTTAGGTTGATGGGAGCTCTTTCTGTATCCTCTGACACAAGCTGCTGGCAGACCTAAGGTTGTTGTTGAAGGACTTAGGATATTAGTTTTCTCTATTACTTTTGACCCTGAATAATTCTCACAGGAGTGCTATGGTCTGGGGGCCAAAGTCTTCAAATACAGCAGGTGTTCTGTGGAAAAATATTTCTTGTTTTCAGGTGTTTGTATTTTTTAATGACAATCCATCCCAAGAATAGTCTGTACAGTGGAGTTAGATCTGGCTGTCTAGTGTTACTGCTGCTAAGAGAGCATGGTAACTCAGTGGTTGTGGCTTCAGTGGACGTCACTAGAGCATTGTTTAGCCTGTGCCTACAGACTGCTATCTGATGCTGGGGCGGGAAAGGGCTGCCACCTAGGATCACAAGACTGTTTGCAAACAAGTCGGGATCATTCAGGCTTATTTGGCTTTTAGTAGCTTTTAGTAGTTTTTTTCTGAGCTCGCCTCTAGCCATTGCTTGAAAAAAGAAGGGTGGAGATGTTGGGAGAGGGGAATGGCAATATGGAAGGTATAGGAGAAAATAGCATTGATATTTCTATGTTCTTTCTATTATTTTTACAACTTTTCCCAAAATATAAAATACAATATGCAATATAGAGATCAAATATAATACCAACTGATTAAATTACTATAATAAGTAAATAGACCTTTTTAGTTTTTCAAGATGAATCAACCTACAAAGAATGTTTAAGAATTATATGGCTGGTAAAGTTCATTTTTGTTGTAGTTGAGGATTTTCAAAGACTTTTTCAAAGGGCCTTTGGAGCAGTCCTCCTGGTTAGAGCAGTCCTCCTCACTGCTGGTCTTGGAGGCAGAAAATTTGTTCCAGTTCTTTGCAAACTGACAATTTCAGCGTAACCCACAAAAATAAAAATGGGCCACAACACCTCACTAGGGTTTGCCGGACTAAAAACATGGACTGAGTCGCAATTAAGGTCAATCATTGACCAGGACCAGGACCAGGACCCGTCGGGGAGATCTCTGTCGTTCTAAATTTCCTTCTGATTTCCTTGTAGCAAATTGCAATTGCGAGAGAGGGGGACCTCCTGACCAAAGAGCGCCTGTGCTGCGGTCTGTCCATGTTCGAGGTGATCCTGACCCGCATCCGGAGCTACCTGCAGGACGCCGTGTGGCGGGGTCCCCCTCCCACTAACGGGGTGATGCACGTGGACGAGTGTGTGGAGTTCCACCGGCTCTGGAGCGCCATGCAGTTTGTGTACTGCATTCCCGTGGGGACCAACGAGTTCACAGCGGAGTACGTCGCGCCCAGCCCCGATGCGTCTGTCGCACTTGATGATGATCGGGCTTGATCACATGCACATAACGCATTTCTGAATCCTTTAACATTTGAATTCAGCTACCGAATAACGTGCAAAACTAGATTTGCAACTCTTCTGAGCTTTTTAAGCCAAAAGGGCTACGCCTGCATTACAGTATATACAATGAATTGGAAAGACGTGTACATGCTTGACTTCTTAATATACTGTATGCTCACCCACACAATCTGTTTAGTTTCTGTGTTTTGGAATTGATCGTAGAACGCTGGTTCAGTCCTTGGTTATACAAAGAGATGTCTAAGCAGGACGGTGGAGTAATGCATTGCATCTCATTTGGGTATACAGCAAATTCCTATCTTATCTGTAATATTACTAGAGAGTTAATTGTTTTTAATCTGTTCTTCCATTAATTTTTTTGTAATGTCCTAATATTTTAGGTACTGCATCTCATAGGTATTAGATACTGTATCTCATAATGTATTATTTATCATGTGAAATTTGTTGTACCAGGCATTACAATTGCTGATTTTACGATACACTTATTCAAACTGGGATAACAATAACAATAACATGTAGATTATACATGCCAGATTTTCCAGGCTTCCTTTTGTTTTCAGTGCAGAATACTTAAATGCACACGTATATTACTATTTCACTAGGGATAACAGCATCCAAGAGCTGAATGCTTTGTGAATGTTTTTGTTATTTGGTGAGAATGGTTTGGCTTAATGGCCTTTCATGCCAAAGAATGAGAAGGCTCAAACTCCAATCACAGAGGAGTGAAACTAGGGGGAGTTGCAAGGTGGAGATGGGTAGAGGAGAGATGCTTGAGATGAGAGTGAAGGGAAGGATTTGAGTTTGATGTATAGAGCTGATTTCACAATGATGGTGATGAGGTGCAGCTGCCTGCAATTTGACATTGTTATCCCTCCCAAACTTCAGCTAATGATGTCCATTTAGTAAATGTAGGAAATGAACTTGTATTTCTTTCCTCAGCGCTCAGAGCTCTTGTGCTTTCTGTGTAGGCAGTGCTTCGGGGATGGGCTGAACTGGGCTGGCTGTTCCATCATTGTCCTGCTGGGACAGCAGCGGCGCTTCGATCTGTTTGACTTCTGCTACCACCTCCTCAAGGTCCAGAGGCAAGATGGCAAGGATGAAATAATCAAAAATGTGGTATGCTGATTAGGTTTTTTCATCAGTTTTTTAATGTGTTGCAGACATCTGAGAAACTTGTCTTCAGACAGACATACCTGCATGAAGTTATCTGGGGAACTGGTATGCTGGCTGTGCGTTACAATCCTGACTTCATCATTGTTGCATTGAATCATTTCTTCAATTGTATCACAATATATTGTCAACAAAACTGAGTTATGTTAAGAGTAAGAAAACTTTATAGGTAACAAATGGAACAATTCAATTATGTATTAAAACAGGATTTTGCTAGCAGAAAATTTTATAATGACACATTAAGTCTGCTTTGGCAGTGGTTTGCCACAAATTTGTACTGGTTTTCAAATATTTTTGTATAATTTTTAACCTGTATATTTACAAAATGTAATTATCCAATTTTTGCTGTTCTTTACACAGTTTTGCCATAAGATGTGGAAAAGTGATTAACCAGAGTGGTCAGCATGTTTGGCTTACTTATGAGTCATTTTTTCTAGGGTGCAGTAATGTTTTCTATGGGTAATTATTGGTTTTGCTTTGTAATGTTTTAGTTTTGGTACAACAAAGCCCTGACCCCTTTCATCTTTGACAAAACTAAAAGATCATGTTTCAACCTATTCTTGGAACCAAGCTTTTGTATGCAGCATTGTTTCCTTCTCATGGAAACCCAGGCAAAGTTCACTGTTGAATCACTTTTGCTGATCAAGAAGCAAAAAGACTTTGACTGATCATCGCTTGAATTAATGGACGCTTTATTTGGACTGATAGTTCGCAATCAGTCACTGCTAAACCAGGCCAGACAGCCTACGGAGCAGTTTATGAGGTCCTATTTATGATGTTATCAGCTGTTACATTTTATTCCAATGTGTCATTTTAATGGCAATCTCTTTTCTTTCTTTGCTAGCCCTTGAAGAAGATGGCTGACCGCATCAGAAAGTATCAGATTTTGAACAATGAGATCTTCGCAATCTTGAACAAGTACATGAAGGCCGTGGAGACGGACAGTTCTACAGTTGAACACGTGCGCTGTTTCCAGCCTCCTATACACCAGTCCCTGGCCACCACTTGTTGAAAATGGCCCACTGCCCAGGAAGCCTTTAATATAGCAAACCATTCACTTGGTCTTCGGCAAATTGGTATTAAAGATTAACGTACCCCATAAATGCTGTTAAAGCCTTTTTGCCTTGAATGCTGTGGTGAAAACTGTCAACCGATCTTCGCATGCTCTCATTTTGGTAGTTTTAACTGATGCAAGGGAGTCGCTGGCTGTGGACCTTCAGCCCCTGCACGCAATTTTCACAGGGTGGTCAACCATACTGGAGGAAAGCTGAGTGTGAGCTGGTAAATATGACACCAATAATCTAAGCCCTTGATGCGTTTAGCTGTATGGTGATAAAAGTATTATGATTTTAACCTCACGTTCAAGTACGTAATCTTCACAGGCAAAGTTCCAGGAGAAAAGGTTTTGGTTTCAGGTTCCTTTGAGACACTGGATGTCATTCAGTCTTCAGTTGCTTTAGTCTTGTCTCCAAACTGAACAGACCTTGGGAAATAATGATGCAGCTTTGGGGTTACTTAACTAGCTTTACAAATCTGTGGTATATATCTCTTTCAGATAGTGAAATGATGACTTCATTTAAAAACTGGGTTTGTCAAAATCAGCCTACAGAGAATTTGTGTTCCTTGCAGGTAGAATAGTAGAATGCACATAAATGCGGAGACTTTAAAGGACAGAGACAAATCTATGTAACTTGAGAAGCCCGAGTATCAGTTTGGCCTTTGTAGTAATACTGATGATATTACTAATAATATGGTGACAAGGCTTTTAAAGGAAATCTGTGTGCTTGGGGGATAAAATGAGCGCAATTAGACAGAATAAAGTGTGTTATGTTAATAAAGCATAATATGGCCTACAGTTTGCATTCCAAAAAGGCCAAGTGATGACTACGTAAATCTTCCTGCCCCTTCACAGTGACTTTCTTTTTACTTTTCTTTTGCTTTTTAAAGAGTGAGACGTTTATTTTGACCAATTCATGTATGTGCTCTGATGTTTAAAGAATTCCTTAATGTAAATAGTTCTCAGAATGACACATTTTAGGATCACTTAATGGTGTGCATGCCTCCTTTAATATGAATTTGTAACATGTGTAGGAAACTAACAGCCCCACCTTTGAAGTCTGTACATTCTCTTTTTTTATTTTTTAGACGTGCTAATTGTTCATTCATGAGTAACAGAGTTTTACAGTGACAGGCCACCATAAAATAGTTTCACTACCTTGGAAGTTGTATATTCGTACATTCCTGGTTATGTCATGCTGAACCTCACCTCATTATGCATGTTTGCTTAATCTCTTTACTCTGGCAAAAACTTCTGCTTTACCAACCACAACACACCCCTTTTTGTATGGGAGCCACTGGCTATGAAAGTCCTGCAGACTTGCCTTCTTACCACTGTGAAGAGTTGAAGGCAGCACTCCTCTGAAAAAACTAATTTGACGTGTAAGATTTTACTTGTAAATATTCTTGCTTTTGTCTTACCCATTCAATTAGGCTCATTCTGGTTGGAGTCAAGAGATAAGAAAAATGGACAGCACCCACACGGCTTTTCAGAGCTTTTATTTTTTCTTTTTTCTTGAAAGCAAAAGGAAGAGCATTCCCTTGAAATAGCAGCCTTTCGTGTTCCCATTTTTGTGTTCGCAAAATACCATTTTGAGTTCCTGGGTGGTATAAAATTCAGCCAAAGATTTATGAGTCAACTAAGAAGGAATTAAAATGTTCCCGAGTGTAGGGTGTGTGTGGCAATGAGGGACAGTGACAACAGATTGCAGAATCCTGTGTGTTTCTTGATGTTTTATTAAAATGAAAGAACATACCAGTGTGAAACTATATTATGTCAGGGCCCTGCCTTTATCTCTTTATGCTCATGCAGTTTAGTCTCCAAACTTTCTCTGTGTTAACACATCTGTTTAACAGATATAGAAGAGGGAGTCTAATTGGGAGATAAAATAGGTCAAAATGTGTTGTTTTCTTCATATATTAATGCACTTCCTTGATCTCCATCTCTGCAGTGACTTTCACAGAAATATTCTGTACTTGTGAAACATGGTTATTTAATCTCATTTGTAACACAACAACTATGTTAAAGAACAAGTTAAATGTCAAAAGGTCAAGGAAGTCAAACTATAACTCTCTCACATTGAGTTTGAATGAAAACTTTCCTAACAAGGGGAATGTCATCAACAAAACTGGTGAAATGGTCAAATTACTTCTGAATTTACTCTTCTGACTCGCACCTCTAATGAATTTACAGTAGTTGTCATTTAGAAATCACTTTCCAAGCCATGGTAGGATACAATCAAGTTTTAAAAAAGTGCTTTGAGATGTCTTTAAGGAAGGATTTAATGTATTAAATGTTTAAGATATATTTTTTTCCAGAAATAAACAAGGAAAAAAAAAGTTGTTCCTCTTAGAACAGTGTACTGTAGATCCATTGTGTAGTTTGCAGTGACCAGAAAGTAGCTCCTGCGTCATGCTTTGAGTTTGCCTCAGATCTTGAGGAACAGAGTCTCATGTCATTTATCAAGACAGATACTTGGCTTTCCTGATCGGTAGTATAAGCACAGTGGAAACATTATGTAGCCATTAGCATTCCATTTCCTGCACTGGACTTCTTTTAATTTTGTTTTGTACTATTTTAACACTCAGGGCCTGATTTTCAAAGCAAAGTAAGTTATTCCAAGGAATTTGTCATGTTTTGTTTTTTTCTTTATAGACTGCCAAGTTTTTTGACTATAGGCTAGCATTTTAAAACAACATTCCCACAATTCACTGTTACTGTGATGAAGTCTTCTTGTGATGTAACTGACCTCATCTTGGGTATTTGATAATTGTAATAAATAAAACATAACCTGCACTGAAACTGGTGGCGTACATGAACAGTAGTTTAGGAAAACTACTCGGTCACAATTTCCTATGAAAATCAGACCTTTACATTTTGTGTTAGGTCCTATTGACATTTCTTAAAAGTGTTTAATATAGGGATGAATATCTCTTTCTACATTACTTTTGTGTATTTCACTAGTAATTTGACAGTCTCTAGTACTGTAAACCTTGTCATTTGTAGGTGTTCATATCTTCAGTTCTGATGAACAAATGACTTTTTTTACCAATCGAATTAGAACATTGTATGTTTCTGCTGCCTTTTTAGCGGTTGTTTCATTGCAAACGTATGCAAACTGCAAATGTGTCTGTAGATTTTCAGATCTGTAAGAATTTCATCACAAAGTTAGAATCAATTTTGTAAAAAGAGCCAAGAAAATAAATGTCTTGTTAACAAAAGGTGTTAAAATGAAATCCTAATTAAAACTGTTAAAAGAGAGAACTCTCAGATTTACAAATAACATGGAATAGTGTTTGTGAAAACTTAAGAACAGTCAGATTGATACACATTCATTTTGTGACCGTCTGAAGGGCACATTTACAGCTTTGTTTGGAGAAACACTTTTCTGAAAAGGGGGACAAGACAGTATTAATGATTTACTTTTTACTTTAGCAGTGTTACTTGAATATATATATTTTTTCATTTGTTTTAAGCAGATGCATTTTGATTATCAGTTAAACACACTTGTGGAAAAAATGCACGGCTGTGTCTGTTGTAAAACGTTTTCTGTTGAATGCTTTCTTTTCTTGTTTAGTTTTGTATTTAAAAAAGACCATTGGTTTTACAACGACTTTAAGAAGTAGCTGTTTTCTTGAACTGTATTTATTAATACATGGATCCATTGTGTCGTTCCATAAAGGGTGGACGTTATTTAAAAACATGACATTTTAAAAAATTTAGCATGGCAGGCAATTGAACATGTCTCTATTTGTGACATAAGGTTATGTTCATGATGTTGTACGAGTGATTATGTTCTAGAAAAAAAATAAAACAACAAAATCCTTTCAAGGATAAATTGAAAATATGTTGTATTTTCATTAAATAAAATCTAACTTAAATATGTGTAGAAAATATGTGTCATTAATATGTTGGAAGGAAAAAAAAACACTTGCTGAGAGGAGAGTGTGGCAACATGCCATTATTACCCACAGGCGTCTTTGTATATTACACAAGGGATATAAAAGTTTGATAAAAATCAGATTAAATGCCCAACCATAATCCAATAATTTGAAATGACTTTGTGTATTCTGTGTGAATTTATCATGTTTGTTTTTTGCTAGCAATGTCTAATGATAGCAAAATAAAAAAGAAAATGCTGAGGCATGGTGATGGGAAACTAAGATATTATTGCAAACCATTCTGTCAACAAGCGTAGATCAGGACCCTATGCAGACAGTAGAATCCGGAAGGGAGTGAAACAGACACGGGGAGGAGACGACTAGGAACTGGGCTCGCAGACAAACGGGGGCGTGACGACTGTGCACTGGTGCTCAGGGGCGTGGTCCAGGCATACAAGTCCAAAGGAGTTCGAAGGGTAAATCCAGGGTGAAGTCCAAGGGTCCACAGCCGGGTGATCCATCCAGGACAGACAACACAAGGTTTAAAAACGGGAGCGAGATTCGGTGCAGGGACGGGGAATAAAAGTGGGTTAACGGGGCCGGGCACTCCCAGCCCTGGACCCAGAGGGTCAGGACGTCGTGGTGAAGCCAATGCCTCCGGTCTCTCCTAGACCCGCTGGTAGGCGGGCTTCCGGGTGTCCATCTTCCAAAGCTGAGCCCCGAGTGGTAGGAGTATCTGTCTTAAATAGGGAGGGGCTGAATAGGAGGCAGTTGCACAAAATCAACTAAAACGGGAAAGAGCCGGAGCTCCCTTAAGAGGGAGGATTTACGATCGGGACACATTCATCTCAGAAGCATGCTCATCTTAGGGAGTTTTCTTTTGGACAGAAAATATCGTAAACAAAGCAATACTGTATGTAAACAGGGCACCATGGTGGCACGTATGTTAGCATTGCTGCCTCACAGTTCTGTGGTTCATTTCTGGACCAGGGGTGCTATCTGCATGGAGTTTGTAAGTTCTCCTCCGTGTGTGTGGGAGTTTCCTCTGGGTGTTCCAGTTTCTTCCCACAGTCCAAAGGCATTCTGGTAGGTTAATTTCTGGGAAAACTGGCCTGGTATGAGTGTGTGTATGTGTCGGTGTCTTGGTGTGCTCTGTGATGGACTGGCGTCCCGCCCAGCGTGTATCCTGCCTTGTGCCCACTAGCTGTTGGGTTGGGCTCCCCCACCACCCTGAACTGGATCCAGTGCACTTCAGTGGTGAAAGAAGAGGGTTCCCTCCTATATTTGAAGTTGTTTGAGATCCTTTGAAGTGGAAAGAATACAGATGTTATCATTAATAACTTAAGGGAAATAAACTGATGGAGAATGAGTTCCAGGCAGTATGGAATCTGTAAGGCTTATTGCTACACAGCACAAGAAATTAAATTTCTTTTTACAGATTGTCAGCTTTTTGCTCTTTTCTGAGCGGTTTCGTAAAATGTCTTGAATCCACTATCATTTCTATATGATTCATTTTTAGATATTGAAAACAGCATAAGCATATGGAAAACTAGGGGCATATGTAAAAGTACAAACTTTGGTATTTTTCTTCTAAAGTCTGAAGCTTATAGTTCTCCGCCATTGAATTGCCAATTGGAACCAAATAGTCTTATTAACATAAATAAACTGTGCATGGGTTCGTTATTCTGCTGTCTGGTCTTCAGGGCTGTGTTGCTGTTCCCAGCAGTATTTCAGGTTTTGCAGCATTCTTGGGAGAACCAATGCTTTTTATAGTTTTTTTTCCAGGAAACTTAGAAATCCCACGGGAACAGTAAACATCAACAGGATCCTAAAACAATTATGCTTTCACAAAAAAAATATTAATACTCCCCTAAGTAATACATGTTAGTAAAAAGGCCTGTCATGTCACAGATAAAAATATTTTTGCCTTTATTTTCTGCAGCCTCACCTCACTTTTTGTGTGTGTGTGTGGCTTACAGTCCCCAACGCTTCAAGGTCGTTTCTCAATGACGAGCTTATCTTTCTGGAAAGCTCTACAAGGGAACGTTGATGGAACTACATCAACCACTGTTTTCATCATTAAGTTTATACAGAGATTCCTTATTTATGTTTTCAGCTTTTTTTTCAGGATAAAATTAGCAGACTGGTTTTCTAAATACCAGTTTTCTTTTTCACCTTTTCAGTATCGTTGTGTTTTTTTTTTTTTGTTGTGTAAATGGTTGCAGCATTTCACAAGTTCGTGAAATAGTGATGCATGGTGCTTTCAGAGAGGATAATTTTCTTTACCAGCTCATTGAATACCTTCGTGGTGCTTCACACCTCCAAAGAACAGGCACTGAAAGAAATCACCTATAACATGACACATTCTTTCCCCGATTTAATGAAAATGCGGTCTGCAGAGGCGTGGTCTATATTACTATGCTCAAGTGTACTAATGACAATACCACCAAAAACAGGTTTTGTCAGAAGCAGTAACAGTTCTTTCGAATGGGAGTGTCGCAGTTTACAACAGTTTAAGTCTGCAAATTGTGAAGCGCAGAAAGGTAAATCTTTGCCGAAAATTACAAAAAAATCAATGATAATAAATATCAGCCCAAATGATGAAACGTAAAATGCAATCAAAACGCATTTAGACCCAGTAAGCCAGTTGATCCTGCAGTCATGTTTTGAAAACCTAAAGGCTATTAAAAGATGCTTTACTGCCGTAACAATCATCGCAGAAATATCTCACGTGTTTACGTGGAGAAGTGGCACTTGATCTGATGAAAATGTAAATTAAATCGCTAAAACGATTTCTTAAGTGTACAATTAGGCTGTGGTCACGGTGGATTGCTAACCCATTACTACTTCCACCAGGTCTATCTTTAGGAGTTACATTTTACCCCCTTCAGCCCCGTGTTTTGACTGCTACTGAAACATGCATTGCCATGTGTTTTTAATAGTTATGAGAAAGTTGCACATAAAATGACATAATAAACGTATCGATTCGCGTATTCATTATTTTAAATTAATTTACCACAAAATGTTATTGCTTTCACGCTGCATACGAGTTATCCAGTCGAAAAAATATCAAATGTAAAAAACGAAACGACTTGGTGGTTCAACAGGGTATTGGTAGTTTATATTTTATTATTAATAGTGACGCAATACGGCAGGTAGGGAGTGCCAATTGACAAGCTTGGCAGTGACAACGCCCGAGAAGACACGTGAAAAAATAGTATCGTTACCTGTAATTTACATTTCGAGTTCTTTAGATAAATGGGCAGAGATGTTCTGGGCGAGGAACTGTTCTCCTTTTCAGTTGGAACTGAAAAGCATGCGTTGTACGGTTTATATGGAAACGATATAATGTCAGATACAATGTGTGATTTGTCTACAGTTCTCATTTGTTTTGTTCTATACACCGCAAGTAACAAGTATGAGTGTCTTTTAAAAGAGTTTTTCTTTTGCATGACTGTAATATTCTTCCTCAATACCGAATCTTCATGATTCACAATCATCCTTTATATAAATTGGAATTCGGAATATCGGAATTGTCGATATCGAATTGTTCTTTTTTTCTTTTTATAATTTATAACATAACATACAATCTTTCTATAAAGGATGAGCACTTTTAGGAACTGTGGTCTAACCTGTGAGATCGCCTTGTGGCTGTTCAGAGGAGGGCGGTGCTAATCTCAGGTAGAGTTCAGCAGGTCGGGTTGTTTTTCCTCTCAACACAGTTACACGGCAGCCGGACTCACGGGAGGAGACGGTCTATGGATGAAAACATACGGACCTGAGAAATAAGATTGGATTTCAATTCTCTGAATATTTTCCCCACCGTCGTCGCTGAATTATCATTGTGTTTGGATTTTTTTTTTGGGGGGGGGGAACTGTTTTCACGTTTTTCGAAAAAAGAAAAAAAAAACGGAACTAAATAAGAAAAAAAGATGCAGGACGTTCAATTATGGAACAGTTCGTGTAAGAACGGTAGGTTGCTGCCCAAACCCGTTTCATTTCCTTTAAAGATAGATTGCAGTGAAGTAGCTTTTATCTTTTCCGTGCGATTTGTTTGACTGATATCGAGATGACGTAATATGCCCTTTATTTATGGTGGTTTTTGCATGATTGAGTATGCAGTCAATAAATAACGAGAAGAGGGTTTTGCTGTAATTTGTAAACGTGCAAGGTGAAGTTCCTGACCCACCCAATAAAGCTCTGTTGAACGTGGAGCTACTCAAGGACAAGTGTTAATATGGATATTCAATGTGATAAAAAGCATCCGATTTATCAAGATGTGAAGAAACTGGTCATAATGATAGATTAAAAGGCACTTTTATGGTTACACACGTAAAGTTTAATTTTGTACCACAGAGAAAAAAACACTAGAAAATGATATTAAGCTAACAAGTCTCCTTATTGAGATACACAACCTTTACGGTCCGGAAGATGGTGAGGTGTGTAATGATCCCCGAGTATTTTAGGGGCGACATGAAGTTTGTAAACTCACAGGTTTTGAAAATTCTATCTCCGATGTAATGAAAAGTCAGTGTATTAATTGATGTGCTTACTAGTTGAAGATGTTTAATCTGAAAAACAACACGCGTGTGACTAGTATTATGGCTAAGGTGTTCAAGGGATATGCATTATTCCCCGGCGATGTATAATAATAATAATAATAATAATAATAATAATTATTAATAATAACCCTTGGCATTGTTAAAAGTTGCTCTAGGTTGTTTAAACTCATGTTGGAGCTGTCCTAGCAACGCTTCATGTGCTCAGTACCCTCTGTAGACCTCTTCATTAAGGGCTTTTCCTACTGTAGGTACAGTACATAGAACACGAAACCATGTTAGGGAACGAGATACGCTTCGCATTGTGTATAGGATTTAATATTTCTTGAATGGTTAATTGTACACATACATGAAGTCGTATATACCAATTACCTCAACAAATTAACACTAACGTGTTTATAGTTATTTAAACTTGAAGACAGAGTTTTACAGAGTTTTTTCTGTAAATTGGGTCAGTACCTGGTTCACATTTCCTATGAGGCAAAATGGTTTGACGTAAAAAACCTAACGGTATCGGTAGAAAACTATGAAAGATTAAAGAATTCCAATGAATATTCTGTATATTTTGTATTGTTTCCTAAAGAACATAAAAAATGTCAGACTCATTTATGTATCCTAATCTGAACACTTGTATATATGCATCATGTGTATATCAGGAATTGATCAAGGACAATAAGGATTTTTTGTCATAACAAAACAAAACCATTCCACCTTAATTCTTATATTAATGTGTATACATGTGTGGTTTCAACCAAAGTATATACCTAATACAATGTTTAATTTTTAAAGCAAAAATATATTTTTGGCCAAGAAGGTCATGTATTATCAATGGATGATGTGTGTTCGTTTGTAAAAGTATTCCATACTAAACCACCTGTTGTGCACAACACTTTATCTAATGAGTAGCTTGTAAAACCGTTTTTTTTGGTGTGATTTACACGGTCAATAACTACACAACACGTCTGTCTAATAGCTGGATAGTAAGTTAAAATTCACAGCAACATGCTTTTCGTCACAGTGCTGGTTTTAAGTGTTTAAAAGCTACCAAATGAATTGGGGTAAAGAGTCTAATGTTGTGTGTTATGCATTTTAAATCATGTTTTTGAGACATAATTACATTTTTCACTGTTGAGTTTGTACCCTAAATATATTTTTTCATTGTATAATAAGACAAAAAAACCTAGGAAGGTATCCGTATCCATGGTATCTTAGGAACAAGACTCTGCTTGAAAATAGTGGAAGAACAGGAAACTCTTGATAAAAATAACCTTGTCCATTTAAGCATTTGAAGACAATCCCTAGCTTGTCCTGGTGACAGTAGCTGTGAAGTAAAAATGATCATTTGTTTGTTTGGGTCTTGCTATACTATTAAAATTTGATAAAGCACAAAAGATATGATTAGCTGACAAGCTCTCAGGTGACTTCATTTTTTATGACTAATGATACTTATTTGTGTCCAGAGGACAGCCATGTTCATACTTCTGCATATCTTTTTAATTTTTCTTTAAATATTTGAAGAACAAATGTTTGCTGATTAAATACAACTGCACAGAGACTTTGCAATAAATGTATAGACACTCCCTTAAATTAATTTAGAGATACAGTATACTTGTAGCATAAGTGCAGGCATAAGAACCGGAATGGTGAGGAAACGACAAATCACAAGGACTTTGAAAAGAGGTGCATAGCTGGTTAATGGAACCAAATAATCCGTAGACAATCGCTATTGATCATCTTAGCTGCTGATACTGTATATACGGTAGCAGGTTGATCATCTTTGTGGTTTTGACTAAATGCGGAAGTTTCCAGTCATTAAAACTAAGTTGATCTATGCCACCAACAGTGAGTACTATTCTAAACTGTTGAGCCGCAGTTTCATTTCTTAAAGCAGCAGTAGAGATGTTTTCATTAGTCTTTTCCTTATGTGAAGGCATACATTTTCTGAATATACTGTGTCCAAATGGGGGGGATTTTGATTTATGAAAAGTGACTTTTTATTGTAGATTAGAACCTTCCTTGTGTCAAAAGAGGATCTTAATTTAAAGCTGTTCATTTCATTCTCCATGCTGGAGAGCCGTTAAAGAAAGATTACGTGTAGTTCAGCCTTTATCTACAGTACTTGCCACCAGTAAGAGCTCCAGCTCTCACCAAGCATCTTCATGCGGGACAAAGGTTCTTTCTTTGATAAAGTGTAAGAATGATTTGTTTTTTTTTTCTGGCTGGAGTACAGTTTGAATGCCAAAGTTCAACTGGCAATGTCAGTCTTTTTTATGCAGCTTTATCTTCACAAAACCGACACCGATGGTGTGCATTTTTCAACTTTCATGGAGGTAAAAAAAAGTTGGACTGTAGGCAAAGAACATGCAAGTCTTCTTTACCTTTATGAAATAGATGATGTCATACATTTTTTTCGGTTTTCTTTCCTTTAAATAACCATACTTTAGGACTTCTGTAAATTAATATTTAAAAAATTAACTGTGATGCAGACTTTCACTGGATGAAACCTCTTCAGCAAGTAATGGAATTAAATGAGGTTTTCACATTCTATAATAAATCATAAACTTCCAAATGGGAGACATCAAATGCCCAGTTCTTTTTGATTATAATATGCATTACTTGTAATTAAGACGTCATGCTACAATCAGAACTAATACATATTGAGCCTTATAATTAAGACTTATGTGTGTAATATTATGTCTTTAAATTGCATTTTGAATCTATGTAAAATGAACATGCAGTATCTACAGAACAATTGATATGACTTCTGTCATGTTAAGTTAACCTGAAACAACAAAAATCTATTTTGAAAGGATGGTAGCTTAATCATGACCTAACAGAATATCATTTGAAAAGAAGCATCATGCTGAATTTTAGTGTTGCATTTTAAAACCGCAGATCTGAGCTTAAAAACCCCTTGCAAGAACAGTTTTAGCACATTTGTTGCAGTGCACAGTGGAAAGAGATGTTCTTCCATTTTGAGCTGTTGTAATAATAATAATTCCTTACAGTTTTATATAGTGGATTTTTGGATACTCCACTCAAAGCGCTTTACAGGTAATGGGGACTTTCCTCTTCCACCACCAATCTGTAGCCTCCAACTGAATGATGCAAAATGTGCCAATACACTCACCTCACATCAGCTATCGGTGGGTAGGAGAACAGCATAATGAACCCAATTCATAAAAGACACCCCTACTCTTTTTGAGAGACGCCCTGGGAGTTTTAATGACCGGAAAGAGTCAGGACCTCGGTTCTCATCTGAAGGACGGTGCTATTTTTACATGTCCCCATCACCATACAGAGGCGTTAGGACCCACACAGGCCGCAGGGTGAACGCCCCCTACCGGCCCCACCAACACTGTGGCGGTGTGGTGGCTCTGTGGCTCAGGATCTGCGTCTGTGGCTGTAAGGTTTCCGGTTCATATCCCACGGCCGGCACTGGAGTCCTACTCCCTTTGGCCCCTGATCAAGGCCCTTAACCCAAACTGCTCCAGGGGTGCCATATAAATGACTGACCCTGCGCTCTGACCCCAAGCTTCTCTCTCCCTGTCTGTGTGTCTCATGGAGAGCAAGCTGGGGTATGCGAAAAGACAAATTCCTAATACAAGAAATTGTGTGTGGCCAATAAAAGTGATCTTATCTTATCTTACCTCTCCCAGCAGCAACCTTAGCTTTCCCAGGAGATCTGCCATCCAGGTACTGGCCAGACTCACACCTGCTCAATTTTAATGAGCTGCCAGTTGAGTTACAGGTTGATATAGCTACTGGCTATAGTGTAAATAATTTCCCAATTCTTATTTACTCAGGCTTCAGATTTCCATAATAGATATATATTTTCAGTATACAGAAGATTAGTGTTTTAAGTGAGTCTTCTGTGTAGGTAAGTGAAAACGAGTGTTATATACCACGTTTTTCACTTTTGTGTGAAGTGTATGTGCTGAGAATATCCTGCACTTCAACATCTTTACAATTCAACTCTACTTGACATTTACAAATGGATGCATACTTCAGTCTTTTTTGTGGTTTGCAAATTAAATTCAGTTTTCATTCCTCCCAGCAATCGTGTTTTTGTTTCTCTCTCTCCTGCGCAGGTTCGTTTATTACTTTGCCCTGCCCCTCACAAAATATCACTTGCAAGGTCCTCAATGAGATGAATTCCACCATCATCCTCAGCTACAACAACGGCACTGCCATTGACCTCCCGGAAGACAGATGGCGAAATTCCAATTTCTGGATTGGCCTGTGCCTGGCTGTTTTCTCTTCAGGCCTCATTGGTGGCAGCGTCATCCTGAAAAAGTTGGCTCTGTTAAGACTGGCTCGGACAGGGGAAACCAGAGCAGGTACTCGCGTTAAAACTGTAGTAGAGTGGGGGAAGCCTAGCATGGGTAGGTGAGCCCTGGTTTCAAGATTTTGTTTTCTGTGATCACGGCTCCATCTCAGGCAGCACAAGTAGATGCACCAGAAAGGGCAAGAGATCTCAACATAAATGGCACTTTCGGGTTTTAGAAAACTGTGAGGTACTGTACATCATGGATGCAGTTAGTGCTCACTGACCTGTAAGGTGCTGTGGAGCTTGCAGTGGGTGAAAAGAAAAATGCTGACACTTGAGCACCTGTGTAGGTCTTCATTCTCCCTGCTCTTTGGGTTAAATACCTGGCAGATAAAGGAGTTGCTGCCAGAAATCTGAATCTTAAACAGTTGCTGACACCAATTTCGGTGGGCATAGCAAACAAAAAGGAATTTTTGTATGGTTTAGTTTTTGCAACGTCAGTCACTTGAATGGATTAAGTAATGGTAGGGGGAGGAATGTCTACTGAGATATGGAAATATGTTTAGAATATTTTAAATGTGGTGCTATCTTCACTATCTTTCTGATGTATACTTATCTGGGTTCCTTGGTTCATCCTGATATAAAAGCTCCAACATTTGTTTTTTGGATTAACTTGTTTTCGGTGCTCAACTTAGTAGAGGAACACACCACTGCATACCCGAGAACCTACCCATAGCCTGAAGAGAAACAAGAGATCAGAAGGTTCTTGGTTATCTGTTTAGAATATAACAGGCCTGGAAAAAGGCGCTATTCTGGTTATGCAGACGGAGGTTCGTGACCCGTATTTCAATCAAAAAATATCTGTTATTTTAAAGGTGAAGGTGGTCATGGATACCTGAAGGACTGGCTGTGGTGGGGCGGTTTACTGACCAGTAAGTCCAGTCTCATGTCTAAGCAGCTGGTCACATGGTTTAGCAGCACTGCTTATGCTGAAGGTAGAATTAAGAAGTGTGAGAAGAAATGTATATCCGCTTTTTTTAGGTAGGACTTTCTCCTGTTAAGATTCAATAAAAGAAAATACAAAAACACTTCTGAATTGTTAGTTCTTGGGGGGGGATAGACAATGGGTTGCAAATAATCCTGGTTCTTAAGTGTGTCCCATGGTAACAATTCCAGGTTTAACTTAATAAGCTAGCATGATTTGATAAAAAAAGACTTACCTTATTTTTTTTCTACAGTGGGTGGTGGTGAAGCTGCCAATTTTGCTGCATATATCTTTGCTCCAGCGACAGTGGTAACTCCACTAGGTGCCTTAAGTGTTCTCATAAGGTAATCCAACCTCTTCGTGACTCGCCTAATAATATGTGACATTTTACAGATGCATTTTCAAACTCTTAAGTTCCAATAGAATGCGTTATGTTTTGCCCACTATTGTGTGATGTTTAAAAGTGGGACTTCATGTTTCTGAATGTGGTTTTCTTTCACCTGCGCTTGAGGCTGTATACGGTTACAGTGCATTGCTTTACTATGGGATGGTTTATGCCCCCCCATGCCTTGCTTCCAATACTCTGATTTGCTGTGGCTTGATTTCCAAAAACATGTTGTGCCTTGTGCACTGTCCTGTTCTTCTGGGTACTAAAATTGCCAACGTGTGTAAAAAAACAAGTGTGGAATGTGTAGTCATTGTAAAATGGGTTACACAAAAAGATAAAAGTAAATCTTAAAAGGTGTAACTGAGGGCCAGAACAAGGTGCTAGTTTTCAGCTAGGGTGTGATGCAGAGCACATACAGTTATCTTGTGTTGCAGTATGGGCATCTCTTAGAAGAAAGCTCTTTTTGAGGACATAGTTTGTATAGATAATTATGATCTGATATGATGGAGATTCAGGTAAACCAGTAATAATGAAACCTCTAAAAATAACAGGAAAAGGATTGTGTGGATGACTTGTTTAATTTCTAATACGGAAGATGCTTGTTTCCCCACAGTGCAATACTGTCTTCATACTTGCTTGGGGAGAGCCTGAATTTGATAGGAAAACTAGCTTGTGTTCTCAGCCTACTGGGTAGTACTGTAATGGTCATTCATGCCCCAGAAGAGGAGGAAGTAAGAACATTGAATGAAATGACCGCCAAGCTTTTAGATCCAGGTAAGGATCCAGGTACTTTCATTCTGGTCCTTGACATAAAATAAATACTGACTTGAGCTAGGATTTGAAAAACATTTTTTATCTTGCTATTTTAATCCAAGGTGATCCAGAAAAAGCCTTTTGACATTTAACAGGGCTTTGTATCCTTATTTCACCGATATGGAGAAGTTGCTATAATACTGTATTCGTCATTGCATGGTTTTATTTAAATCCTGTTTTCTTCATGTCTGTTAGACAAACTCTAGCTAAAACAGGTTGTCTTACAGGAAAACTAAGAAGACCTCGGTGTATTTCTTTATTGCTGTTAACTTGTGATATTTCTGTTAACAGGATTTCTTGTCTACGCAAGTACTTTGCTCATTGCAACTTTGCTGCTGATCTTCTACTTCTCACCACGGATCGGGCAGACCAATATCTTGATCTACATTAGCATTTGCTCTCTTCTCGGGGCCTTCACTGTCTCCTCCGTCAAAGGTCTGGGCATCACCATAAAGACATTCTTCTCGGACCCCTCTGTGATAAAGCACCCCCTGACCTGGATTCTGATTGTCTCGCTAGTGGCTTCGGTTATCATCCAGATAAACTACCTGAACAAGTCACTGGATGTCTTCAACACCCTGCTGGTGTATCCCATCTATTATGTCTTCTTCACAACCGTTGTTCTGACCACGTCCGTCATCCTTTTTAAGGAGTGGTACTCTATGTCAGGAGTGGACATTGTCGGAACGCTGTGTGGGTTCCTGGTGATTGTTTTAGGGGTTTTTATGCTGCACGTTTTCAGGGATCTCAAAGTCAGCTTGGCCAACCTTCCACAGACTATTAATCATAGACAGGTGGAAGAGCCGGCGCCTCAGGTGATCAAAGTAGATGACAAACACATACTCATTGAAAATATGGAAAGCCTGCCTCCTTTCATGGAAGACTCACCCAGAGTGTTCATAATCAGCTGAAAACATGGGTTGTGCGTCTTTACAGTGTGTATATTTTAATGTCGTTTTGTATTTATTTGCGTTTGTGGCTGCTGACGACGCTGTTGATGAAGTGGCCAGTACAGAAAGCAGTATTGTTCTGAAATGGAAATATCCTAAAGTGTAAAATAATATGTACACAATTGCGGTTTTAAGTGCAATTTGTTTTGAAACTAACCTACACCTACAGTTTTCAAAGTTGTAGGATTTGCTTCTTGACTCCGAGTTGTCACTTCTGAGTGAACCTGGATTTTTTAAGGAATCATACCTTGGACCTTCAGTCCTGTATGTTTTAAGGAAGAAAGCCATTCTTGAGAAGATTGTAAACTAGATTAAAGATATGGAGAACTGTTTGCTTTTGAAATGTTTAGTTTCTAATCATCAGTAGATGATGTAGGTGTTTAAAGAGAGGCAATATCATAAATTATACATATGTAATACTTAGTTTCAGAGTTTTTTTTAAATATGTATCAAGTGCTATTTTTATACATTAGAGGTCTATTACTAAATTTAATCTGAAAACAGATTACATTTTCTCATGTACAGTATTGGTTAAATGCATCAGTACATGTGAAACGTATTCTTGCAAAACATTTCCTTCTGTAAATCAGATTTTATATTGGTAATGAGATCTATGAATAATAAACCTCTGTAGAAATATGTTGTTTTTTTAGGTGGGGAGAGGGTAGAACTTTTTATACAGTAAGTCATCCTTCTGTCTTTTTAGATTTTTGCTTTTTACTCAGTCTCAAGACTACTGCCCTTCCTTTAAAAACTTTTTGTCTATATAACGAGGAGTGAACAAACTCTCATTCTAAAGTGGTGTGTAGTCGACACTTTAATAAGAATGTTGTACAGAAACTAGAATTTTCTTCAAATTCCTATTTTAATTCAATATGATTATTACATAGACTGGTGCACATTTTTCCAGTTCATTGAGGTATTTTAAATCAAGAGCAAAGTCTGAGATGTATTTGTTATCACAAATTAATTTGAGATAGTCACTAATATGACTCTAAAGTACATATTACGCAAGAGCACTCCTGGTTATCTTCCCTTAAAAAAAAGAGTTTAAATCCAATGCCAGAGTACATGGCCTAGTTATGCATGCAGATTAATAGTGTCAGTTAATTCTGTGCATGGAGAGAGGAGGAAGCAGGAATTGTTTTGCATGCGAGATTGAGCACAATTCCTGAAAGGCAAATGTGTGTTCATTATGCATTACAAAACCTCTCTCATTCACGAACCTTTCACATAGTATACATAGCATGATGAATGATGGTGTGTGGTGGGGGTTTGATGGAGAACTGATGTTCAATGTAACTGATGTTCAGAACTGCCTCCTCCTAATACTCCAGATGTCAATCATTTACTAGTTTCTACAGTTTCAGCAGAAACAATATGTTGTTGGAACATTTTCTGCATACTAGGATGATCTTGAATTTCTTAGTTATCAGCCTCTTAGACATCTGCCTGTTTGAAATGCTTTGGGCTACTGATTTATATTGATGAGAAATGTTCCAGACTGTTATTTCAGTATAAGCTGTTTGAACCTTTGATCTTTGTTAAGCAAATAGCTAAAGTATCTTTTTAGCAGATGCTCCTCTTGCAGGCTGAACAAATGTGTGGAATGAGAATTAAAAAAACTTAGTTTGTACTAATTCAATGATACACCTGTTTACATTCATAAAAGGCAGTTCTGTCTGTGGGAACAATGTTCCTCTTTAAACATCTTGTAAATGGCTACTGTTTTTTAGGTTGGTCTGTAAAGCTTGGGATTTTGTGTTCTAAAGTATGCTTTCACTGTGAATGTAAAAAAACCTAAGCGATTTGTGTTCCTGTGATTTACTTTATTTTAATCTGACAATTTTGTTTTGTAGTTTTCTTCACATAAAAAAATTAAAAAGCAAAAACCTTGGTCTGATAAAATGTTTACATATACTTGTGTCCCATCATTTGCTTTAGAAAAAATTATTTGTTTTTTTACTATCTCATTCGTACCCTTAATGTCATAGAATGTTGCTTTTGTTTCTGTTTTCTTAGGGAATGTTTGATTCTATTTTCTGCCAAATGTTAGATTTTCTTCACATGGACCCCCATGGGGAGTTTCCTTTTCTCCCCAGAAATCTATATGGAATAAATATATTTTACAATGTAAAACATCTTCTTAAGAGACTTTTGCAATGTTGCATGTCAGTCATTAGGTACATCTGTATCAGAACAATTACGTAAAGAAGGCTTAACCGAGTCACATTTATTTATGTGATTGAATTAACAGACATATGAAATAGGTTGGCTAATTAAAAAACAATCATTTAAACTGCAATATTGTATAGTCATTAGATATAAAAATGTTAATAGTTCACCTATAAATGCTGGTACCAATTTATCATTATAGTTCTTCCAGTGGTTTAGAAACTTTATTACCCATTCAATGTAATTACATTTTAAAGGAACAGGTAAAGTTTTATTCCATGGTGAAAGGAAAGGTAAAAGGACAGAGAGAAAATGTTTCGGCTGTGGAGCCGTCTTCAAGTGCAAACTAAATTTAACTTTGTTTTGTAAGTCTGGAAAGCACGTTTCTGTTAGTAAATTCCTTCCATAGGTAGGATACGTTCTAAAGAGGATGACACCTAGTGGAAATACTGTACAACGCACCAGTGTGGCCCATATTCCGTCTGCTCTTCTGTTTTCCAGCTGGAGGAGCTGTAGATTCAAACTGCAGTGTCAGTTGTATGCAGATCACTAAAAGACCTGAGAGATGTGGTAGAGCATATGAAGGGAAAAGGGAATTCTTCTCTTCAAACTATTATTAGTTAACACCTTTTTCTAAATTTTATGTGTAATTAATAATCAGTGTTGCCCCATGTTTGAAGTTGTTTATATCACACAAATGACTATTTTGATCTAGGATTCAAGACTTTGTCCCTATATGCTAGAGATGCTACAACAACTCTTTGGGCCCTTTTTAAAATGTGTAATTATGGATTAAAACATACTTAACATTTCTGCAAATGAGGTACGGAGTCCAGTTTAGTTCCTAGGGGTACCTTTGATCATATTTATGAGTAAATACCTAACCTCCTAATCTGTACAGTGCGACAGCATTAGCTAAAGAATGTTGAACTGAATATTTCTATCAACATTAAATGCGGATTCCAGAAAGACCCCTGATTCAGCCAGCTCCTGACTGCAAAAGAAAAATAAAGTGAGTATTTTGGTTTATTTAAATGCTATTTTGGAAAATGACATGAAAAAGAAACTATGGAGCCAATTTTGTTCCAGAAGCTTTAAAAGACAATATAAATGTTTTTTTTTATATTATAACTAAAACTGAAGGCAGATTGATGGTATGTGAATAGTCTATGCGAGTCAATGACCATGAGCATTTTCTTGAAAGTATCACATTAGCCATCTGGTGACACTGCTGAGTGCTCAGAACATGAAGTGTTGTTTTAAAGTCACTAATGGAGTGGCAGGTGGTGAAGCTTATCTTGGTCAATGCCTGTGATGAGATCCTTACATATGAATTGTTCTGTCACCCCGCATCTATACAATTTAGCAAGACAAACATACTTAACGACTTAGAAAACTAAATTAGAACTGATTCCATTAAATCAAAACTTGCCAACAGTGCAAATTTTAATTCACCCACAAGGGTGGTACCTACGTCACTTCTTGCCGAGCTCAGGAACATTGTAGGGGTATATATAGGGATGACAAAACTGGCTTTCCCAGCATCTTTCAACTTCCAATTTGCTTTGTTGAAGGTAAGAATGATCTTTGAGTTTCATGCCACGCATATATCAATCAGACAGGAGCATTACAATATGTTTTGGAACATTTGTAAAATGTTTTGAAAATCTACCTGGCATATCTCAAGAAAATCTATATGGTTTCCAATCTTAATGGTTTCAAAGTGGAATAGGATAAAATTCAAGACAAGCTACCACAACATTTTTCATTACATAAGAAAGCTTTTTTTTAATTACATAATCTTGACTGTTTTCTGAAATGCATGTATATAGGACTATTCAATATGGGTGTGAACACCCAAGATTTTCAAAGTAAACAAAGGATTAAATAAGTACTCAAAACTTTCTGCAATTTTTACAGGATTATAATAAATATCAGTATTTCTACAATACAATAACTCTAATGTAGTGATATAGTAAACAATACAGTAAACATAAACATCAAGGTGTTTGCTAAACAAATAATACAGTAATAATGCAGTAAATATTCATGTCCATATCATTTTGAAACCAACAAATAGAAGATTAATTGTTTGGTTCAACCAGTAAACAATTCAAATGACGAATTAAACAGAGAATGGAACAGAAGGGAGTTTAGTTAGTGCATCTTACTCGTAGCTTAGTGTTTTTGACCATCACAGTGAACTGACACCTGCAATATGATAGAAATTACCAAAAATATCCCTGCCTTCGGGATTTTGCTGAAACTTTTATACCGCTCCTACGACTCTCCGCAGCGCTTGTACTATGGCTCGGCGGTTCCAAGTTTTCTCTCTGCTCGCCCTGCTGGTCCTCACTTCTCCACCCGTGACTGATGCTGCAGCCAATCAGCATCTCTGCGGGTCTCACTTAGCGGAAGCCCTGTATTTGGTCTGCGGAGAGCGGGGATTCACCTACGATCCCGATAAAATGAGCGGAACGGAGCCGGGACTTGGTAAGCCGTGCTTCGCTTTCTCATCTCTGTGGCTGAAGGCTCCCGTCTGCACAAAAGCTCATATTGTTGAAGCTTCCGTTTTGACAAGTGCTTCATGGCAAAGAAAACATTTCTACAAACAAGTGTGTGGGAAGGTTATCCCGATTTCTCCGTCCAGCAAAATGAATTCTAAGCGATCGCTCCATATTAAACAGATGTAGCAGTGGGCGTGCTATATAAAAAAAAAAGTTGTCTTTGTCTGGACTAGCATGTGCTCGTTGTATAGTGTGTAATCAAGTAATAATTATAAAATGCTGAAAAGACGTCTTTTTTTCTCTTTTCAGCATGGAATAAACCTTTACTTGTTCGTTTGCAGCCTACACATGCTGACGCAGCTACCCACTTGAATATAATTAAAATATATATTTTTAATCCCCTATTTGACGTGCTATTTATTACAAATTATACATGTAATTAAAAACCTAAATCTATTTAAGCTGTATACCTAACTTCTTGCTGTTTTGAGAGCTGGTTTTAGTTAGGTGGTTATTTGATCATCGTTTTGATTCTGTTTTTTATGTTTAATTAAGACTAATTTTGTAATGTTGGACTGCTTGTAGGTTTGCTCACTGGAAAAGCTGGGGAGGAGAATGTAGTGGACGAATATCCATTCAAGGAACAAGGAGAGATGAAAGTGAAGAGAGGCATCATTGAACAGTGCTGCCACAAGCCTTGCACCATATACGAACTGGAAAGTTACTGCAATTAAAGCCAAGTGATTACACTAAATTAATGTGATTTAAAATATCCATGTGTTGCATTATTTTGAAACATTAAAGATTTAAAAACATTGAAAAAAAGGACTTCAGTTTTTTTAAGAAGAAATCTGTGACAGCATTAATGAATTAACATCCATCTGCTACAAAACTATTAGCTGGCTTTAAACCCTTTGCCTTGACATTGAATTAATACATATACATGCATTCCCCCCCCAACAGGATCCTATAAACAGCTTGCTCATGACATAAAAGAAAATGAAGAAAGATCTGTGAATAAAGATTGCAATATGACGTTGATCTTTGGTAGCTTTAAACTCAGGTTAATGTGATTATTAAAAACACATGGTGTTCATAAGTTTGTGTTGTTTGGTTATATATAGTTACACTCATCTGTTCTAACAAAGATTTGTTTTTGCTACAAAAGATGTCAGACTTTCAGAACACCCAGAATCAATTGGATATAACCCTCACCTTAAACCACTTCATCTTAAAGGGTTTCTGTCCAGAAAATGTGAGTCTTAGGAAGCAGAGACACTAAAGTGATACCAATGCTTCACTTCTGAAATCTTGAAAACTGAATACTAGACACAAATAACTGTGGCTTGAAAAGTGGAATAACTCATCAGCTGATCTGATTAAAACATGCATTTCATGCAACATACAGGGGTACAATACCAGTGTTATCTTGTCATATAAGTCAGTTAAAAGTGATTCTCAAGCCAGGATTTAGAATTACAGAAGACAATCCATAAAATATATCAGGAATACTAGGCATAATTATAATAATGTTTTTTCATTACAAAGAAATCTTAATGAATTGCAGTAAGATTTTCCAGCCCCAGTTCTTGGGGTTGCCCTATTGAGAGTGTTTTTGTTTATCATCTCTTCCATAATATTCGAAAAATGGAACATATTCAACATCCAACAAAAAAGACAGCATAGGTTTTCATTAAATATATATAATACTAGTTATATATATATAATACTGCAGCGTAGGCTGCAAAGGAACAAGTAAATGTTTATTCCAAGCTGAAAAGAAAAGAAACACAACATGTTTAATTCATGTTTCAACATTCGTCTGTGGAGCCGTAATGTGCTACATTAATACTATATAATGTTAAATACAGTGCATAGTTTTGCAATTTTTATCCTTCATTGAAATATAATTCTTACAGGCACATATATAGTAAGAAAGTTTTAGAAAGCAACACCTGTTCAGGAGTTCTTTTTACGTTTCAGAAAATGAATTGGTATTGGAGGCTACGTGCCGTCATTCTTGCTCAGTGCCTGTTGAGAAAGCCTTTGATTAATGGTTTGATTTGATAATGCAAGAAGAGGACGAAAGGAATCACAATTGCTATCACGATGATCTTCGTAGTTAAATCAACAGACTGAAATGTTTAATAGCTTTGACCTAAACGGCGATCCGTAGGTGAAAGGCACCGGCATTGAAAACAATAAATGACGTAGGAAGCGCTTTTCGCGATGATTGGCGGAGAGCGCTCAAACCGATTTCTTTGCGAGGGTTCGTCCTCCGGCTGGAAACATGCAGGTGAGCTTCAATTGGCTGTAGAGTTTACATTTCCGGTTATAATCTGCTCTCTGGTTGGACGTTTAGTTTAACGTTCTAGTGAGGCAAGTTTGAATATTTCTTGTTTTGGCAAGTGTCTATCTGGGTGAAGCGTTGTTATTGTAAATCGTTCCAGATAAGGACAGGAATTGCAGGAGGGATTTATACATACGGTTTTCCCCCGAAATGTCTTTCCCAAGGGCTCCGATAAAGCGATTCAATGAGCAGATTGGTAAGTAATAGCGTAGTCATTGATGACTTCAACGGAGTTCCCACACGGCCCTCTCTGTGTAAAACATCTAATGTAAAATTGTGACAGGAAGGGAGCGATTCGTAGCGTATTTGACATCATTTCTGCATCCAATTTGCGTTTTCAGACACCGGTTTCAGACACGGTGTTTTAACCTCTTTCATGCCTGGAAAATAAGGCGTAGATAGATTGAAACGATTCGAGCTGCGGTCGTAGTATCTCAAGGTAACCAGCGGGGTCTCCTGTATGTCATTCACATTAGTGGTAGTGTGTAGGTGTTTACCCCGACCTTTATTTTTCTTCCACTAGCCAGTAAAGGAGCAATTCTTATCGGGTTGCGTGAAAGCAAGTTTAAGAGTTTAATTGAAGTTTCCCTATGTAGAGACTACAGTGGTAACATATTTACTTTTTAAATATATTGTCTAAAAACTGTAATCTGTCTTTCAGGGTGTGCTCCTCCTCCTGGAACCTACGAAGTCAAGCTCGTTGAATCCGGATCAAAGGGAGCAGTGTCCTTTCAGAAGTCTGATCGCTTTAAGACTAATAAAGGTAATTTAAATGAGAATGTCTCTTATCAAGACCCTAACTCTCTTCTCAGTTTTTAAAGGTGTGGCTGAAAACAAGAGAGTGCATGCTTTTCCCGTCACATACTCTTGCATAATCTGTTTAACATATTCCTGGTAACTGTATGATTCCAGAGTGGTGTAGGATTTTTGGTAAACCCAAGCAATTCCAAAAGAGGTCTTAAACTGCATTGTGCAATTTTTAAACAGCATGCAGAAGTCTACACTTTTATCTAAGCCTATATATCAAACAGATCATTAGCCTTTTTTTGCATTATGGAATTTGTTTAGAAGATTGCATGCATCAGCATAGGCTCTTAATTCTTTAGGTCTGGGCTTACCATTTTATACATATAACTCTCTTCTCAGTTGTTAGTATTGCACACATCATGAGAGAAAAATCTCTTCTGTACATCTGTAAGATGTGGGAATGGTGTAGTAGTTTTTTATGTACTGTACAGCTATCAAGATGAGAGAATACTACAATATTGTACCTGTTCCATGTAGTGTGTACAGTATATCTCTTAATTACAGTAGTTTAATATTATTTCAGGCAACTTTGTTCTCCCTAGGAAATTGTGCTAGAAAAGCAAAACTACGTCAAGGTTGCTCATCTATATTAAAAAGATATAATAAAAATTAAACACTACACACTTCTGCAAAGTTTGCGATGTTGTCCATTGTATTAGTCGAAGCAATTCATTGCTGTAAATATGGTGATATAAGCGCACTTTTTATTAATTTTGAATTTATGATGCGGCTTTACAGATGCATGTCAGCCGTCTACTGGGATGGAAAAGATGACATCTCCCATGCGACGAACGTGGTCTGCCGACGGCCTTGTGAGTACTTCCTTTTAATGCGTGGTCGTGCAAACCTTTGAAATTATTAATGATACAACACCTGTAGTTCATCTGATGCTGCGTGTACAAGAGTAGGGTAACCCACGTTCCTAACTGTTCATAGAAGAGACGGTGATTAAAAATGACTGCGGTGTGCTGTAGAATCTGACCTGAGACAAGGACTTTGTTCTTGCAGTTTATCAAAACGTATGGTAACAGCAAGCAGGAGCTACATCCAATGTAATTCAAATGATTTAAGTACAGTTGTTAGCCCTCCAGTAAGTGAGTATTTTTATGCTTTTCAAAAATGTATTTTAAAAAATTGGTCCAAAGATTATCCATGCTTTAATTAGCTGAGGTAGTTTCACTTTGCCATTGCTTAATTAGGGGCTTAAATCTGATCTATGAATGAATTCATAGGCAGGCAGACATTTTTCAGCTAAATTAAGAAAACGTAGAGACACTTATATCCCTAAGACTTTTCTAGTAGAAAAGAGGCATCGTTGTTGTTGAAAATATTGTTGCTTTAATATTGTATACATATTGCCCCTTTGTAACACTTTTAAAGAATAACACAATAAAATGTGATTGAGTCCTTCAAAGCACTATTTAGCTTTGCCTTCTTAGATTCTTCAGAATGCTGAAGAAAGTGTAATAAATATTTTTAAGTTGACTGTTCCTTGATATATCTGTATGCAACTGACTTTACACTAGGTGATTGGTTATGATAAAGGCACAATGGGAAATTGTAGATTTAGACCAGATCCCTGTGTGGTAGCTGTAATTTTCTTTTTGGGATACAGAGATGGTACCACTTCATTCTTACCCTGCCACTTTTTGGCTGCATCCATCCTTACCATTAGATTGATGGCGCTTTCTTTGGAAAAACCAAGCGCTGAAGATGTGGCTTGATATGAGTTTAGTGGAAACCAGCATTGTTCTGATTTTTTGGGATACTCATGATGACTTATACCACACAGTGATAAGGCATGTTGGACCCAAATCTGATTTGGCAGGAGCAAAAGGAGTCTAGTGCTGATGTTTTGCATTAATTAGCCTTTGTAGGTATGCAGCCTGGATATGGTACTTCACAGCATTGTACTCGGAATTGGTTTTTCATTGTATTGAGACATCACATACCCCCCACAATTTACAGCTTAATACTGTTCAGGAAACCTTTTTGGCAAAGCTTTCAGAATCAATCTTTGGTTCTTCACAACATTAGATGACAGACTGCTCTATAGCAGTTAAAGCATGAATCATATACTGTAGGTAGGTCCCTTTTCGGGCCATAAATGCCCATGGGGAATGGGGGCAAGGGCCACCATCTTTCTTTGACCATCCGACACTGGAGGTGATGTAATCATCATGCTGTATGGTCAGGTTATTCATTTTCATATGAATTTGTCCTCTGTGTACGTGTAATGTTCCCATAATACTTGATGCTGCTGGTGTTCTTTTTAAGTAATGCTTGTTTTCTTTTCAGTCTGGTGTAGGAAGCCAGAAAAAAGAGAAGCAAGCTCTTCTAAAGGAGATGAAACAACACAAACTGCTGGAGAAAGAGGTAGGATACGTCTTGGACAGTGACAGTTTGTGTTGGTTCAGTCTTAAACTTAGGTGGCTCCTCTCCGAGTACACTTCGTATTTTGTTTTCTTCAGAAAAACATCTTTCTTTTTTTTGATTTAAGTATTTACTGGTGTTCAGATTTAAAAAAACAACAACCAAAGAAATTATTGGATTTAGTCAAGGCTCTGTGTAGTTTGACAGATATTTGACATGTGCTGTTAGTTTTGGTCATTGTGTAATATGCTGTATGTAAGTAGTAAATTTATATAGTAACTCAGTAAATTGGCAGTTAAATTCATTTCGTGTAATCAAAAGTTTCACTCTTGCGATTTCCATCATTAGCATCTCAAGATTTTAATCATGTCTGATTTAATTATACGCCTGTGGTTCATCCTGAAATCAGTTGTCCTCGTTAACAGGCATGTAAGTTACCCTAATAAGTAGTGACTTCATTTTCAACGTGGATGTGATTACTGCCCTGGGTTAAGGTGTGATGGTCTTCTCCGCAGATTCGCTCACTGGTCCAACAACGGGGCGAGCAAGACAAGAGGCTCCAAGCCTTAGAAGAAGAGCTGAGGAAAGTGGAAGCAAAGCTGGTGGCTGCCATGCGAGAGAAGACGGGGCTTGCAGCCACAGTAGCGTCTCTCGAAAGACAACTTGCAGATTTAAAAAAGGCAAATGATTTGCTGAAAACAAAGGTAACAGTGCCTTACGATTTCAACTCTGCTTTATATAGATGTATGCACGTCCGTGGAGGGCTGCCCTTTCCACAGGCTCTCATCCCAGTGCATCTCTAAAGAACCTGACTGACCTCATTCCTTTAAGCCTTTTAAATCTTCTTCCTATAACAATTTGCTCTTCCCTTTTACGAGCCTCTTTATGCAATATTGTATCGACATCTGCAAATTTACCATTCACAAATTCGCTTGTTTGCGTGTCGGTCAGGCCAGTGGGATCTTGGATGAAAGAAGAGCAGAGCAGGAGGAAACTAAGATGAAGGTTGTTGAGCACAACTTTGAAATGAGCTACACAACAGCCTGGGGTCATGAGATGAATCTAGCTAGTTGAGTGAGCCTCTGTCTGCCGCCTACACAAGTACCCAGTACTCGGCATCAGTATCTCAACGTGCTCTTGTTCTTATATTGTAGCTGACGCTCCGGGTTCTGTGTTTGGAGCTCCTGGTTAGCTGATTACTCTAAATATGCGATTAGTGTTTTGTTTTGGTGGATTAATCCTATTTTAATTTACGTAACAGCATCGCATTAGCACTTTAATTATCATATAATAAAGGGTTACCTATGTCTTTTAAACATACTGTATATACTATGTACTGTAGTACATTATACATTGGTATAGATGCTGACTTGGTTATATGCGAATTTGGTTAATCATGACAGTTCTCTCCACCAAACTCTTGTGAATGTCGAGACCCTTAAAAAAAAAAAAAAAAAAAAAAACTTGCTGGCTTGTGGTCTTCCAGGACTGGAGTTGTTACTTCCCACTAAGCTTGGCTCAGCTGAAATCCTGGATGTCTCTGCAGGTCTTCTGACCATCTATATTTCTAATGACCTGAAGTGGCTTATTATTGGCTTAACTGGAACATTTTATCAGTTTCTCCTAGTTATTCCTCTGCTGCTGGTCAAAAGATGTAAAATAGCCAGCAGATCAGTTTCACTGCCCTACGCAAAGCTCTTATTAATACTTGCACCTGTCTTCCAACTTGTTGGAATTACTTCAGAATAATTGAGGTGCATGCTTTTCTCAACAGTTTTCCGAGGATGGCACTAAAAAGAAAATGAATGCCCTCTCCATGGAAATACTGGAATCAAAGAATAAGATAGATGCAAAAGTTAAGGTATGTTTTCTGTGTAATACAAAATGATCTTTTTCAAAATGGTTGCTTCATTGGAGATGAAGATTCCCAGTGGAATTCCCATTAGAATATTGTCTAATTTACATTACTTTGTCATGTTTCTTTTATATTAACTAAATTGTCTTACCTGTGCACTAATGCTGAACATGGATACAACAGTTGGCTTTTGTATCTGTCTGATTGATTTTGTTGTCCAGGGTATTTGCTTATGCACAGGTCTGATGTGATTATTTTCACACTTTGTTTAAATATGATGGTGGTGTTGATGATTTTTTACATTTCTTACCTTTACACAAATCGCAAGAAAATCTGTTTTTTTTTGTAGTATAAAATAACTTAATACAATGTAAGCCTGTCTTCAAATGTGCTTAATCACATCATTTTTAACACTTTTAGGAGCTTGGCTATATGCAGATTAATTTTGAAGGACAGATTAAAGTGTTGGAAACTGACTTGGTAGCTTCCAGAGCCACGGTGGAGGCAGTTAAAGAGAGGAATAAGGCCCTAGGTAAGTTTGTTTGGTGAACAGAGATGTTAGATTTGTATTGTTCTGTATAAATGAATGTTTTGTCAACTTCAGTTTGGGGAAATGAAGATGATAGAATTTCAAATGTACATGTTTCATGCAGGAATGTGCTCTTAATGTTCAGTTTTATGGTATACTTTGAATAATGAGCTCTACTGTTCCAGATTTGTATTTTAAAATGCCAACCATGTAGTTTTACACTATATATGGCAGGGATAAATAAATACCACCTCGTATGAATGCTAAGCAGGCAATAGAAAGAAATAATCCTAGTCTAAGAAAAAGCATGAATGATCCAGTCTTTTCATTATGGATCACAAAATCCATTGTTCTGCATTCAGAGGATCTGCACCAGGAAGCAAAAATGCACAATGAGGAACTTGAAAAAGAAGTGGACAGGCTGCATGGTAAGAAATGGAAGAAAACTGCTGAGAATACCTGAGTATGCATGTGCTTTGTATATGTTAGTATATGCTTTCTGCTATGTAGTCTCTTGTGACTTAAATGAGTGGGGCATAAGTACAATCCTGATAAGCATGATCTGTTAAAGGGGGCAGTAAGGGCTAACAGCCCTGTAAAGGTACAATGCAGTGTACACCTGCTTAGTTTTGCAGTTATACAAGCGTATCTTTGACATGCTTTACTGTTTATGTTGGCTAGTACATTCAGATTTTAGAGCATTACTAGGATCACTTACAGTTACCATGTATTGCAACTTACAATTGCAGGAAAGAGTTTTTATTTAGCGGACACTGTTTGCTTGCACATGCATCTAGGGTTTGAAATATAAATATATTGTGTAGATTTCTCACTCTTTGTCTTGACGGAATCTTTTTCAGCACTTATACAGGAGCTGAGGAAAGAGATCCAAGTCTTGGAGGGTTACCTGGATAATGCTAATGATGAAATTCAGGTATTTTTTTTAAGATTAAAAAAACTTATTAGAGGTTTTCTGTATAAATAATTCCTTTTACCCCAGTACATTGTTTATTCAAGCTCTGTATTTCCTTACAGCAGAAGTTTGTAGTTTAAGGGTGGCTGATTGATTAAAAACACAGGGATTTGGCTGTGATTTATTTTTACCTCGTAGGTGTTAAGTCTCGAATAGAATTAATTTGGACAACCTGCACATATTATTTCTTCTGATCTCAGGAGCTCCGCCTAAAAGATAGTCAAAGGGAAAAAGAGTTTGAGGATCAACTCCAGCTGACTGCTGCTGCGTCTGAAGAAAAAAGGGTACCTATTGTTTTTCTAGAACATCTGTTTTTTTTTTGGTATTGTGCATGTTTTTTATGTAAATGACATCCTGAATTCCAGCATATGATGAAGAAGCTAGAAGAAGCTGCAAAAGAACTCCAGGGTTCTCAAGACCATTTGAAAGAACTCCGCAATAAAGTTGAGCTACTTCAAGACAAATTGTGAGTGGCGACCGTTTAACTTTTATTATACAAGTTATCTCAGCTTGAGCCTTGAAGACGATTCTTGCGTCTTGTTATTATTGTAAGAATTGTCAATATTTTACATCAACAAAATGAAACTCTGAGTTTGTTCAATTTAAGTTGGAGCCATTTAAGAATACAAACTTCTACATTTTATTAGTGAAGTGATTTAGTGTATTAGTGATTATTTGTGAAGACACCTGTAGCATTGTCTTATTTTTGTACTTTTGTTTTGTAGATCCAAAACTGAGAATGACAGAGAGCAAGTTTCACTGGAGAAAGCTGAAACTGAACAAAATCTATCAGCTTGCGTAGCTAAACTAGGGTAAATATATAACAATTCGTGGATATATGCTCTTAATCATTATATTTTTGAGTACTTTGTTTTGAAAAACTTTACTTATGTCTTATCAGGTTAAATGTAGTGGTTATCATATTCTGATTACTGCAAATGATCAGAATCAGAAAAAAACGTTATCTGCAGAGAAAGTTTGAATAAGAATAACAATGTTTCTCCCTAATAGTTTAACATATAGTATTGTTTTCAAATAAAACGGTACATCGTATTGGAGTTTTGTCTATTTAAATAATGTTTAGTATGGTACAATATTCATTTGAAAGGTAAGATGCCTCACTAGTTTACATGCTACCATGTATAATCCATAATAAATAGCATGGTACATTTCTGTTGTCAGCTACTAATAGGAGGAATAGATTTTGCAATATACTGAAAGCATGAAACTGATTTCTATGTCTTTGACCTCTGCAGTGAGCTTGATGAGCAGCTGGAGAAGCATAAAGAAGATGTAGCCAATGTGCAAAGCAAACTAGAAGCTAAAGAACAAGAGGTCATCGAGTTGAAGGAGCTCCTTAAAACCACAGAGGAGGAACTAACCCAACAATTCAAAGATCTTGAAGATAAATACCAGCGTCTAGAAAAGGAGAAAGGTGCCTTACCTTTGTTTGAAGTTTTGCTGTCACTTCTTAATGTCTGAACAGTCAAACAGAAAACAGTCAAAACAGAAAAGTTCAAACAAGATGATTGCTGCCTGCCCCATGACCATACTGACAGCTGTGTAATGTCTTTGATGCAGGACCTATGTAGATCATACCATACTGAAGTAAAGTAAGGGTTGCTACTGCGGGCCACATGTACAATATACAGTGAGTGATGTCCCACACTTGGCTGTAATTGTTGATCTTTGCTTTGTCTTCCTTAGCTGTGAAAGAGGAAGAAAGCCAAAAGCAAAAGGATGACTTGAAAGTTGAAGTCAAGGCTTTGGAAGAAAAGCTAATGAAAGGAGAGTTGGAGCACCAGAATCTTCAGGAGTCGCACAAAGAACTCCTTGCACTCTATGAAGAGGAAAAGGTTTCCATCTCCGCCATCTTATTAAGCCGGTTTATATGTTACACAAAACAATTTGGGTGTACATTTATGTCTAATCAAGAATCAATGTGTGTATATACACAGATGGAGAAACAATTCCTCAAAATAAAACGGCCTATATTTTAAACCATGGTATTCATATAAGCGTATATACTTAATTACTGAGCCTAAATTGACGGTATTCAAGCTCTTATTTGAATCATCTGTATCTACAGTAGAATTCACCTTGAAGATTTCTTGCCTTGTATGCAGGGTCTCCATATGAAATTTTAAAGAGAAAAATTGCTTAGATGAAAGTGTCAGCAAAATGTATTTGATGTTTTTCTTTAAGCGGCGTTAGTTTTTTTTTTACTCAATGTTGGGTCCTTCCTTTCCGTGCCTTGCAGGAGAAGTCCAGCTCCCTGCATGAGTTGCTGGAGGGGCTGCAGACGGAAACGCAGGCGGAGAGGAGCCAGCTGGAGACTGAGCTGGAGGAGGCCCTGGACGAGCTCGGTCAGATGGAGACAAAGGAGATGCACAGCGAAGAGCTCATTCGACACCTGGAAGAGGAAAACCAGCAGAGAACTCAGGCCGTCCTTGACATTGAATCTCAGCTAAACAGGTTAAGTTCAAGATCAGTGCTTGCTTTGAGACGTTCAGCTTTAACTTAAGCATTTTTAGGGCTCTGTTGTTTGTTTGCTACTCGAAACGGCGAGCCAGTGTAGACAGTCTTGTGTGTCATTTATATCGTACAAATTCTGAAAGTAATCTTACTCCTCCTTCATTGAAAATGAAATATTTTCATCCTTGTAGGAAGAACAAAGAAATTGAAGAGATGATTGAGAGTCACAAGCTGGCCATGACAAAACTCAGAGAGGATCACAGCAACTCGTTGAGGAAGATTGGAGATATGGCAACAGAACTTGAGAGGTAAGTTTGCAGTTTTGCAACTATTTTGGAACTCAGGTTTTGGCCATAAATTGAATTAATCAAAGGCATCTTCTGTCCTAAATGTGATATACTGTATTTGTGTTGTGACAAGGTGTTTAAAGGATTCAACCAAGGAAATAAACCATTTAAAAAGACAATTTTTTCTTTTGTATGGGTGAGGAATATGCCCAGTATATCATTAATGGAAAATGTGAACCCAGAATATGTTTGTGAATCTAATTCTACTCCTTAAAAGAAAAGAAAAGCTACTAAATCTTTTAAGTTTTGAAGCTGTGCTGATATAACTGATTTTTGTGAAGTGACACCAAACAGAACACGTGTTTTTTTTTCCCCCAGTGTACAAAATCTACCTGATTTTAAACCTTCAACAACCTTTCTGAAATTAGAAACATTCTGCTCCTGTATTTGTAGTAAGAAACACTGCTGATGTTTGTCTAAGAAACTTGAAATAGAGGTCAATTGCAGTCTGATGCATTTTTCCTGTAGCACAAAAAAATCGATGTCTGAAGAAATGAGACTCCTTGAAGTTAGAAGCTGTACACTAGAGGAGAAAGTGTTGAAGGTGACACAACAGCTGGAAGAAGAACATAAGCTTCTTGTTGAAGCTGAGCAATCCAGGAACAAGGCCAAGGAGGAGTATGCAAGGTACATTGAATTGGCAGGGATCTTTATTATTTCTGGTTTTAGGAATTCTCAAATTTGTGGTGAATTCATGACAAATTCATGTGTACTGTCATTTAAAGAATTTTCACTTTTTGTAAAATTAGTTTGTTGGCAAGAATCATCAGTTAATAACCAAGCATGAGATGAGACATCGACCTGAAAAGTGTTTAACATTTCTGTACATTAGGAGTGTTTTTTTTTACTAGAAGTAAAACGTAGATATTGCAGAACATATCAGCCTCCTTGAGGTCTACTTCTAGTTGTCTGTATGTATATCTACATTGAGACTGGATGAATTTTGAAATTGCTGAGCTTCTAAAATTGGAAAATTATTTAAAAGACTTTCAATGGTTTTTTTTTTGGTGTTTTACCCACTAGAATGTTACTCGATGCCCAAACTAAACTAGCCCAGAAGGACTCCGAGCTCCGCAAATCACAAGAGTGTCATTCTTTGGAAATGATGCAGCTCCAAGAAAAGATGGAACGTCAGAATATTGAGTTCCAAAAAGAGCTCAAAGAAGTGGAGGAGCGAAGGTAGGTACCGAGGAAGTGCAGTCCAATATGTTTGTGGTGTGCTGCGTTTGTTTATTTATAAATTCAAAGGTGTTCTGCTGGCAACCTGTGCCATACAACAACATGTGTAGCAAATTGTGATGTCCTGCCTTTTCAAGTTTCTTTTTTTTTTCTTAGTGTTGCCGTTTGGATTGACCAAGGGGTTTACATTTGATTCTGTATGAAATATGAATGAACATTTTTGTTCACTATGTTGTGCTTAGAGTACAATTACAGTAACTTTGCCTGTTGGGGACTAATGTAAATATATTTTGGATGAAAGCAAATTTTGAACTAAAAACAAATCTCAAGTTCTGGCTTGTGAATGCTTTGCAGTTCTGTTTCTGCTTCTGTTCTCGGGGAATTTGTGCATGTGGATTTTGTTCATAAATTAACAAGTGGCATGCTCCACCCAAAATAATTCAGTCTTATGTTTTCTGGTTTCCTGCATTTTATGATCTCTTACAAATAATACAGAAGCATAGGGTGAATTGCAATTTTTGAAACTAACCTCAGTTAAAGCTAAACTTTGTGATCTGAGCTAGGCCTAAAGACAGGAAATTAGACTGGCCTCATTCAGCTTGCTTTTTCTTCACAGTTCAAGCGTAGTGACAACGTCAGAAGTTGAGCACTGGAAAAAGCTTTATGAAGAACTATATGCTAAAGTCAAACCTTTTCAGGTAAGTTGGAGCTTTTACAACGATAGTGAAAATGTTTCTGGTAGCCAGTGTAAATTATGGCATTAATCAAATGTACACTATTTAGCAGTGCGTAATGAGGTAATCCCTCATTTGTATTAGACTTATTCATCCAGCAAATGCTTTTATCCAAAGGAACAAGTTGCAAAGGATGCCAATAACGGTAACCTTACAGAACTCATGAAGGATTCGTCAAGCATGTTAGAGTTGTGATATTTAATTGTACTACCTAGCTGTTAGTTTTAGCTGGGGCGCCATGCTGCAGGTAATATTGCCATTCTTGGGAGAGAGACAGGCTGGAGAATGCTGCTGTGCTTAATTGAGGTATGTGTTATTCTGCAGGGTCCATGGCAGTTTGCCACTTTAAAAGTCACTACAGGTGTTCTAAAACATGGCATTAACAAAAGCTCCCTGGATGCCTATGCTTTGATACTTAACGAGCCAGATGCATCTAGTTATTGAAATGTGTTTAAGCAAATCTTCGAGATCTTCACAGATGCATGAAAGCACTGACTGCCTGATGTTTACTTATGCCTGATGTTTCCTGAGTTATTCAGATGTGCATTTTAATTTTTGGTACAGCAACAGCTCGATGGCTTTGAAGCAGAGAGAAAAGCCCTCTTGAATGAAAATGGAGCTGCCCAAGAAGAGCTGAACAAACTTGCTGATGCCTACGCTCAACTTCTGGGCCACCAGAACCAAAGACAAAAAATCAAGCATGTGGTGAAGCTGAAAGAAGAAAACTTTAATCTGAAGCAGGTACGGTCTTCAAATACAGTCTCCAGTTACTGGGGAAATGCTGAAGCTTCTACATAATACAATTAGTACAGTAATTGAGGTGCAGGATACACGAGTGTGGCTTTTGTCACTTGTATTCTGCAGTTTCATTAACTTATAGTTCAGTCTGATACCTCTGATTGTCAGTCTTGCTACTCCAGACGAATCTGAAGTAATGAAATCCTCAGCATTCTATTCCAGTGGAAGACTATCACCTACCAGTGATGCCTCATAAAAGCAGTTGTAAAAATTATTTTAAAAACCTTGCCAGAGAAGGGGACAGCACAGTGGTGGGCTGATGAGAGCTCCTGGTTCACAGCTTTAGTGTTCTGGAGAGTCTGATCTTGTGCATCTGTCTGTGTGGAGTCGGCACGTTCTCATGTTCATGTTAACTTGGGGATTTTCAGTTTGCTTCTGCTTCCCAAAGAAGTGCTGACTGGGTTTGATTGTTGTAAATGTTCTTTTACTGTGACTCTGATGGACAGGCATCCTGTTTATGGTGAGTGTAGTTGTTGTCCATTCCAACTTTCACATCGGTCATGTGAAATGGATTTCTATTTCTATGTTAAAATTAAGTGGCTTCTTACTAACTTTTATTAGTAAAAGGAGGCAAGCCAAAACATGAAATACTCTAGTGAAAAAAACACACATCATTTGCTTCCAGGGTTTCCAGACCTGCTTAAGTTATCAATCTTTTTCAAAAACTAGAATTCTTAGGAAGGTGATCAGTATATATGAGGTACAATACAAATGGGTTGAAGCCCCCTTTTTGCTCTGTTTGCCTTTAGAATTTTTAAGCAGTTATAATGTATATCACCTTACTTTTAATAACCATTTATTCACTTCAGGGTCATGGTGGCCTGGAACCTAACCAGGAAAGCGCTGGGATTGGTGGGATACTAAGTGGAATACACCCATGTTGGGATACCAGTTAACTGCAGGGCACACTTAGAAACGAGTATAGACACACTTAGACTCGCACCAGGTCCAACTTCCCAGAAGTCAATCGATCTACCATAGTCTCTGGTCTATGGAAGGAAACTGGAGCACCCAGAGAAATCCCATGGAGAACTGTACAAACTCCACACAGATAGCCCCAAGGTCTAGAAGTCACCTCAGGAGCTTCAAGGCAGCAATGCTAGCCACTGCACCACTGGGCCATCCTATTAGGTTTATTATGTTATCTGTACTGACATTGAAAAGGCAAACTTCTATTTTTGTTGCATTTAAATAAAACACACTGGTATTGCAGGACCCAGGTCCATTGTGTGGTGGCAGGTTTTGGTCCAGTAAAGATCTGTTCTAGGAAGCATGCCTTATTTTCTGATATGACCTGCACAGAAATGTAGTTATTAATGTTATTATTTATATACGCAGGAAGTCTCAAAACTGAGGAACCAAATGGCAAAACAGAAAAAAGAAATGGAGCAACTTAAACATAACCAGGGACACAAGAGATTTGATCCTTCTAAAGCCTTCAAGCATGATAGTAAAGAAAATGGCCCTCCTATCACTCCTCTTAAAGAAGGTAACTTTTGTTTTTGTAATGATTTATATTTGTCAATGGGCTGCATAAATGCTGAGTAAAAAGTTGGAGATTAATGCTACATTTGGAATGGGGAGGGAAAGGATCTTGCAAAGGGATCCATGGACAAAAATGTTGCTTTTCCTTTTTTCCAGCGTTAAATTTAATCTGCTGGTTCCCTTGTGTCTTCATATGAGCTGCAGCTTCCCAATCAAAGCTCTTCTTAAATGCTATAATCAATGCAATTCCACACTAAATCGGGTATTGATTCAGTCTGCATCACTGGGGACAGACATTATCAAGGGTGTGGAAACTGCTCAAGCTCTTAATATGACAATGAACATCTCTTTGTATTGAAACCTAGTCTACTATGTAAGTTTTAATATACACCTTGAAAGATATTACAAAGGGAAATAATTAGAGCTATTTTAGTCATTTTAAGTGACTTAATATAAGTGGGAATGATACAAATCTAACCTTTTGACCAAATTTTTCTTTTTAGGTAATCGGAATATGCTTTAAGCCTTATGGACATCTGTCACTTTTACAAATAGCAGAAGAAACGTCTGGCTTTTTAACTGATGTATTTTTAGCTGTCCAGTTTTCTGTAATAAACTTAAGCTGTTTTTGTACACTTAATTGTTTTTTACACCCTTGCTGCAATCCAACCTTGGTTTTAATGTTGACGCCAATTGCTTTGACTTGGAATTGAATATATCATAGTTTCAGTCTTCTTGTTTTTGCTACTGTCAGATGAATGTTTACTGCAGGTGTTGAACAGGAATGGCCAAAATTTACCTCGAATTGGAGTTTCTTTTGCTGAAGCGTTCAATAAAGGTTTTTTCGCTTGTAGGTTACACAATTGTTTGTGTAGATCTATAATTATTACATGCCAGGTAATGGGTAATTGAACAGCTGCTGAAACTTCTGATAATGAGACCTTCATTACAGGTCTGTGAGGCTTATATTAGCGGAACTGCAGCTGCCCATGGGCTGGTTTGGGCTCCGAGATTAAGAGGAAGGGCATTTTTGGCTGAGAATTAATCCTTTTCTCATTTTTGTTTCCACTTTGAATGGTGTGGGATATGTCTGTCATTGTGTGACCTTGGTGGTAAAGTACTGGTTTTGTAAAATGCTGCACCAAGATACACTTCCTGTAGACAGTGTTTTGGGTTTAGTTTGCTAGTGTTGTAAATAGATTTTAAATTATTTTCTGTTCATTTTTCCGCCACCAAAGTGTTAATGGACGATTAAAGAAGCTGTTATCCCTCTTTTGTATCTCTTGGTTGACAAAGTTTTACTAAACTATTTTACTTTATACTGTATTTTATCAAGTTGGTGTCGGGAATAATCTGAATTTTATTTTCTTTTAAATATTTATTGCTCTTACTTCTAACTCCCCCTGTCTTGCTATAAATTATAAAAAACACCCAGATGGTTTAAGATTTAATTAAAAGGTTAGAAATGTGTTTTAAATTCAGATAATTCTTATGGATTCTTATAAACATGTATTTACTTTTTTTCCACAAAGTCTTGGAAAAGAGTGTTCTGTCTGTAATGCAAAGCAGTGCAGTACTAAGATTTGGGATTTTTAACTCCCTGAAAAACATAATGGCATCATTTGCGATAAAAAGTGTTATGTTCCCCATATAGCTAATACTAATACACCTTGTTCCCCATACAAATATGTGCATCATATTTAATTCTGAATATAGATTTTAGGTATCCTCTTTAGTTGTTTACTGTACATCACAAAGTGCAAAAAATATTCCATTATATACTATACTATAGAGTAGAATATTGTTTGGTGGAATGCTAATGTTTTAACCAATCCATTGACTTGTTGTTCATGCCATTGTATCTTGGATCTAGAAATTGAAGTTGCCAAAGATTAAAGTCTTGATGCAAAACTTTTCAGGGATCTTTCTTTTTCTGTCAAGCCATGAGCAAGCTGTTTCTAGGAGTCTTGTTTGGGGGGGATACATGTACATGGTTTAATTTAGTGTTAAGACAAAAGGTTTAAAGCCAGCTAACAGTATTGTAGCAGTTGGAAATTCATTCAATAATGCTGTCACAATATATTTTTTTTTAAAAACTGAAGTCCATCTTTAATGTTTCTGAATAATGCCTAATTAACAACAAATGGATATTTTAAATCACATTAACTTAGCGGAGCGATGGTAATCACTTGGCTTTAATTGCAGTAATTTTCCAGTTCATATATGGTGCAAGGCTTGTGGCAGCACTGTTCAACTATGCCTCGCTTCACTTTCATCTCTCCTTGTTGCTTGAATTGATATTCGTCCACTTCATTCTCCTGTCCAGATTTTCCAGTGAGGAAACCTACAAGTAATCCAGGACTTAATTACTGAAATATGAAACATTTAACAATAATACGCATAGCACATGAAGAAAATTTATATTTTTCCATTTGCTAATGCTACCTAATTAGTAACTGAACTGAAACAGTACTTAACACGCCAGCACTAATCTATCATACAGTGGCTGTGGTACAGCTGTAGCTTGGGTTTAATTGGTTTTACCAAAGTCCTTACCATAGGATTTCGGTTCATCTCCCTGTCAGGCAAGTATCTAGATTACTTTAACTTTTTTATACAAAAAAGCAAGGTATTAAAATGTTTCACTAGGTTGGGATATCTCTACCATTCTGCTTGAGGTTTAGGTTAGAAAAGGGAAGCAGCTTACCCAATACTGGTTCCATGTCTCTCTTGGCTTTGTTGGGGTTGTAGAAGAAGCCCTTTTCTCCACAGACTAGATACAGAGCTTCCACCAAGTGAGACCCGCAGAGATGCTGATTGGCTGCAGCATTAGTCACGGGTGGAGAAGACAGGACAAGCAGGGCGAGCAGAGAGAAAACTTGGAACCACAGAGCCATAATGCCAGTGCTGCCAGAGAGCTGTATGAGCAGAACCAAAAACGTGCATGTAGTACATTATACATCATCCCACAGAGCACAGCCAGATGATGGTTAATATTGCTTAAAAGCAGATTGGTGGACTAAAACTGAACAGCACCTTAGTTGTCATCTTATGTTTTTCCATAATTAAAACTTACAAATATGTAAGGCTTTTATGGACATTTTATGCATTATCTCATGCCTATAATTCAGTCGCCGCTATTTCTTTTTCATCTTGCTATTGCTTTTAGTAAACTTTAAAGCCATTTACCCACCACACCATGCCAGCCCCCGAGAAGCAGATTATTAGTTTCTCAGGGTTGAGTTATTACATTCAGGTATTCAGATTTATACTGCAGTGTTCGAATACCCCTGGACAAATGGTACGTGGTTGGACGAACCAACTGTGCCTCGGGTCGCGTAATGCTTGTTGAAGCTATTCTTCATGATACTTGCTTCCCATGTAGATGGGGGTTGGAGGAGATGCTGAAGGAAAGGGACATGACTACATGCCAGTGAGGTCTACTTATTAAACCTGTTGAGGTTGTACTTTGGGGGGGTTACTCTTATCTGGCAGCAGAAAGAAGAAAGCTGTTCAGGCAGGTCATGGTATGACAGCTGAGATCTTCCGACCATACCAATTCACTCCTGCCTGTACTACATAACCTTCACTAAATGAACACGAGTTCCAAAATCCATGTATTAAATGCTTAATGACGAAAATCCTCGCCTTTATTTACTGAACTGTGCAATTCTACGAATGTTATCTTGCAGTGTTATTTCCATCATATAAAGACTAGCATGTGTAATTCTTAGATTTTACATTCTGATCGTAGGCTTTGACTTTAATCGTGATCATTTATTAAAAAATGGGAATTATTACATCAAATACTGTTGTTCGCACTTGAATTCTCCATTTCTGAGTGCTACCTATTGTATTTTCTTGCAGAAATGCCCTAAGCAGATGTATTTAAGAAAAAAATAAGGCATAAAGTACTCTATAGAATAATACATAGCATATACAAGTTATTTTCCCCAATCAGTAATATTCATTCAGAAAAGCTTACCTTTTGATTAGGAGCTCAGAAGTAGAAAGATGTTGGAAAAGTCAGCTTTGGTGTTGCTGTATATATACTGTTACATTGACCATAGAATTGGCATGAAGGAACATCTAGTGACGTTTTCATCGCCATGTGGGACAGTTAAATGTGCACTGTTGGCAAGTTCCAGTTTCATCTTCCAAGTCATTAAATGTATTTGTCTAATATATTTGTCTTGGTAAATGGTATTGTTTCAATTCCAGTGTACTGAACTGTACAGGTAGACTACCAACTGATATGTCAATAACGTGCTAAGGATCTCATCACAAGCATTTGACCAGAATAAGCTTGACCACCTGCCACTCCATTAGTGACTTGAAGACAACACTTCATGTTCTGAGGACTCAGCAGTGTCACCAGATGGTTAATGTGATACTTCCATAGAAATGTGCTTGGCCCATTGTGGTGTACGGGTCATTAATTTATCACCAATCTGCCTTTATTTATTTTTTTGTTAAGTAAGCTTACAGGAGTCTTTCCTTAACTTTTTGCTCTAGATGCAGAATTTGCTTCACCTCTTTTGACTAACAATCACATCAGTCTAATTTTGCAAAGCAATGTACTTTGTAAGGAACAAATATTGACTTCTTTCCTCTGAGTGTGTTGCCAGACTTTTACCTTCAGACATTGTCCATTATATTTAGAAGTAGGAACAAAATTGGACTGATGGAAAAAGTTTTGTATTTTCACCTAAACTACGTCTTCCATTTAGAACTTGTATTTAGACTTTTAGTGTCGTTACTGTAAGCTTAGAGCTCAATTTGATGTTGGCATCGTCTCCCTTTTTTTTGTTCTTTTTTGCCGGGCAAAACATATGAAAAGTTAAAAATGGTCACACAAAGTTAAAAAATCACTACATAGTTCGGCATGGGCTTTCGCAGTCCATCAGCACTTTGTAAAAAAAAAAAATACATTTTTTTTTGTGCACCACACAAAGTAGTCACCACATTAAGGTACTGTATGTGGCTCATGAACAGAGCCAACGGAAGATTTAAAAGGGTTGGTCAATGCGCTTGGAGGAAACATGCAAACACTAATTCCTTGGCCTCTATTTTAAATGTGAAAACACACTACAGGGCATATCAGATGAACAGTTACTTTTCTACAGAACAAAATGGGAAATTTCCCCTTTTATCCTGGACGAAAAGCCTCTTGAGGTGTGTCAGCATTTTGAAAGTTTTTTCAGTTTTCTTTCTGCTTGGCCTCTCCGTGTTCCCTTGTGGCATACATGCTGACACAGCTTCCCACACAAGCATTATGTGTCTATATGCTCCAGGAGTTTTATTCCTTTTTCCCTATGCAATATACTGTAATGACAATGTTATTGACAATATAGGCAATCTGTTATAATCTAATCTTATTTTGTCAAGTTATCAAACTGAGTTATATTTCAAAGTTTGTCTTCTGGGTAACTTTTAGTTCTTGGTTGTGTTCAGCACATCTGATCCTGGGTTGCTCTAGTCTAAAAAAACAGCTTAAAAAGCTTTCAGTCACTGGAAAGAGTGTTTTGCCTTGCTTGTCACATTTTCCATGGGTTATTTCATTAACTTTAGAGGGATATTTGGAGGAACACTGGAAAATTGCCTAATCTCTGTCTGTTCAGGCTCTTCTCATACAGATTGCTAATGCATTGTACAATTCTAACATACCATCTCTTGCCTTAAAATTTAAACCTTTCACTAGAAATTGCTTGCATTTGTATTGTTTCCTGCATTGTCTAGAAAATGAAAATGTCAACATAGATACCCATGTCTTTCTTTCAGAAGTAACCGCTTCAAGCCCAGTGAATTGTTTTAACAGTCTGCATTGTCAGATGTTTGCACAATCTTGAATTCTGTCTAAATATTTTGAAATAATTGCAAATCCTGCTATTTTAGCTTCATCTGAGGGCACTTTTAGAGACTGTACCAGAATCTAAATCATTGATGTAAGTTAAGAGTGGCGGTCCCATTACAGATCCCTGTGGTACTTAGCTAAAAACATCAACCCATATTGAGTATTCACTCTTTCTATCCATTTATTAGTTCTTAATCCAAATCCATTAATTTGAATGTCTATAACCTATAGTTTGAAGTCCTCAATGGTAAAACTGGAAATATGCAATTTGGCCTCCAGTGCAATTTTCTTCTATTGAATTTTCTCATATTCTTTTTTACTTGAGCTTGTAATATAAAGTATTGCCTTTTTGTAGCTGTTTTTTAATGTTGTTCATTTGTGCATTTTTTCCTCTATTGTTTCCTAATTGATTTAAAATTATTTCAACCACTACTTTCCAGGATTTGATTTACTTAATCTAGTCACGGATACGACTGTCACAGTCTACATCTCTGAACAATTCTACATCTCTGAACTCTTTCATAGTTTGCTTTACAAAAATGATCAATGTTTGTTTGGTGGTCTGCCTGTGCATTTTCCAAGTACAGTACAGCACCTTTCAAATTAACCCATATTATGATGGCCGTTCCTTAGTAATTCCTCCACCTTTCTTTTCCTCAGTTTGTTTAGATTGTTTGAAAGGATTAAAAGACATTTATTGCAGGACGATTTCAATTTCATCTGTCGCCTTTTTTAAATCTTTGATTTTTTTTGCGTGTGTGATGCATATTAAAATTGGCACAATAAATAATTCCTCCTCTTCACAGTCATTCCTGATTGCATAAAGTTGCATTATAATTGAATCTGAATTTCATGAAAAAGGAACACATTCTGAGCGATATAGATTTACACTTGATTTATCAAGGTTACGTTCCTGTGCCTAAATGCTTTATTCCCCCAGACACAGTGCTGCATCTTTCCAATCTCTTCAGATAGCTGTATATCCACTGATGCTGATTTACTAATCTACTACAATCAACAATTTCTAAAAGAGTTCTGCGGCAAACGCTCTATCAAATAAAAATCGAATAGTTTTCAACAGGTCTTTAAAAAGATTGGTACGTAATGAAGACTGGAAATGGCGTCATTACAAAAAAAGTCATCAGCAATGTGCCATTTCTCCACTAGATGTCACCCTTTCCACATGTATACACAGCATACGTTTCGATCTCCAGGTATGCCAATAAATGTTTAATACGATGGTTTCTGTATTCCGAAAATTGTAATTGCATATGCCAATTTTTATGTCAATAACCGTAAGACTTTGGAAAAGGCTCTTGGGAAATTTGTAAGAAACTAAAGGAAATCTAAATTAGAAGTCACGTTACCAGACAGTCCTTGCTTTAGTTTATTTCACACATATCAACGTTCTGGAAGAAATGCGTGGGTGAGAATATCTGAATACACAGTGTTAGTCAGGGTGAATTAAACCATCCATGCCCTTCAGATTTAATTAAAAATGCAATGACCGTTTGCGGAATCCAGGCTATCGACTGTGTGCTATGAAGAGTTGCACAAAAACGCCACAGTAATAACATTTGGCTATAAGTAAACTACAGCAGCTATCGTCAACAGGCTATGTATCGAAGCCCAGGTAATGGAGCTAGCTACTGTAGGTGTATTCAATGTTAAATATTTTGATGACAACATATACGTTGTTTTTAAAGTAACATTGGTCTTTTCCTTACATCATTAATCATTTTCCCTACATATGTCTCAAGTAATGTTGTTTTCTAAAAATACTGTAACATACTTGGCAAGAGGTGGTTGTGGTATCCCCGTTTAATATTTTAGTACTGGTATGCGCAAACCTTAAATTAACACGCTAACAAAGAGTTAACCGACAAGCTTTCAGATGTGAAAACTTTGCAACAGGTTGAAGTATACCGCCGCCGTTTTAAAAGCCCTCCTTACATCAACCCCTTATAACAGCCTGAATATTCATGTCAGCCATGACTTCGTGGTTCTTTCAGAGAATTACGACAGTCTTGCCTGACCCTGTACTTTAATATTTGTCTTGGCATC